ACCCACAAACTTCTGACTCAGAGGCAAGAGTGCTACTAACTGAGTCAGGTTGATAGGGAGTTGGGGATAATCAGTTGGTTAGAGAGATTTAGTTTTTCTCACAAGCTCCTCTAACTGCAGATTTCTCATGGAAAGAGGAGAGATTGGTAATGATGGAAGGGGCTGGAAGGTAAGGTGTGACACCAGCCAGAGTAAGGTAGAACATAAATATAGAGGAGGAAGGAAAAAAGACGCAATAGCTAAAATAGGAGCAAAAATACTAGTTCAAGGAGTGGTTGAGAGCAGGGGAATGTGTGCCGTGTATTTGAATCACAGCCTCTTCAAGCTGGTGCCAAATCGTGTCCTGCCTGCCCCATCTCTCTGCGTAGAATCATCCCAGACTGCTTGCAGCTGCTTTTGGAACTATTTGCGGCTGTTGAATTGCTGTCTGGGGAGCCACAATGAAATGTACAGCTGCGCCATGTCTTATCTCTCACACACACACACACATTCAAACACACATGAACTCGTAGATTTACACAAACAACAACAATAACATCTTGCATTTAGTGCCCTTCACTTATTTGAAGGGCACTGGGTTGGATATTGATCATGAGAGGAGGGGTGTAAAGTACAAACAGACATGCTCACGCACGCACACACACACACCTGTTCATAAACACATTCGGACAAGTACACATGGGCCTGTACAACAACAACAAGATTACATTTGTATAGCGCCTTTCACGTCGAAGAGGAGGGTATTGAGGCGGGACTTGAAGGAGGCTAAGGAGGGGGCGAAGTGGAGTGATTGGGGGATGGAATTCCAGAGGTTGGGGCAGAGTGGCTGAAGGCTCTCCCGCCAATGGTGGGGCGGGTGGGTTGGGGGACGTGGAGCAGGCCAGAGCCGGCTGAGCGGAGGGAGCAGGCAGTTTGGTAGGGAGTTAGGAGGTCGCAGAGGTAGGGTCGGGCGAGGCCACAGAAGGCTTTGTAGGTGAGGACCAGGATCTTGAACTCGATCCTCTGAAGGATAGGGAGTCAATGGAGTCGGGCGAGAGTGGGGGAGATGGGGTCGCGGCCTTCAGCCACTCTGCCCCCAACCTCTGGAATTCCATCCCCCTATCACTCTGCCTCGCCCCCTCCTTAGCCTCCTTCAAGTCCCGCCTCAAGACCCTCTTCTTCGACCATGCCATCGGTCAACCCCCTTCCCTTCCCCTCCGTTCTCCTTTCCTGATCCCAGCTTGGGTCTGAAATGCTGTACGCTGTCCATCCATTAGGACATCCTCCCCATGTGAAAGGTGCTGTTGTTGTTAGTTCCACTTCCCTGGGCTTACCCAGACCACTTTAATATCTCTCTTTATCAACTGATCCTCTAACACTTCCCCCATCCCCTTCGCCCACCACCCACACGCAATTAACAACATGTTTCACCACTTTTTTCCGATTTAAAACAGCCCCCAAACCCCCTTGTGTTTGTCCCTTCAGCATATGCCAACCTTATGCAGACAAATTCATTGACATCGTTCGGCTGACTGCTCTGCAGCGTTTTAATGGGAAACCGTGGGAACAAAGAGAAAGCTGGCAACCAGTCACAGAGGCAGCTTGTGACTGCCTTCATCAGTCTGGAGATAGTGAACTCACTGAGGGAGGAAGAAAAGATTAGCTTTTCTTCATAGACTCTGAGAAACAATGGTGTTATTTGTACTTTTGCCCCATGGAAAATGAAGGTAAAGGCCCCTCCAGCTACACAACAAGTGAAGAATCATATTATTATATTATATTATTATAATCATGGGCCGGTTATAAACTGCACAAAACCTGCCAACAGTTGCAGTGCTTTGTAATGACTTTGGAACATTCTAAACTTGACTAGTTTGGCCCTTATCCAGAAACACCAATGACGTCCATAAGGGAGACCTTTTTTAAAAAAAACATATGGAACATTCTAGTAATACAGGGTCACTCAAAAGGTTTGTGTGTGTTTCTACACTATCAGGATGTGAAAGGTTTTGAGGTCATCATCACAAAAGAATTATTCTTCCTACAAGACTCTGGAACTAGAGCTCCCTGTTAGTTGTGACTGCTGTCTTGTGGCTCAGGTTTTCAGTGGCAGTTACTCCAAACCTTGCACATCCAATTTCAGTTGTATCCATGATGAACCATTGTTTCTACCCCTCCGCTCCCCAGACACATCCACCCCCATCCCATGTGAGTACTGCTTTGGCTGCACCCCCTCTTTCTTTCCCGTCACTTTCTATCAGTGATTGTCTCTATCAAACCGCATGCTGACCTGATTCAAAAGCTTGGCCAGTTTGACTGAAAACTGATACAGATCAGCTTCAGCACTCAGTGAGCAGGCAGGACATTGCTGGTGATGAATGGAGCGAGAGCTGGAAGGGCTTCAGTCACATACCACATGGAAATATCCGTTTCAGACAGAATTCCTCTATGTGCAAAGATGGGGGTCTTTGTTGAATGAACGTCATTCACTTGTTTTTCTTTTTGTCACAAGCTGGAGAAATGTTCAGTGAAAGATTTCCCATGAATATTTGTTACTGTACCTTTGAGTTCGGGCTTGCACAATAGGGTAAAGGGGTCTGGTATTCTCACGCCAATGCTGAGTCGTTGCAAAGGCATCATGTGAAAAAGCGCTATATCAAATGCAAGGATTATTATTATTACTTCAACTGGCACCAAATTGTCCTTTTAAAGAAACAATGGAGTCTAAAACGCGACACTGGAGCACTGCAAGATGTTGTGTTAACTGCATCTTCCATTTTGCAGAGGTTGCATTCTATGTCCCAGTCTGCAACACATGATTGTGATTTGTAGACACCAGATAGAGGATTTGTTACAATGTTTTTCTTGTATTCAGTGATGTCCCTCGCCAGACAGACCACAAGATAAAGTAAATGCTGCCTGACAGTATTACCTGTGAACTATTTTGTTAAGAGACATTGCCCCAGGTTGAGAACCAATCCCTTACCGTGAGAGCTACTCTTAGGAGTTTTGTGACATCCTAAGCAGCAATAGTTCCATTACAACTGAAGGTCACATCATACAATAGTGGGAAAGCTTGTTTCCTAATGATTCCCATATTTTCTGTCCCTGGGAGTGGAGGAGGAGATGGACCACAGCTGAATCTCAGCTCTTGCAAACATCCCACAGATGGGCAGACCACGACTGAGGTCCAGATACACCAGGAGCCACTGGGAAGGGGAGGTGGTTGCAAATGACCCATGGGACAAGTTACGAAAACATATGAGATTGTTTATACAGCACTTTGTTACTACCAAAGAGTTTGGTGCACTGTCAAACTGGACAGTCATCAGCCACCATTTAATTCAGAACTGAAGGTAACATCAATAAATTGTCTTCACATCCTATCCAAATGATTCACATTCCAATGTATCACAAGATTATTTTGGATGAAGAAGGCCCTTAGGCTCATTTGATCTCAACCCTCCAGAATGTCCACCCTACCATTTTCCCATCACAGCATAAAGGTGCTTTTACAATGATTCCAGTGTCCTGGCCTCAACCACCCCTTCCTGGCAACCTGTTCCAGTTGTTGATTACCCTCTGGATAAAGAAATAGGATTGGATTGGCTGTGAAATACAATTAGAAAAAGCAAAGACAGCATGAAAGTCCTACAAATGTACTGTCAAATATAGGTTGTTTAAAAATGTTGCATATGCCTACAGAAAACAGTAACGTGTGGATGGCGGAATTATATGTATAAATTGATATATCTTGGGTTGTCTTCTGTTCTCTCACACCGTGATCTGGTAGCGTCTGGTTTCCTTTGTTCAGGCTTGCTCGTAACTTGGCTTCTGTTGTGGGGAAAGCAGGAAGTTAAGATAACTTTCAAAACAATTAACTTGTGATTTATCACTGAGAAGGCGAGAAATACCCAGTCCAGTGGACCTGCCAGAGCTGTGTGTTAAAACCTGTCCCTACTGAAGGGAACAATTGATCATGTGGTGCATTCCCGATCTCTGTTGAGAGCCTTACCTGAGACTCGATCCTACAGAGACTGATGATCCCATGAGAATAGGTGGTCAATCAGGACTACACAACAAACATGTAGAATGCAGTTACAACCCCCTGACCTTCCCTGCATTCAACGAGGAGAGAATAACTCTTTCCTTCTTCCACCCACCTTAAATCCTAATACGCAAGGCCTGAAATTCTACCGAGTCTTAGCTTGTAAGACTAATTTGCTTTAAATTTAAGATTGCTCAGAAATGTGGAAAACTTGTTTTTTCCTTGGAAAAAAAAGAACTAGCTTCCAAATTCAAACTGAAATGAAGAGTGTTTTTCACAAGTCTGCACAAACCTTAAATTTTAAGACAAAATGGCCTTACAGGCTAAAATGAGGTCGAATTTTGGGGCCTTTAGAGAGTCAGTGTCTCTCAGTTGTAACATTATTGGCTTTTCAAAATGTACTTGTACAATGTTGTGAAGCGTGTGAAAGACAAAAGGAGTCCGCAGCAATCTAATATTTTGTTGTCATTTCTTGATAAATCTATAATATTGTGTAAAATAATAATAATTATTGCATTTGATATTGTGCCTTATTGTGTTGTCAAAACATCTCAAAGTGCTTCACAGGATTTACTGCAGTGTGGAGAGGTGTACACGGTAGCCAACTTTTGCACAGCAATGTCCCACAAAGAGCCATGGAGTGTGTAGCCAATTTTATCTGGAGATTGTTGGCCAGGACACCAGGAGAAACTCCTTTTTCCTTTCAAAAAGTACCATGGAATTTTTAATGTCCACTTGAATAGTCAAATGATAGCACCTCTGACAAATGTTTCGGGCAATTGCTGTGTACAATTGGCTGCAGCATTTCGCCCACAAAATACACAGACAACCTGCTTTACGATATATTTTCTGAAGCGCTTTGAGTCATCTCAACAACATGGTAAGGGGCTATAGTAAGTATTATATTGTTATTATGTATCAGATTTCCCTGAGAGTCATGGCTTCACCTAAATGTACGTTTCCTTTGTTTTAGTGAAGTATATGAGGGAAGCAACGCCGTACATAAAGAAGAACTCTCCTGTTTTGGAACTTGGATGGGAAACGCTTCCTCCAGAATCCCCCCGGCTCGGCTTCGTCCCCACGGAATCTCCCTCACCCCCTCCCTTCTCATTACACCTGGATTATAAAGACCGGAAAAGCATCCCATTGAAAATGTGCTATGTCACCCGAAGTCTGTACACCCCTGACCCAGAGAACAGGTAAACTCTTCATGGTGCTCAGTCTTCGTTGTAGAACTGCAAATTATCAGTAGTGGAACATTCAGGTCGGTTCATACTTCGGAAGCATTTTCACTGACTGATAAAACAGAGCCTCCATCAACTAGGACAACAATAGACCAGATAAAGCTCCCGGCTCAAGTATGGGGAAGCTGATTAAGCACAAAAACAGTGCCAAGGAGGAGAGATTAGAGTGTCCTTCTGTTAAGCTCAGCGATAAAATAGAGACAGTTTCACTTTTCAGTACTTTTTAAGATAGATGGCACAGTCAGTATTTCAGCTGTTTAAAGGGGAAGTGCATTCATGTGAATTGCCACGTAAAAGTATGTTCAGTATCACTGTGTGATGCCTCTCATTGTGCCTTATGGTTCGAAACAGCTAATAATGGCAGTCTGGGGAATAAATAGTCCTGGTTTGTGACATCACACAGTGAAGGTTCAAAATCATTGATATAAAATATGTTTCATATAAAAATGACAGACCTCATAAAATAGACCAAAGTCGTCAGTAAGGCTGAGTGCTACTTTAAGAGGTGCTTTTGCACAACTGGCTTTTGGGGACTTTCCTGGCTGACTATAACTAACATAATAGTTTTTTCTGCATTTCCTTAATAGGAATCCCATTAAGAAAACCTGTCAACTTGCACTGTGCTCCATAATGGTCATAGAGCACGGAGGTTCAGAGACAGTGTTTCCCTGGGAGATATCAATGGAGTCTGTGTTGAAGTGCAACACAACTTAGGAATAACTGTGAAGAATGGAATCAGGCTGTGGCAAGCAGAGCTATAATAATAATGATCACTGCATTTGATATACTTCTTATCACATCATCAAGACGTCTCAAAGCGCTTCAAAGGATAATCTGTATATTCTTGTGTATTTTGTGGGTAAAATGTGTATTCAGGTATTGAGTGAGTTAAGACTACAACTGGATTGAGTGAGCTGAGACAGGAGATGTGACAATAACTCAGGCTTCCATTACTTTAAAACTGATGTGGGAAGTATAGAGACAATAGGTCCCACTATAGCTCCAGGCATTTGAATAACTTTGAATAACTGATCCATACAAACAGGGAAGGTGTCAGTTCAACATAGAGTTACATAGAGTGATATGGCATGGAAACAGGCCATTTAACCCATTTAGTCCATGCCAGTGTTTATATTCCACACAAGCCCCTATCCTTCTTATTTCCCTCTCCAGTATCCCTCTATACGCTTTCTCATGTTTTCTCTTAACAACAACAACAACAAGATTCCATTTATAAAGCGCCTTTCACGTCAGGAGGACGTCCCAAGGCGCTGCACAGTTGGGTCATGACCCGAGCAGGGGGGAAATGGTCAGGGTGAGGGGAGGGGAGGGAGCGAGGAGGGGGGAAATGGTCAGGGTGAGGGGAGGGATGGGAGGGAGCGAGAAGGGGGAAGAGAGTCGAGAGGGGAGCTGAAGGCTCGGTCAAAGAGAAAGGTCTTGAGACCGGCCTTGAAGGAGGAAAGGGAGGAGGCGGCGAAGGCACTGGGGGATAGAGTTCCAGAGCCTCGGGGCTGAGAGGCTGAAGGCCCGACCACCAATGGTAGGGCGGTTGGGGCGGGGGACGTGGAGCAGACCGGAGCCGGAGGAACGGAGGGTACGGGCAGGTAGGTAGGGGGATAGTAGGTTGGAGAGGTAGGAGGGAGCGAGGCCGTGAATGGCCTTGTAGGTGAGGATGAGGATCTTGAATTCGATCCTCTGGGGGATGGGGAGCCAGTGGAGGCGAGCGAGGGTGGGAGTGATGTGGTCCCGAAGCCTGGTGCGGGACAGTACACGAGCTGCAGAGTTCTGAATGACCTGCAGCTTGTGGAGGGAGGTGGCGGGAAGGCCGGCGAGGAGAGAGTTCCCATAGTCCAGCCTTGAGGTGACAAAGGCGTGAACCAGGGTTTCAGCAGCGTGAGGGGTGAGGTAATGGCGTAGTCTGGCGATGTTCCGGAGGTGATGGAAGGCGGTGCCAGTTGTGGTGCGGATGTGAGGGAGAAAGGACAGCTCAGGGTCGAACAAAACGCCGAGGTTCCTGACCGGCTTTGAGAGGTGGAGAGTGCAGCCTTGGATGCTGATGGTGTCGGCGCCTGAGGTGCGGAGGCGCTGACGCGAACCAATCAGGAGGGCCTCGGTTTTTCGCACGTTGAGCTGAAGAAAGTTGTCTCTCGTCCAGGACTCGATGTCGGACCCATTAAACACATTGGTTTGCTGTTTGCTTCAACCACAGCTTCCAGCAGTGAGTTCCACATTCTCACCAACCTCTGTGTGAAAGTTTCCCCCTGAACTCCTTATAAGATCTACCATTAACTATTTTAGATGTATGCCCTCTCATTTTGGATTCACCAACAAATTCCTCTGATTTCTTTAACTGTGGAAATTGCACCATTTATGCTCAAGACCCAGATTTTAAAATACTTGTGCTGTGATTGCAGTACTCGCTGGCTTTGCATATCTGATTATACGTTTGCCTCTATTGTCAAAGTGTTTGCAAATGATTTGCTTGTTCAAATCCTCACCACCTAGTGGGAAGAATCAATAAGTGTTGGGTACATGCTGTTTCAGCTATTAGACAAGACCTTGTTAGATGTTGTTAATAATCCTTGCATTTGATATATCGCCTTATCACTTTGAAATGTTCCAAAGTGCTTCATGGAGTTTATTTAATGGAAAGTGTAGTGACTATGTATTTGTAGGACTGCAGCAGCCAATTTGCGCTCAGGAATGTCCTATAATGACAACAACAAATTACGTTCGTATAGCGCCTTTCACGTCGGGAGGATGTCCTAAGGTGCTGGACTGTCAGGGATTGGGACCCGATCAAGGAGTGGGGATCAGGAGGGGTGGATGGCAGGGAGGGTACAGGTAGGAGGGTGGCCGAAGGTGCGGTTGAAAAGCTGGGACTTGGGACATGCCTTGATTGAGGTAAGGGAGAGAGCAAGGCGAAGGGACTGTTGGATGGAGTGTGGGCAGAGAGGCTGAAGATCTGACCACCGATGGTGGGGTGGGCCGGGCAAGGGACGTGGAGCAGGTCAGAGCCTTCTGAGCGGAGGGAGTGGACAGGTTAATATGAGGTTAGCAGGTCACAGAGGTCAGAAGGAGCAAGGCCAGGAGGGCTTTAAAGGCGAGGATGAGGATTTTGAACTATATCTTCTGGGGGATAGGGAGGTGGGCGAGGGTGGGTTGTTAGGGTCATGGAGCCTGGTGCGGGAGAGGATGTGAGTTGCACAGTTCTGAATGATCTGCAGCTTGTGGAATGAAGAGTTGGGAAGGCTGACAAACAAGGAGTTGGAGTCGTCAAGTCTATATGTAATAAATGCGTGGATGAGGATATCGGCGGCCTGAGGGGAGAAACAGTGGCAGAGCCAGGCAATTTTGAGGAGGTGGGGGAAAGCAAAGCGGATCATGGGACAGATGTGGGTTAGAAAGGAGTCAAACCAGATGCCAAGGTTCCGGACTGGCTCAGTGAGGTGGAGTGTACATCCCTGGATAGTGACAGTGCCTGAGATGTGGAGGTACTGATGGGAGCCAAACAGGAGGGTCTTGCTGACGTTCAACTGGAGAAAGTTAGCTCTCATCCAGGACTTGATGTCTGACAAACATTCTGTCAGGAAAGCAGTGGTCCTAGAGTCGAGGGTGGAGGCAGAGAGACAGAGTTGGGTGTCCTGCATACATGTGGAAGTCAGAGAGTGTAACATTGAATCCTTAACGTCTATCTGAAGAGGTAGATAAGATCTTATTTTAATGAATCATCTGCAGGTTGGCACATCCAACAAATTCAGTACTCCCCCAGCATTGTACTAGAATGCCAGCCTAGACTAAAACTCAAAGTCCCGATATGGGGCTTGAACCCACAAACTTCTGACTCAGAAGCAAGAGTGCTTCCAACAACAACAACTTGGATTTATATAGCACCCTCCACGCTGGACGGAGTCTCAGAGCGTTTTACAGTATCGGATCCCGGAGCCGAGCCAGGGGGATGGGGAGGAAGGTGACGAAAGACGCGGTGGAAGAGAAAGGTCTTCAGCAGAGACTTGAAAATAGGAAGAGAGGGAGCGAGGTGAAGGGAGTGAGATAGGGAATTCCAGAGCCTCGGGGCATAGTGGCTGAAGGCACGGCAACCGAGAGTGGAGCGGAAGACTTGGGGGACGAGGAGGAGGCCAGACACGGAGGAACGAAGACAATGGGTACTGTTTTGAGGAGAGAGGTCAGAGAGGTAGGAGCGTGCAGAGGAGTGGAGGGATTTGAATACAATGGTGAGGATCTTGAAATCAATCCTCTCTGGGACAGGGAGCCAGTGCGGTCTGGCGAGGACTGGGATAATCGGGGAGCGGAGTTTGGTGCGAGTGAGAATGCAGGTGGCAGAGTTTTGAATGATCTGGATTTTATGGATGGTAGTGGATGGGAGACCGGCGAGGAGGGCGTTAGACTAGTCCAGCCGAGAGGTGACAAAGGCATGGACTAGAGTTTCAGCGGCTTTCGGACAGAGGTATTGGCGGAGGCGGGCGATGCATCGGAGATGAAAGAAGACGGTACTAGTGAGGGTCCGGATGTGGGGGAAGAAGGATAATTGGGAGTCGAACCTGACGCCTAGGTCGAACCTGACATCTTCCATCTGACATCAATCAAACATCAAACAAATGACAGTAGCAAGTTTCGGCATCTCCAGCTCTTACAGTGTCCACATCATCAATTACAATCTGAATATCCTACAACTGCTCTTCCTACTGTTGTGATTTTGCTGAATAACAAGGAAAGCAGATAAATGAGGACAATTAGAAGAGGTTCCATTGTACTTCAAACAATGCCTATTATTGAGTGTTAAGTGATACATACAATGAGACATGCCTGACTGAAATTGATATAGTTACTTTCTAAATGTTGGCATCTTTTGATACTCATGGATGGTTGAGAAGTAATGAATAAAAATAATTTTTGACTGCTCATTTATGAGCAGTTTTGTACTGTGCGCTTAAGCAATTTAACACAGGACCCTTACAATCTGAAATTTCACCTGGATTCTAGCCAGAGTCCAAGAGGGAAAAGTTCTTGCCTGGTACATCAGCCAATGATGTCTAATTAATGTGTGGGACAATCTGCTAGTTATTATTTACTGCACAGTATAGTACGTTGCTATTTCATACGTGGTGAGGTCTGTTGATTACTATTCAACATGAGGTACCATCTGTTATAATCTGACTTTACCTATCAACAGTTATAATAGTAGTTTCGACCTCAAAAAGATATATTTATATGGTTAGAAAGAGAGATGTACGCACACAAATATGGAGATAGCGTTACAATGAATGAAGAGCTAGGACTGAAGAGATCAGGCCCTCGTTAAATTAGAAACAAAAGATATGGCCATTAACTCGGATGCAGAACACATCTTTGAATTGAATGGAAATTTGTACTTGACTTTGTAATTGTTCTTTCTTTCAGACAGTTTGAACTACATTCCCCTGACTGTAAGCACACGGTCGTCCTACGGTGTAAAGATCCAACAATGGCCCAGGCCTGGTTTAACACTGTTCAGGCCAACACCAACAACCTTACCCCTAAGGTGATTGCAGAGGTCAAAGAGCAACTGGGAAGAACAGGGTTAGCCGGGAGTCGAGAGATTCGACATATAGGTTGGCTTGCAGAAAAGGTAAGACTGAATGAAAATTTTATTATTTGCTGTGGGGTTGGGAGAAATTGCACATGGTTGGCAGTAATTAGACTGTGAAAATAATGACCAGTAAAATGAGATAGCAGTAGTGAATAACTTCCTGCCTAACATCCTGTTTATACAACAGCTGCTAGTTTGTTTTGTAGCACTCTGCCCTCTCCACAATGCAGGCTCCTGGATAACTTTCCCTGGTTTGTTGACATTTGCCCTTTATTTATTGTTATTTTTGGTCAGTCGAGTGTCTGACACATGCGGAAATACATAACCATGCTTATGAGTATCCAAACCAAACTAAGTTCAATGCATCCAACTTATACACGGACATTTCCAAAATATTTATTGAAATGTGCATTCTCTCCCTGGAGGGATGCATCCTGGTTACCTAATTTTAGAGGAATAGGCGCAGGTTGGCAATAGCCAAGGCTTGGGGATCCCAGAGTGTGCTTTGGGGTACTGCTGGAGTCTAACCAGCTAAAACTGGAAAGCTTGCCTTTGAAAACACTCTTTGGCAAGCTTTCCAGCTGCTTGTCCAGCCTGAGCCAACTGGCCCTTTAGGGCTTTGGCTTGCAGGGTTAACGGGAGCTGAGTGGGACGAATTATCCCGATCCATGCAAGGGGTGATTGGAAAGATTGGGAAAGTCCTGTGACAAGGAGAACCTGGATTTGATGCTTCTTTGCCTAAAAATTATTTTTTTTGAAAATGAAGATATCAAAAGATTTAAAAAAAGGCTCTAATGACTATGAATGAAGAAATCGGACTCTCGCTAAATTAAAAACAAAGACCCCTTTGAAACATCTAAGAGAGAAACCATTCTCCCAAAAACAAGGGTGTATTTATTCCCAAACCTGTTGTTAAGGATGTCATTAAACCCCTTTGTAGACTCGCCTTCTTTGATATAGTTCAATTAGTGCCACCCATGCTGCCCCAGGCTACTAGTTAAAAGTAGCACCTATTTAGCAAGGCTCGGACACTGACCTTATTACTGACTTCTGTGAAGTCAAATTAGGGCCAGAGAGGCAGAAAATAGGCCAAGTTCAGCCTCCCTGCAAAGACTAGTGAGTTGTCATGGGATACAATTGAGCATTGCAGGATTCCAGACTTGAAAATTGTTTAATGAATCACTGTAAATAATGCCCCCCCCCACATTGGTACTATGTATCACCATGGTATCACTATTCCCTGGCGTGGAGGGTAGTTTCCTTTAGTGAAAAGACTCTTGAATGTGCATAGCCACTTATTCTTCTGCTTTTATTTCCACTTTATAAAATTGTACCTCCAAGAATCCAATAATGAGATATCTTAAGAAAACCAAAATGCATTTTTTTTTTCTCGGCAGTTAATACAACAACAACAACAAGATTCCATTTATAGAGCTCCTTTCACGTCGGGAGGACGTCCCAAGGCGCTGTACAGTTGGGTCAGGACCCGAGCAGGGGGGAAATGGTCAGGGTGAGGGGAGGGAAGGGAAGGAGCGAGGAGGGGGTAGAGAGTCAAGAGGGGAGCTGAAGGCACGGTCAAAGAGAAAGGTCTTGAGACCGGCCTTGAAGGAGGAAAGGGAGGAGGCGGCGAAGGCACTGGGGATGGAGTTCCAGAGCCTCGGGGCTGAGAGGCTGAAGGCCCGGCCACCGATGGTAGGGCGGTTGAGGCGGGGGATGTGGAGCAGACCGGAGCCAGAGGAACGGAGGGTACGGGCAAGTATGTAGGGGGATAGTAGGTCGGAGAGGTAGGAGGGAGCAAGGCAGTGAATGGCCTTGTAGGTGAGGATGAGGATCTTGAAATCGATCTTCTGGGGGATGGGGAGCCAGTGGAGGCGAGCGAGGGTGGGAGTGATGTGGTCCCGAAGCCTGGTGCAGGACAGTATACGAGCTGCAGAGTTCTGAAATAATCGATTATGTCAAAAGAAAGATGCTCTAAGTAACTTTAGGAGCATGGTATTGACTCTTCCTTTAACGGTAGGATTGATGCGATGCATAGATGATCACCGTTCCCCATGCCCCTATGTTACTGAATGACTTTGCTTATTGATTTTCTATTGTAGAGTCTGCTGTACAGACTGAGACATCTGCTCAACAGAACTTTTCCTGATTTACTAAAATGTCATTTTTCTTTTAAGACTTTCTAAAAATTGTTTTTAAAAACATATTTTTCCTTAGAAAAAAAAGTTCACGCATGGTGTTAAAAACTCAGTGGTAGCTTTGCTGTGACAGGCTAGATCCATGCTGTGAAAAATGCTGAAAAGTTTCCTTCCTGTTTATGTGTTTTGCATTAGAATTACCCACCTGCAATCTATCGATTTAACGTAGCTCCCGAATCAGAAATTTTACAACCCACATTGAGTGGATGAAATGCAACTTTGGGGGTATTTGAGAGCCAAAGTGGTGGTAAAAACCCTTGGCATTATTTCCGAGTGCTTTGCTGCAGTGAACTCTCTCTTCAGGACACATCTCCGTTGTTGATGATGAGAGAAGGGAACGGAGTCCGTTAAACTTAAAGATAAATAATTTCCTACACTGTAATCTATAGATATGAGGAACATTGGATTACATTCAAGTTTACATTTTGGTTCTAAGGCTATTTAACAAATGCCTCACTTCCTCCATAAAATTTGTAATAGAAGTAATAAACTCACAACACTTTCCAATGCTGCGTTTGAATGAAGCAAAGTTTTTTTTTCTGATTCATGGAGTGCAATAACCGATGCTTTTGATAAAATTTTGTTTCCGGGTCAGCAATGGATCTGTACTTTATATCTGAATGTATTGTATAAGCAAGGCTTCTGGATGAAGTTTATGGTGGAGTCAAAAATAAATATTTATATTGAAAGCTGCAGTCTGTGTACATTTGCAAATAGTGAAGTACTGCAGCAGTATCAATGGACATTACTGCAAGCAAAAACATTAGTAGAAGCATCTTATTCCTCTTCAGACTGAAGTTCAGTTACATTTCTGTGATGTTTTTATTACAGTACATGCCAGAAAGAATATTCTCTGTCTGAAGAGAAATGTCCACTTTTCAAATTTGAATCACCTGTAATGAAAGATGCATGTCTGTATGAATGGAGTATGTGTTTGTGTATGAATGGTGTATGTCATTGTATGAATGGTGTACGTCACTTTATGAATGGTGTATGTGTTTGTGCATTAATGATGTGTGTCCCTGTGAATAGTGTGCATCTCCTGTGAGTCACCATCTTGAATATTTACAGGCATGACACCCCCTAAGGCTGTTCTTGAGAAGATCTTCGGCTAAGCAAATGACAGGAAACCAACTTTTGTTTAGTAAATCTGCAGCATTGGAACACCACTTGTAGGACAAAAATAGTTTGTGCCAAGGCTGGGGGTAGGAGAGAGGGAATTTTCATTGTCCATTGTTGGACCAATGTCATTCTCTGTATGAATGGCACTTACAAATGGCACATTGTTATGTGTTGCAGTGTGCTCTGTCCAACTGTGATAGAATTTGACATTATAAGGTGTCAACAAACGATCTGAATCTGTGTTTTTTCTAGCAATTTATCATGTATGTAGGTAGCAGTGAGTGGATTACTCTCAAAAACCTGTTACATTTGTGTTGAATTCTGCAATCCGCCCACTCCTCGTGACATCCAGGCCTACTTGAATTACAATTGATTGTATTTGAAAATTTGAATAATTGAAGATGATTTGTCATCGAGGAATTTGTGATATCACTTTAAACTATGTGTTTGTCTCTGGAGCTGACTAGCAATGTGAAATCTCTTTCATGTCTCTTAAGTTTCAGCTAGTCAGACTTCCTGTTACAACAACAACAATAAATGACATTTGTATAGTTCCTTTCATGGTCTGGGACATCCTCTCATAAAAGGAGTTGGGAGGACGTCCCCTCTGAATGGAGGAGATATGACCCCATAGTCAAGAAGCACAGTGTCAAAGGAAACTAACCCTCTGTGCTTGCATAGATATTTTGACATTGTTGCTTAAGGATTGCGATGATGGAAAGACATTTTTGCACTGGGGGCGGGGATTCTTCCCACTCGTCTCCTGTTAAGCCTGCAAGCAAGGTTCTAATGGGTAGGGTAGTTCTAGCTGGACAAGCAGTGGGAAGCTTGCCAGACAGTGCTCTTAATGGTAAGATTGTTTTTAGCTGGTTAGATTCCAGCAGTATCCCACTCACACTCTGAGGTCCCCAAGTCATGGCTCTTGCCATCCTGTGCCTGATACTCTCCAGAATTGGGTAAGCATGATGGATGGTAGAGAGTACGCATTACATACCAGCCATAAGGAAATTTCCATGTGAAGGTTGCATATATATGTACAACTCTCAGTGTGGATTGGACACTTTAAGCATGATGATATGCGTTTCCACATGGCTGAACAAAAAAAGTGTATGTTCACAAACCACCATTCGATTTATTTTGGTGATATCTGGCAACCAAACAACAGGAGCCCAACTGTATATGATTGTTTTCCCACAATCTGACAGAAATTCAGCATTAAAAAATGATTATGAGCAGAAACAAAGAGCTTCTTATCTCTTCAGCGGTATTAGAGGAAGCTGCTGATTCGATTAGAAAACTATTTTCACATGGTGTTTGCTCTTGAATGGAAGCGCAGGCTGGTTTTGTCTGTTTTGCCGAGAAATTGACCCTTATATTAGAGGAAACTTCAAATTGAAATCCCAGAGAGGACTGGAGATTCTCTAACATGTAACAGTGATTGTTCTACAAGTGACTCAAAATAGGAGGGGTGAGCTGTGGGCGATACACAAAGGAATTAAATTAAGGATACATCTCTAATTGCTGCTGAAACAAAGCCTGGGATGCCACCAAGGTTTCAAGAAGCCCCTCAGTTGCTCTCCATAGAAATGGCTTCAAGAACACCCTGCCATCCATTAATAATAATGTTTGCATTTGATACATGACTTGGGTTTCTTATTAAGAAATATCACTAGAAATTGCAATGTTTTAGACCCCAGTGTGAATATGTGCATTAGGTGGGTGAGTGGGGAAATGAAAGTGTTGTTTGTGGTTAAATTTGTGGATACGGTTCAGGATCCTGGTCCTCACCTTCAGAGCCCTCCATGGCCTTGCTCCCCTCTACCTCTGCGATCTCCTAACCCCCTACCATCCTGCCCACTCCCTCCGCTCGATGGGCTCCAGCCTGCTTCACATCCCCCGCCTCGCCCGACCCACCATAGGCGGGCGGGCCTTCTGCCACTCTGCCCCCATTCTGTGGAACTCCATCCCACAGTCCCTCCGCCTCGCCCCCTCCATTGTCACCTTCAAGATCCATCTCAAGACACTCCTCTTCGATACGTGCTTTTGATCACCCCGCTTCCATCTGCCCTCCCCAGTCCCGAACCCCAGTTCGGGTCCGAAACACTGACTGACCACTGCCTTGGGATGTCCTCCCACCGTGAAAGGCACTATAGTAATGTAATTTTGTTGTTGTTGTTAAATTAAATGCGATGTATGGAAGATAGAGTGGAACAGGAATATTCCTACATTGATTTTAACTTGGAGACTATCTGGATGGACCACAGTGCTCTTTTCCAGTCCTGTCCATTCCTAGTTATTTAAGTTAAGTTTCTTTTGCAGTAAAACAATGATTAACTTGCTGGTTTATTTCTAGCACTTTTTATTTAGAGTTCAAGCATTCATTGCTCTTTCTTCCTTTTTCTCTCATCGTAAATGCTCTTGGTTTCTCTCTTGTCCGATGCAGACAACAGGAGAGAATGTACGGCAGTCGTTGAAGCCTACTCTGATCGTTCTCACTGAGAAGGACATGCTAATTTATCACAGCATGCCTCGCATGAAGGAAGCATGGTTCAGCCCAGCCCACACCTATCCACTGCTGGCCACCAGGTAAGAGAAGGGACTAAATGCTTTAAAAATGGTCGCTTCAGTTTACCACCTGATCCCAAGATAGATGCGGATAAAGAAGTTCTTTTGGCACATTTGATCTCATCCTTCCAGAACCCTGAAGTCCTCCCACCACAGCATTGAGTTTTTTAAAACGAGTCCAGTGTCCTAGTCTCAGCCATCCTTCCAGGCAACCTTTTCTAGTCATTAATTATAATAATAATAATAATAATAATCCTTGCATTTGATGTAGCGCTTTTCACGTCGAGAGGACGTCCCAAAGCGCTTCACAGAACACACTGTAAAGTGAATTGACTGTATATTTGTGGGCGAACGCGGCAGCCAATTGGGCACAGCAATGTCCCACAAACAGTTGTAGATTGAAAATGACCAATTTATTGTTGTTTTTGGTTTTGGAGGGATTATTATTAGGCGTGTGGAGTAAGGAAACTTGCCCAAGGTTTCACCCTGCCTGGAATTGAACTCAGGTCTCTCACTTGCAAAGGGAGTGCTCTAACCACTGAGCTACAGGACTCAGTGGTTTATCCTCTGGGTAAACAAAGACTTCCTGGTATCTGTCCTGAAATTGTCCTTTACAAATATAGACCTGTGTCCTCTTGTTCTGCTGTCTCGGTGCAATCAAAGTATAAACTTAATTTTTATTCAGATGCGTTTTTCTGTCAGATTTCATTGCACAGCCTATGATCCTTTAGTCTGCTCAGACGTTTTCTCTCCTTAATCCCTGTTGCATTCCCTGCACTCCACTGTTCTCTTTATATTGGAAACTGCAGATTTACAATTTGCCTCAGATTTAAGACCCCCTGAAATGTGGTGACAAATGATTTATTTGAATCATAAATCAGAGAAATTATGTTACCCGTGAACTGCACATTGTGCACTCAGTCATTATCCACAGTCCAGCACAAACAACTGAAATGAATTTCTTGGGGGGTTTAAATAATTTTATTGCCAATAAAAGCGTGAGGGTATTAGGCACCCTGTTTTGTACTGTTAAGTATACTTTACGCCTGCATGAAAGTCACATTAAAGCTATACCAATATATTTGCTTGGATCATCTCTCCCTCACCCATCAGTCATTCCTTAACTGGTTTACAGGCAGTAACAGTGAATATTTGCCTCATTGCACAGAATGAGTGGATTCCTCATTCGCTGTGTAGTGCAAACTGGATTGAAAACAAGATGGAACATTGGTAAAAGCACCTGAATTTTATCTAGGAAACTCATACACTGCAATGCCAACAAGCCCTCCCCATTTCAGAAACAACCATGAAACTTTCAGTAGCTGCGGACAGTTGAAAATAGCCATAGTTGCAGATGGAATTCTAGGAATGAGTCCAAATAAGATAATAAACAATGAATTATTTCACATTTGACTGAGCTAATCAACTCAATGGCCTTGAATTGTTAGATTTGTAGTTCAACTTTGGGGAGGGAATAACTAACCTTTGAGTCTGTAATAATCTCTGTATTGACTGCTGGCTACGAACACCTGCTATTGTGGCTCCAAAAGACTGGGAAAAGTCCCAGTGGGAAAGTAGCAACAAATACCTTCTCTGTTTTGGGCGATGAGGGGAGAGGATGGAGAAGAAATAGGAGAGAGTTGGCCCCACGATAATAGGTACAGCTCTGGCCATGCCAGGACAATCTGATTTTTCTGCACTAATTCCTCTGAAAGGTTATCCTGCCAGGGCTTAATTGAAGGTTGATCATTGTCAGGTTAGTTTCTCCCATGACCCAGCTATGACCCTGATCTCAGCAGCTGCACATTGCTGCCTCGTGAGTGACTCGCCATTGGTCTGAAACCCCTTCCGCTGAAATGTAGGGAACAGGTTTAAAGATAACGTGGTTTACATTTTGCAATATATGTCATATGTATCCCATCAAATGGACAGTAGGCGTCCTCCAATGCAGTGTTGCGGAGATGCTGTTTTGTCGGATGCGTTATTCTTCAGATGAGACTCCCTGCTTCAGTCTTTCCACCTTGCGCCCTCTGTATTTAACACACTGCTTTTGGAACAAACTTACCTGCATTGGGGCGCCATCTGCTGATCTTCCTATATGTGTTTCTTATATAAAAAAAGTTTAAGAACATGTGTAGGAATTGTACAAATTTTACCCCTCGCTTATTGTGTATTTCCAGAGGTTTGTTTGCACGTCCTCTTTTCAGGATGTTCTTCTTTTCTGTTTGGATTTTCTCTCAGACACAGCTGAACACTGTACAGCTAAACACCAAGTTTCAAGTTACCCAAAGGACAGATGGTCTTCTTTCAGAGTGGATTTTCTGTCAAGAATATACAGAGATTAGTCTTCAATGTAGTTCTTCTTAACAAAGTTTAACACCCAGACCCGGTGCCTAAAAAATCACATTTTAATGTCAAATCTTGTGATGTTTTTTGAGACTCCTCCCAACGTGAAAGGCGATAGCTATATCAAAATGCAAGGATTATTGTTACAATGCAAGCATAATAAGTGCCTTTTACAGTGGGAGGATTCTCAAACACACCACGGGATTTAATGTAAAGTGTTGTGACTGTGTATTGGAAGGCAAATGAGGCAGCTAGTTTGTCCACAGTAATGTTCCACCAACAGCCATGAGGTGAAGGACCAATTGTATTTGGATTGATGGTCAGGACACTGGGAGAAACTCCCTTTTCTTTTTAAATGTGAGAACTTTAATATGCAACTGAACAGGCAGACATGTTTAACATCTCATGCAGATTATTGGTCATGGTATGTTTATTAAGTGATAATTCCCAGGTAATTGCTGGCTGCTATTGCAGACAGTATAGACTATGTTCATTCTAATAACATTAATGCAACAGATGATTACTTGAGATTACCATAGGTGATTACCATACAGATAAACAGGTGATTACCATACAGATAAAGATCAATATTTCATGCAGCAGTAGCAATACTACTATTGACCTCCATGCTCCAGAATTCGAGGGAAAATCAGACAAAGTTCCCAAACCTGATCATTAATGCAGTGACCCGCTCAGAGAAAATGCATGTGTCTGGATATCTTGAGAATAGAATTGGGTTCAGTAATTATCAGCTTGCGGAAGCATAGCCTGCCGACAATCACTGCCTTGGCTCACGAATGACAGGTGGCCACTGGTGAGTAACTGCAAGGTACTGCGGATCCATACCTAGTAAGAATCAGCAGGAATGAAGAGGGAAGAAAGTGGGATGGGTAGGGGGACGGTGGGGGGGGGGGTAAGGAAAGTGTAACAGTAAGGAACTGGACAACTTCAGAGTGGTGAAGTGATAGGATCCAAGGTAATTCATGTGTTGAGTTATTGTCCTCCACTGTCAATGGGAAGGTACTTATCACAGAAAGAGGAAAGTCTTTCCTCTACCCCCTCTCCCCCACCCCCACGTTAAATGGTTACAGAACACCATTGTAGGAGGAGTGGGAGTGAATCTGCACTCGCACCTAAGAAAGAACAAGAGAGTAAAGAGGAAGGAAGATTTAATCTCACTGTTAAGTAAATAAGTGAATGAGCAATGATGACATGAGAGTTACTGTATTCCAGAGACCCATATAAACTGGCATAACATGAAGTTGATAAATGGGTTGTGTGCAGGATTTCTCCCCCGGGGTGTGTAATGGAGGTCACTGTGCAACACAGAGAGCAGAAATTTCTACTTGTAAACAGGTTCCACGACAGACTGTGTAATTGGGAGAATTATGCTGTGACTGAGCTATTAAGTTAATAAAATATTCCCATGACAAAATGACAGTGCTAATAATGAGTCATGTTATTGCTAGATTATTGAAGCCGAACAGCACAATCTCTCAGCTGTTTGGAATTCTGCTCCGTGTGCTAATATGAATTTGCCAAGTCAAATCAATTACAAGTGAGACACAAACTTTCATTCTTTCAATGTGAGGCTCTTCTGTTGCCGAGCTTGCAGTGTTAAACAAAAGTACACTTGTCTTAAATACCAGTCAGCCTGGAGCTTTCAGATGTCGTGAACTTCACATCTGTCATTTATATTATGTGCGTATTGAAAAAACTGTTGTGATAAAGATCTGTAAATAGAACAATATGTTTAAAATTCCTTTAAATTCTGATCCAGCCCAAGGAAGTGACTTGCTTTTTCTCCCCGTTGAGAACAAGAGTGAGGTCAATACAGAGCCTTAACCCAATCACTACAGTTCATGAAGCTGTAGTAAATACCATCTCCTCTGCATCTTACCTAACAACAACTTGCATTTATACATTTCGCCTTCATGCAAGGAATGTGTCACTGAGAGCTTGCAACATGTTTAAGGGAGATTTGATTGAAAAGCTCTTGACAAATACATTGGTTTCATTCGTATAAAAAGGCCCAAATGTTACCCCTCCCAACAAAAAAGAAGGGTGTGTGATTATCACAATGTTGAACATACCACTGCTGGAGATGTCCTGGGGATAATGGCTGCAGGAGAACAATGTCAGCGCTTTGAGCCACGTGAAGAACGCTATATCAATCCAAATTGGGGTTGTTCTGAAAACTTGAATTAAGTAGGTATTCTGCCAGATGGACTGAAATACTGAGATCCGTGCAGTGGTAGATTTAAAAGTAGCAATAGTCAACCCAGTATTTGCAGGGAACAGTGCTTGGACTGACTTTGTAATAATAAATAATAATCCTTGCATTTGATGTAGCGCCATTCACTGCTATCTTGAGACTGATCCCGAAATATGAGGTCTCAGGCAGTGTGGTGATACTGGGGCCACAGCACTCAGTTCTATTCTGTGCCCCAAGGATCCAGAAAGGAGCACTAGTGGGTAGGAAATCAGATTGGAGAGGGTGACTACCACATCCACCCCGTGTTGCAAGTGTGCTGATAAAAGGCTTGTTCACAGCAGTTTACAACAACAACAAGATTCCATTTATAAAGCGCCTTTCACGTCAGGAGGACGTCCCAAGGCGCTGAAAGGGAGAATTGTGAACCGCAGGCTCCATTTAGGCAAAAGCTCCACCAAGCACTCTCCAAAGGGTAAAATTGATTCAATTCAATAAATCATGTTGCTCCAATCATGAGCTTTCATTTACTCAAGTGTGTGTTTTCTGCAGGTTGGTTCATTCTGGTGCAGGAAAGGCATCACCACAGCTGGGTATGGAGCTATCCTTTGCCACTCGCACCGGGACACGGCAAGGCATCGAAACGCATCTCTTCCGCGTGGAGAGCAACTCCAGCCTGTCCAGCTGGACACGGCAGATCGTGCAGGGCTGCCACAAAGCAGCAGAACTAATTAAAGAAATTACAACTAGTGAGTATCCATTAGAGTGAAAGATTGAAGCTTGACAGTGGTGACCACCGCAAGGTGAAATTCATTTGGCTGCTGAGTCTGTTATCCCATTCTTAGCGCTCATCATTACCTTTCAAAGTACTCATTTAATAATAATAATCCTTGCATTTGATATAGCGCTTTTCACATCTTCTAGACGTCCCAAAGTGCTTCACAGAATACTTTCTGTCCAGTAGTGGGTACATATCTGACTCTGACCGTCCAGTGGTGGGTGTATATGGCATCCAGTTGGTAGACAATGTGGTAGGAGCAGGAACAACAACTTGCATTTATTTAGCGGTCGAAGGGGAAGGTATTCAAACATGATCCGAAAATAGGGAAGGAGTGGACAAGACAGAGGGATTGAGGTTGAGAGTTCTGAAACAGAGCCTGTGGAGGCGACGGGTGATAGAGTGGAGAGTAAGCAGGTTGGAGAGAAAGGGAAGTGCCAAGACGTGAAACTCTCTAGCTGCTGTGAGACCACCAGCAAAGTGCCTGCGATATAGAGAGTGCTTTGTCTAGACGATTCCTGCTCAGCATCCAGCATCCAAAGCCTTCAGCTCTGATCGAGTCTGTGGTCCGTTGTGAGTGCTTTTGCTGGTGGTCATGCAACAGTGTCGCTGTCACCGTTATTTTGTAATCCCAGGCAACTAACATGATGAACACTAATTTACAAACAAGTGGGAAATGAAACCAGTGTCGACCATCATGTCCTGGCAACTCTGTAGCTTATCAGTCCTGTGAGCGATCTGCTGAACTGCCTTTGAGCCAGGCCCTCCCTGGTGAAGTGCTGATTGTTGGTCACTTAGTCAGTCACAGCCTGCAATGGGAGGTAGCTACAAAAGGATTAATACAGGGGAATCCCAGAATAAAAAGGCACGGTTGACATACACAATACCGTTTATCAAATACATTCAAACAAATCCTCCCAGAGCTATCTGCAATTAATCAGCCTTATTTGTGGTCAGTTTCATGCACAGTTTTATCAATACAATGGAAGGAATGCGGTCACTTTAATGACAACCAAAGGAAACATTGGCCAGTAGGCATAGGATTTATTTTAAAAGAAGATCGAAGGACGCACGATGAAATTGGAAGCAGCATGTGATGTTGGTAATGGGAAGACAACCGTAGGGAGAGCCAATACATACACTGTTATTATTCAGTTGTGGTCAGGTGTCTTCTGTGAAAATGGCTCGAGTTGAAGGGCTGACATTTTACCTGCTTGTCACACTGTTCAATAAGATGAAAAGAATTGCTAATCTTCTATTACGATTAGCATTTAAACTGAGATGTGGTTATAGAAGCAGCTTCAGAATCTAGCACACAGTGCTTTGGCATTTTGAAAATTTCACTGATTGTTACTGAGCATTTTGCTCCACACGTCATGTACTGATATTCCTACGATCAGATTTACCTGCATTAAAGTGATGAAATAAACTAGAAAAAGTAGAACAGAACAGTCTCTCTGACCCTCTCTCTTACCTTTCTTTCTCTATTACTCTGCCCATCTCTCTCTCTCTGAATCGCTTTGTCTCTGAATCTCTCTCACTTTCTCTCACTTTCTGTAACTTTATGTCTGTCTGGTTTTCTGATTCAAACAGCATACCATACAATCGTATGAACAGTTACTTTTGCACTACTGGCAAATAAAATCTGGGTGTGCGCATGTGCAAAGTAGTGTGCATGTGTCATTTAGCTGCACATTGTAGTGAAATCTCATTCTTAGTAACCTTGTACTCATGTATGCAACTTTGTACATGTGTACAACAGATATGTTTTACCAGTATCACACAGCTCCATGTCACTTCTGCATCAGATAACGTAAAGATCCTTGTCCTAAAACCTTCATATTCCCTGGTGCCTCACTCTACATTTGCAATCTCCTCCACCTAATCTCCACTGACACGATCTATTCCGCCATTTCTGGCCAGCTGTACCTGTTTCATCCATGTTCTGCCATTAGTGGCCAAGCTTTCATCTACAGTGTCTCACTCTCTGGATCTCTCTCCCCAAATCCCTTTGCCTAACACTCTCTCTCTGCCTTCAAAACTTTCCTGAAAACCTATCCCTTTGACTGTACCTTTGGTCAATATTTATCAACAGCTCCTTCTCATACTACCAGGCAAGCCATTGCCTTGAGATATTATTTTGTGTAAATAATGCCATAAGTGCAAATTGTTGATTCAGAAGCTTTCCTCATCAGCTGTGTATCTCATTTTCAGTCCCATCCTAACCTGCCTATTCCTTACACTGAATTTTGTTCCCTCAAGCTCCCTTATGTGAATGTGAACGCACAGGCATAAGTTCCCAGGATTGCACAGAACCCAAAGGGCCTGTTTGATATGCTAACATTTAAAATTCTTGTTGCTAAAAGAGAAGACATAACATTTACAATTAAAATCCTGAACTGTGCTCTTTTGAGGGAAAAGCTAAACTCTATTTTGACGTCAATTTTAGTATATGTGCAGGAGCTGATGGCCAGAGGTGAAATGTTTGTTTGGTGCTGAGTTGGTCTGTCCAGTTGGGTTAAGTGTATTTTGTTATATTTGTGAGAGGAGGAATAGAATAAATACATGATTCCATCTTGCAAGCCATAAAAAAAATCTGAGGCTGCAACGAAGCCTGTACAGTATAGTATATATTATTGTAACATAAATATCATAGACCTGTGCACCATTCATGGAGGTCTGGTCTTGAGTATGAGTATTTAGAACTGTTTATTCTTTGTCTCACAGCGTGTACATACAGGACTCAGGAGTGCCGTTTGGCCATTCATTATGAAAATGGCTTCTCTATCTTAAAAGAAGCTCCAGAAGTAAGTTCGCCAAAACTGATTTGGCAATATTCTTTTGAGAAACTGAAAAACTCATCAGATGATGGTGTCCGCATGCTCTATCTGGACTTTGGAGGAAGGGACGGAGACATTGTAAGTACTTTATATGACTAAAATGTTGATATAAATAAAATAATATTTTCTGTATTATACCAATCAGTTCCATGTAATAGAAAAAATTACGACTCAGACTGGACAGTGCAAGCAACATCATTCTAAATAGGAGTAGACAGTAGTATGCAATTGCTAAAATTATAGACCACATTATATACGTTCCTTATTGTAGCAGGTTGGGTATCAACTTGGCTCAGCTGGTAGCACTTTATGTTTTTCATCAGCCAGGTGACTGACACATGCGGAAACCCATCACCATGCTTAAAAGTATCCAAACCAAACTGAAATTTCCATGCATCCCACCTACACATGGAAATCCTAGAGATAGATTGTTGGAACGGAATGCGCACTCTCTCCCTGGAGGGACTCATCCTGCTTACATAATTCCGGAAAGTATCAGGCACAGATTGGCAAGAGCCAAGGCTTGGGACCCGAGAGTGGGCGTTGGCTCTTGCCCTGAGGCAAATCCTACTTGGGGACTTGTCAGCTCTATGTGACCTAATTTAAACATCTCATGCCAAGGAAAGCATCTCTAACAATATAGCACTCCCCCCACACACTGTCCCAGGGTGTCACCCTACACTGCAAGCTTAAAGTCACAACATGGCCATGACCTTCTGATTACAATAATATTCCAACAATAAGGACTGCCTTGATTGTGTAAAGGATAGAGCTGCAGTTTTCAGACCAGGCGATCATTGTTTCAACTCTTGGCCCTTGCTGAGTTTAATGGTTTCAACCAGAGTTACATGAGAGTGGCTAAATTGTCCCAGGTTTCCTTACTCCACCTGCCTGATAATAATCCCTTAAGAAAAAAATAATAATAAATTCGTCACTTCAATCCATGACTGTTTGGGGCACTGCTGTGCGCAGTTGGCTGCCGCGTCTCGTCCGCAGAAAGATACAGTCAATTCACTTTACAGTGTGAAGCGCTTTGAGACTTCTAGAAGACGTGAAAAGCACTATATCAAATGCAAGGATGATTATTATTATTATGGAGGAGGAGAAATCCAGACAGGCTTCCTGCTCCTGGTCCCTCTTCAGTTTCCTCCACTGGTTGTGTGCATGTGTCGAGAAGTCAGGCATGGCTATGATGCCTTTAATGATTATATGGCCTGCTAACACTCACTGTTCACACATAACAATGGCCACTTGGGCAGAGTATAGGCATAACAAGCCAGTGGGGGAAAAATTAGAGAAAAAAATATTTTTTCTAAATGTAAAAAAAATGCTAAATAACAAGAAATTCACACATTCCGAAGCCTCCGAGGTCAGAACTATAAGTAAATGCAAAGTAAGATGCTTGACAACAGTAGCATGGAGTTTCATTTCCTGTTCTTATTAAAAAGTGTTGTTTTGCAGAAATTTAGAGGAACTAGTACTTTGTCAGTTATTAAGGGGCATACAGTCTTATACTGCATTCAAACTATGAATACTGTGTTACAGTTCCTTCCGTTATGAAGTGACTGTGGCTAATTGCAACTTATATCTGTATTGAAAGCAGTTACAGTTCTGAAACAGTTGATCAGAGGCTAAAACAAAAATCCAGATCCCTGCTTTTTAATATCTTTCTGCACCAACAACGAAACCTTCAGTTTAAAGTATCAGTATGTTGAATCTTTGCTTTTGTTTCCTCCTTCCAGCAAATAGATCTCCATTCATGTCCGAAGCCAATTGTTTTCATCATCCATTCCTTCCTTTCAGCAAAAATAGCACGGCTGGGTCTACTTGCGTGAAATGGGAGTAACTGCACAATGAAGGAGAATTTTCCAGAAGGTTTACCTTATATGGCTGGTACATAATCAGTCAGAGATACCTGTACAATGGCGATATTTAACACAATCAGACCAATAGTCTATTTAATAGCGAGAAATTTGTAACAATTTGAAATTAATTTTTAAAGGCAGTTTTCTGCTTTTGTAACTTGAGAAATGTTGCTTTGTTTTATACAGCTGCTGAATTTACTGGTCTATTAGCTTTTACTATCCCTGTTGGTACCACCAGTAATATGACTTCAATGGATTCAGGAAAAAAATACAGCAGTTCCATTTGTGTAATGTTGTGACAGATTCCTATCTAATCTGATGTAAAATATAACGTGAAATGCAGGTCTGTGCCACTGTGATGAGGCAAAAATCTGTTTGTTCATTTTACAGCTATTATAAATGAGATCTTATTTCTGAAAAAAAATCACGTTATAAACATGCACTGGTTTTTGGAACCTTTTCGCACTATCTTATAGCTGAGCAGGAGGGGAACATCATAATAATAGTATTTCCCAGTCAGTGAAAAGCTGTGAAGTTCCAACAGTATCTCGTATATAAAGAATCTTGTTTCAGTGTAATGTGCTTGTTTTTCAAGCAGGATTTACTTTGAATAGAAACATACAAATTTCATTATAGAGAAGGGACTATGTGGCCCATCGAACCTATGCTGGTACTAGCTCCTGCACTGGAGCTAAATACTTCAGTCCCAATTCCTTGCTCTTTCCCTGAAGCAACAACTCTGAAAACAGTAATGTTTCAACCATGTTTGTTACTCTTGAACAGGGCTGGTTGATGAACATACCATAAAATTGCGGGGCCTCACATTACTGCTGTATCATGATATCTTCTGGTTTTAACTTTAGGGTCAAAATTGCAATATTGCTTTACCCATTCCATGCCTTAATTAACATAAGGAATGTGTTAAAGAACACTGCAAAATTCTTCCTGTTGCTTAATAAAAAAACCTTCCTGGTTAGTTAAGGACATTTCAGTTAGTTTCTGGTCACCTGGATGCTTGCCTATGGAAACAAAGTCAGGAAACTGATTTTGTGTATAGTGGAACCCCTTTATAAATTATAATAAGGTGCTTATACAGTGCTTCATTATAACGTGGGTTCATTTAGTTTGATTGGGACATGATCCTCCACAATTACTTCCAACAAGTCTGTGTTAGGAATTTTAACTCAGAATAAGGGCTTCCCCAAGGTAAAACTCCTTAAATGGAGATAGAACTATGTACTGAGCCGAAAGAAGGAAAGTAAAGCAGGTTTCCTCTTGTGTTTTTCACTGGCAAGCAAGCTGACCTGGGCAAGCTGGATATAGGGGAATAGGAGCCTGGGGTGAGAAAAGGTAAGGGTGACATTAATTAAGTAACAAGGTGACATTTGTGATGTTTCTTAACAAGCTCCTTGCGTAGATTAACAAAGGTTAATTGATACTGTACTACATATTTTGCCTCTATGATTCTATCATTTATAAGCCTAAAGTATACTTTACTTGGTAAAATCTATGTCTCTGTTTCTTACCGTCTAATAAGACAATGCCCAATGGGTTGAAAAGCTTTCCTCAGAAAAGGTCCCAGCTGAGGCATAGGTTCATTGTTTTCTGCTGGTGTCCGAGCTGCAGAGCTTGAGGAAGCCGTGCCTTCAATAGTACTGCAGTTACTCTCCTTAGATCTTAAAAACAATTAAATTGTCGCCAACTCATCAGCGTTTACTGCCAGGGAGCACAAGAACACTTTTTGTTTAAAAAAGTATAATTTAAAACAAGTGAGGCACCAAGGCATATTTTCTTAAGCAGACTGACTAATCATTTACTGATTTCACAAGATTGCTTTTCATTGTTAAGGTTTTCAGTGGAGAAGTTTTGAAATGCAATGTTTTCCTAACAATCAGAAATTTAAATGTAGGTCTGAATGGATTTAAGTCAGTTGTTTGAATTCAGGCAATAGGCTGCCTCTGTATTTGAAAGCACATGCTGCACAGGGGGAATCATTTCTAATATAAGTTTTGTTCTTTCTAGACTAAATATGCTTCACATAGACCTGGGTGTGGTTTCATTTGTCAAAGTTAGAAAGGCAGACCAGCTGTTTCTTTAGTTTGGCTGAACTGTCAAACTATTATGTGTTGCAGACTGTAAACCTGCAAACCATCATCTCCACATGCACTTTGTGGTGCTATGGTTCAGGGGAGGTGAGATGGTGGCTGGGTTGGAACAAACACAAACATGTAACTGAGGAATGAGCTAAATGTTGGGATTATCTTTTACAATTTGAATTTGGAAGACACAGTGCAAACGGTGCTGTGCAGATATTGACTGACACTTTTGACCACAAACAGTCACACCACCATATCAAATGCAAGGATTATTATAAGAAAACTGCAGACCAAAATAGGAGCAGTAGAACTAGGTATAATTGCAGGACCAGATTTGGATAGATTTTAATAAGAGAACACAAAATGACCTGATACATTAAAGCAATTATAGTCACATTCATGACTGTACATCAAAATGCATAGATATTAATATGCAGGCAATCTAGTAAAGCCACTGTACTCTGTAATTTTAGGAGACAGTGTAATAAATTAACAAGACCTCCGCAGTGTAGTGTAGAAATAAAATGTGCAGTGTCACACACATCCTGCATATACAGTACTGTGTATTGATTTGCCATCTCATATCAGCCGAATAAGTGCACATGACCAGCAAGGTTCTATGAGATAACAGCTTTCTTGAATACTAATAAGCATGAATCAATGTTGGTTCAAAATACAATCTCCAAATTCATAACCATGAATTGTGCAAAAAAATCTAATTTCATAATAAAAATATGTTGTGCAGGAAAGTTATGTTAATTGCATCCCCCACTTTGCAATAAAGTGCATTTAAACACCAAACTGAGAAGCATCTTGAACTGTTCACACATCTCATTTCTATATTCTTATCGCTTCAGCGATTAAAAATTGGACTTGCATCAAAATTGTTTTGCATGTTCTCTTTTATACGCGCATATAGCAATACAAATCATGCTGGAAAGATTCAGCACAATGGAGAAGGTGGGAAATTGTCAACTTGCTAACAAAAGGGTTCATTTAATTTTGAAAAATCGAGAGACTATAAATAAACAAGGAGTGGAATCTCTACAAATTCAAAGCTCCTTATTCAACCTAAACTCATCAATGACCATTTAAAACATATTACTATGGTGGGAACTCTGCGTGCACAATTCCGAACATAAGCTAACATCTTCCATTTGTACCACCGCAAGTGACCAATTGCTCACACTAACTATAGATAGCAAAAGCACTGAGACAGTATGAATACATTTTGCTACATTAAAATACAGAGAAAGATACATACAGTATCGTTTTTGACACTTTATTTCTTTTAGATTCCAATTTGAATGGCTGTGCCCTAGTCATTTTAGGGAACACGAGATTCTTCAAGTACAACCACATTTCTAATTTACAACTGTACTAATTTTGTTTATAAAATAAAAATACCCGCAGTAACAATTTCCAGTCGAATGCTGTCATTTCACATGGAAGAGTACGTATTAGAAAATGCATAGTGACTGCACACTGCTATGCCCAAATACAAATTCAGTTGCTAATATAGTACCATTGCCAAAGATATGATTTCATTTTACAATAGTGAGTAAGATTCACAAGATCTTTGCGTTTAATCTGATGCCTGAAAGTGAGTCACAACAGGCCTGATCAATGTAACAAGTTCCACGTTTCAGGCAGATTTATAAAAAAAAATTATGTAGCCATATGCTTTGATTTAAACTTTGCAGAATGTATCTGAATTGGAGCCGGCAGCCTGTCATCTATTTGAATGGAAATTTATTGAAAACTGTTAGCAAATTGAATGAGAAATTTTCTAAGCCCTTAATCACCAGCACATAGTTTGTAAAACAAAATCAATATTGTTGTTGCACCTGAGAAAATATTTTTTCTTTAATAAGAAAGTATTTCAGACAATTGCCAAGTGTGTTATTTCAGTGCAGAGTTGTGAGTGGGTGGGATGGCTTTGCAATGATTCCACACTATCAGCTGTTTCTCCCAATTCCCCTTGCCCAACAACAACAACTGGAGTTGTACATTTTTGGTTTGCAATGCTGTAAAGAAAAATCCTGGTCTTGTGTGAGTGCCTAAGAGATGTCAGTTTTCTGGTACTGGTTTTTGTAAGACTATTTCCATTTTTCGGCATATGAAAGAGAGTGCTTGGAGCAGTATGGGAATAAGGCAGGATGATGGGATTGAATTGATCTTGCTCGGTGAGCCGGTGCGGACTGGATTGGCTGAATGGCCTCCTTCTGTTGTGCAGCTTTCTGCCTCCACAGGAGAAAGAATAGCAGATTAGACAGGCAAGACAGCATTAGTAAAATGAAACAAAAATGAAACAAGGCAAAATAAGTGGAAGACATTAGAGAAACGGTTCCAGTAAGCAATGCAACACATAGTGAAGACCATAGTTAAGTCAGAAAATGTGTGAATGAGAGATACAAAAGAGGAAACACAGAGCTAGAAAACTGAAGCAAACAGGAAAAATACAGTTGTAGGTTAAACAAAGTACACCTCAGTTTCAATAATAACAAATAGCAAAATCTTCTCTAGCTTTACTAATTGTGTTTGGAAATCCTGCACTTTACATAATATTAGGTTACTGCATATATTAATCAATCCCAGCTTCAGGCTAGACCATTCCCTTCATGTAGCTGAAGTTGCATTATTTTGACTGTTTAATATGTGCAAAAGACCACTCAACAATTGTGTAATGCAGCAGGACTAATACACTGTTGCTTCATCTCTGAGAACTGGGCTTGATTCCAGCAGAGCGAATGGCAGGAAAAGCTCTTCTATGTCAGCTTTGAGAGCTTGCAATGAAATTGTGTTGGGCCCATGTTATCCATGGCATGAAACTGCCCATTAATTGGGCACGTGATCAACAGCCCCACTTTAAGCATGCCTGTTGCAGGAAGTGAAAATAATCATAGACGTCCTGCGTTCTAAGTGCTGACAATAGGTAGCTCAAGAGCAGTTTCCATTATAAGGCAATGCTTTGTAGGCTTTGTTGCAGTTATAATGGAACTAAGTGTGCCAAAATCTTTAGAATCAAAAGCTTGATTTAAAATTCAAGTTAATAGCATTCAAATGGGGTTATACCAAAGACTAACAGGCACTGGGAAGAAGATAGCAAACAATTTCTGTGACTTCTAATGAGTTGATAGTCCAATCTCCATGGGAGAATCATTTTGTAGCATGTGGACTGAGTGTCACTGTTAATATGAAAGCCAGCAGGATTTAATGTAAGTGGTTTTGATACACCACTAAATCATACAACTTAACATTTCTCTGTGGTGTTATGAATTTGACTGCTCTGATTCCCCCACCAAAAATTAATTATATTATTTGCTGCTTTTATTGATAAATTACCATGTTAAATATATATTTTCTCATGACATTTAAGCATGTAGCACACAAAGTGATACATTAATGTGCCTTTAATGATTATTTAGATATTAAGTATTGTGATATAATATATGGACTATGGTAAATTCTGCATATAAAGACTAATAACACTATTAAACCCTTTTATTGACTTAACAAGATATCAATACCCTTTTGGGAAGACCATATGGGCCATATGATAAATACTCATGATTATCACCAGCAAAACATGCATAAAAAATACCCCTCCCCAACTTTAAACAGTGAATTATAAAGAATATTAGCTATCATCAATGACAATCAATTACCATTTGATTCCTACCATGGTTTTTCAGATGTCAGACGAACCACTCTCACAATGCAACCTTGAACCTACTCATCCGTGTCCATCTCATCTGTAGGACATATGAGAGGCAGATGACATGGAAAACATGCAATGAAAAGGCTTGGATCTTATGGGCTGGTGTAGATTATGTAACAAGCAGTTTGTGAAACCTTAATGTCCATTGTCTTACATTTTTATTGCAAAAAAATCACAAGCGTGACTGTTCCCCAAGGTATAAGAATATGCTTGAATGTATTGAGTATATATGAACCGAATACTGAATAAAAAGATGATCTTAAACTTTATTTTGTTTGTGATTCCTTTGCTACATTACAGGAGTTCATCCCGCAAATCCATCCAACTTTTGTACACAATGTTCACATTTTTTAAAAATAAAACCCATTTGCAATTTAACAGCAAGTGACAGGAAACATATAACACATTAAACTTAATTAAACAAAGCATCACTTTGTGTATATTTGATGTTCTTCTGAGCAGCTTACATTAAACTTAGTTTATTACACTTTACAAACCACATGTTGGGATACTCATGGGATTTGGAGAAATCAGAGACCCAGTCCATTTTTAAATGACTTTTAATTGAGATGCACATAACTTGTTATGGCATCACATCTGCAGGACAGCTATTTGAAGCCACCCTAACACAGTGGGACCGAATTTTATTGCTCAGTTCAGATTCTGAAGATATGAATTGACAGAGATGAGCTAGACTGCATCCTGGATTTCAGACAGTTGGGCCTGCTGGATATTACCATTTCTGAAGTTATTCATTGGGAAGAAGGTTAATTACCCAATCTCTTCTATACGGGGGAAGAGCAAACGTTAACTCTGGGTTTTCCTCTGGAGGATAATTTTTCCATCACGTTTGCGTATTATCAAGTTCATGGTCAATCCGATTCTGTTGAGGCATGGTTCTCTTTCCAGCTCCACTGCTTTGAATTGTTACTTTTACATTGTTATTTTATTATTTTAATTTATATTCCAATATGTTAAACATATTTCCCTGTAATGGGGGTGGGGGGGGCGGGGCAGAGAGGGGAGTTTACTAATGCTATAATAACATTACACATTTTTAATATAAAATTGTACAATAAGCTGTAGCTTCTGCAACAGAGCACCAGTAAGGAATGCTTGCCAATGTCTAATCTATAACAAGGAAAATAGGATCAGTATAATCACTGCATCATGTGCTGGCACATTCTATATGTCAACTGAAATAGATACTTTGTAGAATGTGGTTTGTGAAGATCACATGAACAAGAGTTGAAACGTCTTTTAGAAAGAATGAATCCTTGTTGAGTTGTACGATTAAAATGATTATATGAAATATAAACTAAAAATGTAGAATAAGTTCATACATCTAAAGAAGAATATACTATAATTTAATTTGACATGATGTGTTAAAAACATTCAGGAATGAAATAATGAAGGGTGCTTGCTGTTCACAAAGTAAATGGATTTTTGTTTTTCAGATACTTTTATAACCCTTTTAATCAGCCCGTTTCAACTCAATTTCATACACATCAAAATGATCCAATCAGACTTTTGCACAGATGATTATCTGAAATAGCAAGCAAATTACTGCATTTGTAGTGCACAAATATGGCTTTCAAATTGATTTAATCATTGTAGAAATAAACTTCTAACCTTTAACTAGGTTGAAACACTCCCATAAAATAAAAACATACAGCTTTGATACAAAAATAGAATCACTTTCTTTGCGATTATATTGGAATCTAAGTATATTAATTCTCAAAATAAACTTTTACAACAAAATTATGTTAACAGAGGTATACAAAACTGCTCTGCACAATTTAATGACCCATTACTTCAAGGCTCTGAAGTGTAGACAGTAGAGATATCCCAACTGTGATTTTAGAAACATTGCCATCAAGGTCTTAACTGTTTCCACTTGACTCCTGGCATTCACTTCTTGTCAACTTTCTCCAACACCCAGTCAATCACCTGAACAAGAAATGACAGATACATTTGCAGTTTAATAATAATTACTTAGCCAGTTCTACTGATTTCAAACACTGCTGCATAGCCCACTACGAGTGCAGTACAGTGCTTTGCGCAAGAGAGAAACAATTTTCTGAGAAGAATAACTTGTTAATGAAAATACTTTTAAGGTGTAATTATTTTTCAATTCTCATTACAGTGAAATTCTGTTAATTGAATACTCATTTTGACAGCGAAAATTACTCAATACAATGAACTATTCATATAACCGGACTAAACATATCATCTCCCAGAGCTCTAGATTCTATTCAATAAACCAAACTATTCAACTGACCGATATTCATTTAACCGACTTCACTGTGTGGACATTTTTGCTGAAATAAATATACAATAAAATGTTCGGTCGTTTTCTAGGACATAAAATAATCAGAGAAGTCCATTTAAAGTACAACCCAACCTAAATTGTGCATTTCTCAAATTGTGTTAACATGGTGGATTATATAGCAAAATCATAACTTTGCGATTTGGTGAACTCACCCGTTTGATCAATTTTTATTTCACCAAGAAATACTTTCTTTAAATTATATTTTATAGATCTCCACTCTTCCTAACATTGCTAAACAAGACTTCAAATATCTGGACTGTCACATTATTTACTCAGGGCACAATATTTATATAGGCGTTTTATTCTCTTTAAAAGTCAGCTTAGGTCAGTTGGGAACACTCTTGTCTCTGAGTCGGAAAATTGTTGGTTCATGCCCCAGACCAGGACTTTGAACTCATATAATCTTGGTTGACACTCCAATACAGTGTTGAGAGTGTGTTGTGATGTTGGGAATTGACTTCGGATGGAATGTTAATCTTTCTCAGGTGGACATGAAAGACCTACAGCACTATTCAAAAAGAAAAGGGAGTCCAGACAAATCATGGCTGTTTGTGGGACATTGGTATGTACTTATCTACAATGTACAGTCACTACACTCTACAGTATCTCAGAAAATGAGTCTTGCCTTGCAAGCGAGACACCTGGGTTCAATTCCAGGCAGGGCGAAATCATGGGCAAGTTTCCTTACTCCACGCCTAATAATAATCCCTCCAAAACAAAACAATAATAAATTTTCGGAATCATTTTCAATCCACGGCTGTTTGTGGGACACTGCTGTGCGCAATTGGCTGCCATGTTTCACCCACAAATATACAGGCAATTCACTTTACAGCATATTCTGTGAAGCGCTTTGAGACATCTAGAAGACGTCAAATGCAAGGATTATTATTATTATATCTCTTGTGACCCACTCAAGATTTCCTCTCAACATGAAAGGTGCTACATTGAGTGTAAAATTATTATTATCATTATAAAAAAGTCACTTGAGAAGTTGCTTAAAAAAATACAATGGTAAACATCAGCCATATGATACAGACTCCGAGTTTAAAAAGCATGGATGAGATTTCAAATGGATTGTTTCAAATAAAATCATGTCATTACAGCAGCTTCACAATTTAGGAAGAAAGAAGCAAATTTAACCACAAACCAACACAGTTACATTTAGCTGTAAATCACCAGTAAATGACACTTACCTGCTGAACATTATTGCTCGCAGCTTTTTTCATTTCTCCATGTAGACCACGTGAGTTTTTTAAATCCTATTTTAAAATGATTTGGAAAGTGTACAGGGGATTACATAAGATCATCAAATGTACATTCTCTTTGTGGATATTTCAAGATTATAATAGCGTTTCATAATTTTTACATACACCAAAGCTACTATTTTTCAGTCAAATGAATGACAGGAAACAAAGTATAACTTAATACTTTCTTGTCAACACCAATGAAGACACCCAGGTCACGTACCACACATACTGCTCGACTTTACTATTTCCTTTGTGTACCAATTAATAAAGGACACAGTTTGTATGGAAAATCCTGTCCTGAAAGAACAGGCACATTGAGAGAGGCTGTTAACACGAAGCTGAGAAGTAGAACATATTTGTCTTGAATTTGATATGAACACTGATAGAAAAGTACTGAGTAAAAGTTTCACAAAAGTTTATTATGTGTTCACATAAATATTTTCAGATTGCAAATTCCCATCAAAAAGAGAAAGATTTCACAGGATGAAAGTGAATAACTGATCAAGAAGGCAATACTGGGTAGACATGCTGGGCAACAACAAATTGCATTTATTTCATATCAGGGGGACATCCCAATGCATTGCACAGTCGAGGGTTTGCACCCAAGCTGGGGTTTGAAATCTGGAGGGGTTGGGGCCAAAGAGAGCAGGGGTGTGATAGGGGGAGATAACTGAAGGCACCGTCATAGAGGAAGGTCTTCAGACAGATCTTGAAGGAGGTGAGGGAAGGGTTGAGGCGAAGCAAATCCGGGATGAATTCCAGAGTCAGGTGGGTCAAGACCATGGAGGGATTTAAAATTGGGAAATCTGGCAAGCAGAGAATTGGTATAGTCAAGCTTGGACGTGATGAATGCATGGATAAAGATCTCGGTGCCTGAGGGGAAAGGTAGTGGTGAAGGTGGGAAAAGTTGTGTGGGTTGCATGGGTCAAGGCACGGATGTGGGGGTTTAAAGGACAGCTGAGAGTCAAATAAGACCCTGAAGTTCTACATTGGCTCAGTGAGGTGGAGTGCATCCACATAAATAGTGTCAATGCCTGAGGTGAGGAGATGCTGACAAAAGAAAGAGCTTTTCTGGTTTCCTGTCGAAATATTCATCATTCAGTCACTGTGGCACTTTGTTGCTATATTTAGCAATTATTTGCACTAGAAATATAATGACCTTTTAGTACCTACTGTAAAGTGTTTTAAGATATTCTACAACAACAAGATTACATTTGTATAGCGTTTTTCACATCGGGAGGACGTCCCAAGGCGCTGGACAGTGTACAGTATTTCAGACCCGAGCTGGGGTCAGGGGGGAAGAAGGGAGGGGAGGGGAAGGTGGGTGGCTGATGCATGGTCGAAGATGAGGGTCTTGAGGCGGAACTTGAAGGAGGCTAAGGAGGGGGCGAGGTGGAGTGACTGGGGGATGGAATTCCAGAGGTTGGGGGCAGAGTAGCTGAAGGCTCTCCCGCCAATGGTGGGGCGGATGGGTTGGGGCGCGGAGCAGGCCGGAGCCGGCTGAGCGGAGGGAGTGGGCGGGTTGGTAGGAGGTTAGGAGGTCGCAGAGGTAGGGTGGGGCAAGGCCATGGAGGGCTTTGTATGTGAGGACCAGGATCTTGAACTGGATCCGCTGAAGGATAGGGAGCCAATGGTGTCGGGCGAGAGTGGGGTAAATGGGGTCACGGAGTTTAGTGCGGGAGAGGACACGGGCTGCAGAGTTCTGGATTATCTGCAGCCTGTGGAGGGAGGAGTTGGGAAGGCTGACAAGCAGGGGGTTTGCATAGTCGAGCCTGGAGGTGATGAAGGCATGAGTAAGAGTTTCAGCGGCCTGAGGGGTGAGGTAGTGGCGGAGTCGGGCGATGTTACAGAGGTGAGGGAAGGCAGAGCGGGTCATGGCTTGGATGTGGGGGAGAAGACAGTTGAGGGTCGAACAAGACACCCGAGGTGAATTGAAGTGTGCAACCATGGCGGTTGATGCGGCCAGAACCTGAGGTGCAGAGGCATTGGCGCGAGGCAATCAGGAAGGCCTCAGTCTTGTTCACATTCAACTGTAGGAAATTCTATATAACAAAGTGCTATAAAATATAATAATAAATAATAATAATCCTTGCATTTGATATAGCAACTAATTACTTCATTGAAATATCTCAAATACCCTTCACAGGATGTACTGTAAAGTGGTGTGACTGAGTTTGTTTTGAGGGTGAACACGGCAGCGAAATGTGCACAGCAATGTCCCATAAACAGTGATGAAGTGAGTGACCAATTTTATCTGTGCGATTGTTGACCAGGACACCAGGAGAACTCCTTTCTCTTTTCGAATAGTGACATGGGATCATACAAGTTATTTGTTTACTAGTTTGTATTAATTTAAAGGAGAAAGAACACACCAAGGATAATGCAGTTGATTCCCAGTTAATGGAAAGAAAAATAGCATTTCTTTCCCCTCGTTTTCCCATCATTAGATTCTCCATTCTCCATTCTCTACACTGAGCCTCTGAGTTAATATAATTTGCAGAAATATTCTATGGACCATTGTGTACATCAACATCCTTTGTTGCCCTGGATACAGGTCAGGAGATGTACAGACCAGAAAATGTCAGTACTGGATGAGTAATGCGAGGCCCAGATGAGTACACTCACTAAATTGTACAGCACTAAATTGATTGATTTGGAGTTTCACTGGAATTGGACACTGACTGCAGTTATTGTAAAATGTAGCCGTTTGTTAGCTGGGAATCCATGATCCGACCTTCATGAAGGTTTTATCTTCATGTATTTCATGCCAGATTCTGAATCCGCTTTTTAAAAACACATTTGTGACAAAGGAGGGACAGACCCAGAGGCATCCTGAATGATATGCATAGCTCCCTCCAGACTTAGGGTAGTGCGATTATATGATGTGTTTCAGTATCTGATGTTTTTTTCTTAAGGTCTGAGAGGTGCAAATTGCAGGGGAATTAATAGAAAGGCTTGAGTTTTCAGCTAACATTTTTGGGGAAGCAAGCTCAAGGCAGAAACATTATGCTGTTAAATACAAGAAGGGCTAAGTTTCTTCTTACGAATCATCCAACTTATATCTCTCCCTGATAGCTATAAAATCTTGACATGCAGACTACATAAAGTAGGCAAGGAGAGTGAGGTGAAGCATGGTTCATTCAAAGGTGCCAGTCCAGAGAGAACACCTAAAGTTATGTAAATAAATGCTGAAACAGGGCGCTCACCTTGAGGTACAACTTGGAAATTTCAAACAGGCGTTGGCTGCAAATATCAAAGCATTTGTGATCCTCTGAAACACCATTATCCTCAAGAGTTTTTGCCACCACTTCTTTTAGCATCTAGGAATACAAAACAATTAATTTGCTCAAAAGTAAAATTCAATTACTTTAGTTTTCTCTTTTCAAGTACTCTAAGATACTACCCTGTGTGAAGAGCACTATATAAATCAAGTTTTGTTCAAATCTTCCACTGAAATTCATATGACAATTTAATCTCACTTTCCTACGACAAGTTTTTGTATATTGTACTAATTTCAAAACATATTTCACAAAGTGCAACTACAAGCTGATCCGGAGGGAGCGGACAGGTTGATAAGGGGTGAGCAGGTCAGAGAGATAGGAGTGGGCAAGTTTGTATATGATTTAAAGTTAAAATGTACAATGTATTACAGAATTCAGAATGGACAGTTTTGGCACAGTAAGTGTTGTATAGAAATTACAAGCAACTATATATTCAAATATGTTCATTCGTTTGCTAAATACTAACACAAGTACAAGCTGAAACATAGAACTAAATCAAAACACACTTATTCAAAAACATAAGTTAAAGAAAGACAGTGCCTTACCCGTATGTGTTTCTGAGACCGTGATTCCTTTTGTTTAACATTTTTATGTCCTGGTTCTGTCACAACTTTCTGAGCTTGGCTCTTGGACTGTTTACTGGTCGAGGTAGTGGCTGACAACCTCCCTAGACGTTCACGTAATGCACCTGCTGAATGATGCCCACTGCTTCCACTTCCCTGAGACATGCAGAGAGAATACTGGGAATTGAGGGAATCAGTGCTCTCAGATTTGATGAGTCTAGGATAGATTGAAAAGTTATTTCAATCGGCAAAATGTAATCATTTTTGTTGCTGACATTTTTGAAAAGCTACACCCACCATCTCATTGTGCTTCCTGCTTCTCTTCCCTATTTATTTTTCAGCGGTTAGAATATGTTAGCTGACATGTCTGGGCTCTTATAGGCATTATATGCAATACTATATTACATTTGCAAAGCGTCTTTTACATCCGGAGGATGTCCCAAGGCGCTGAACAGTCAGGGATTAGGACCCAAGGGGTGGGGGGGATTGGATCATGGAGGGTGGAGGGCAGAGAGGGTGGCCGAAGGCACGGTCGAAGTGGGGAGTGTTGAGGTGTGCCTTGAAGGAGGCAAGGGAGGGAGTGAGGCGAAGGGAATGTGGGATGGAGTTCCAGAGGGTGGGGGCAGAAAGGCTGATGGCCCGACTGCTGATGGTGGGAAGGCCGGGCGAGGGACATGGCCTGCTGAGTGGAGGGAGCGGATAGGTTGATAAGGGGTTAGCAGATCGGAGAGGTAAGAGGGGAAAGGCCACGGAGGGCCTTGACGGTGAGGATAAGAATTTTGAACTCGATCCTCTGAGGGATGGCAAGTCAGTGGAGCCGGACGGGGGTGAGTGTGATGGGGTCACGGAGTCTGGTGCGGGAGAGAACACGAGCTGCAGAGTTCTGGATGATATGAAGATTGTGGAGTAAAGAGTTGGGAAGGTCGACAAGCAGGGCATTGGAATAGTCGAGCCTGGATGCTGTGGGGAGCACAGAAACCTGATTGGAGGGATTTGTAAAGGGAGTGGCAGGAGAGGACGGAATGAAGCTGGGAAGCAACAACTCTCTCAGGGACCTCAGAAAGGAAAGGGAGGTTGGAGATGGGGTAGTAGTTAGTGAGCAGGTTTGGGTCCAGGGAAGGATTTTTTTTAGGAGAGGGGTGATGACAGCTGTTTTTAGGGGGTGAGAATGGTGCCAGTTGACAGGGAGAGGTTGACGAGGTCTGAGAGTAAAGGGGCAAGGAGGTGGAGTTGGGAGGCAAGGAGAGGGGTAGGGATGGTGTCGAGGGAGGTGGTGGGCTTCATGTGGGTTCATAGTGGTGGTGAGAGAGAAGGGCGAGACAGGTTTGAATGTGTGGAGGGAGGGATGGATGAGTAGGGGCCGGAGTGTAAGGGAGAGATGGGAAGGGGGTGATGGTTGGGAGGGCAGAGCCGGCAAGAGCAACACGACCATTACATGTTAATTAATGCTGCGTCCGCCTATAAAATACACGTTATAGAAAATCCTGTGAAGTGCTTTTCGAGTTCCTGACAATAAAGGTGCTGTATCAAATACAAGGAATATATTTTATTGATATGTTTAGATTTTTCTGAATAATTTTCTTAATCTCAGTTCCAATTTAGTTTATTTTGATCTTAACATATTTGAATATAAAAAGCATTCTCACATAGCTTCTATGGTTTTTAAGAGACTACTGAAATAATTGAATTTGTACCAATGAAGAGGACACCATATTTTCGATGTATTTTTAACCTAACTTCAATTACATTTCCAATAATAAGCTCTCAGCAAACAATGTAACGACTAAATTACAACCATTTTCACATCATCAAAATATTAATACAAATTTTGTGGAATATAATGGATTTTAGTAGTTGAAACACAATACTGATTTGAAAGTGGACGTTTTTTAAAGCCTCACATAAAAATTGTGCATCAAATATGTGAGCCAATAAGGCATTATGTCCTAGTGGGTAAAGCACCATGGGGTCTAATGCTACAATATACAACTTGAAGGTTGCAGATCCAAATTATGGAGTCCTGTAGCTCAGTGGTTAGAGCACTCGCCTCGCAAGCGAGAGACCTGTGTTCGACTCCCGACAAGGCGAAAAGTTGGGCAAGTTTTCTTACTCCACACGCCTCTGTTTACTTAGCAGTAAGTAGGAACCCAGTTGTTAGTCTGTTGGCTTTTCCGCAGGTAATATTTCCTTCAAAAAATAATAATAAATTGGTCACTCAATCCATAACTCTTTGTTGGGAAACTGCTGTGCGCAATTGGCTACCGCTTTTCGCCTACAAAATAAACGGTCAATTCACTTTACAGTGTATTCTATAACGTGCTTTAAGACGTTGTGAAGACATGATAAGGTGCTATATCAAATACAAGGATTTGAGGCAGGTGACCTCAGTTTAGTTATGGAATGGAAAACATCAGCCAAAGTTCCCACTGATGATCAGCAATCCAATCTGGAACATGTGCATGTGTGGTACTCTGTCTGCTGACATCGGGATCAAGCTCAGGCTATGATGCCTGCCCGCTGCAATCGACACCGCCACGGATTGAATAGCCTGCCAACACACAGGCCGCCTGGGTTTACACATGATCCCAGCAGACAGAGTTCCATGCATACCAGCTACACATGGAAATTCCAACACTTGGAATGGAATGCACACTCTCTCCCCGGATGGATGCACTCTGCTTACCTAATTTTGGACAGTATTAGGCGTAGACTGGCAAAAGCCAAGGCTTGGGGACCCCAAAATGTCAGTTGGGGTACTGTTGGTGTCTAACCAGCTAAAACCGCATGGCTTACCATTGAAGCACTGCCGGGCAAGCACCCCGTTGCTTGTCCAGCTGGGACCACCCTACCCAATTAGGGGTTTGGCTCGCAGGGTTAACAAGAGCTGCGTAGGAAGAATCTCTTCTCCCAGTAGCACTCCAATCGTGCTAATGAGTCAGACTGCCTGGTCTGTTATCAGCAGTTCCCTGAACTACTCCATGTTCCTTGCTGTACTATTGTCCAATGCAAGCACTTATTGCAGGTCTCTCGCTCTCCTCGCCGGCCTTCCCGGCACCTCCCTCCACAAGCTGCAGGTCATTCAGAACTCTGCAGCTCATGTACTGTCCCGCACCAGGCTTCGCGACCACATCACTCCCACCCTCGCTCGCCTCCACTGGCTCCCCATTCCCCAGAGGATCGAATTCAAGATCCTCACCCTCACCTACAAGGCCATTCACGGCCTTGCTCCCTCCTACCTCTCCGATCTACTATCCCCCTACTTACCTGCCCGTACCTTCCGTTCCTCTGGCTCCGGTCTGCTCCACATCCCCCGCCCTAACATCGGTGGATGGGCCTTCAGCCTCTCAGCCCCTAGGCTCTGGAACTCCATCCCCCAGGGCTTTCGCCTTGCTTCCTCCCTCCCTTTCCTCCTTCAAGGCCGGTCTCAAGACCTTTCTCTTTGACCGTGCCTTCAGCTCCCCTCTCGAGTCTTACCCCCTCCTCGCTCCCTCCCTTCCCTCACCCTGACCATTTCCCCCCTGCTCGGGTCCCGACCCAACTGTCCAGCGCCTTGGGACGTCCTCCCGACATGAAAGGCGCTCTATAAATGAAATCTTGTTGTTGTTGTATCTTGTTGTCTTGTTGTAAATTACCTTTTGCTTGGATGCAAACCGTCTAGCGCTCTGGACCTTCTTTTCTGTCCTGATCCATCAGCAGTTTTCTGCTCACTCTGTAATGTCTCATCATCCGGCACACTTCCAGGCTCTGACAGCACAGCAGGAGATGGCAGTGGACTCAATCCATAAATGACTGGAGAGCATTCTCTTGAACAAGTTGTGTTTGTTTCATAGCGAATAAGGCGAGATTGAAGCTTGCCGAATGCAATATCTTTTTCTAGGGCTCTTCTGTTGTCTAGGCAATACCTGTAATATTCATAAGTTTAACCATATAAGTTACACATTACACCTCCCGAACATCATTATTTGATAGTAGATATTGCATGCAAACTTTATTATAAATACACTCACTGAGAAAAAGCACTTGAGGACTTGATTTTCGAGATATTACAAATAGATGGGTTTTGGCAACAATTGACAAGGCAGCCGAATACATCAAGGAATAAACTTTGGTCAAGCTAACAAGCAAAATTGTTATACAACAACAACAAGATTACATTTGTAATCGTCGGGAGGACGTCCCAAGGCGTTGTGCACAGCATTTCAGACCCAAGCTAGGGTCAGGGAGGGAGAAGAGAGGGGAGGGGAAGGGGGGTGGCCGATGGCATGGTTGAAGAGGAGGGTCTTGAGGCGGGACTTGAAGGAGGCTAAGGAGGGGGCGAGGCGGAGTGTTTGGGGGGTGGAATTCCAGAGGTTGGGGGCAGAGTGGCTGAAGGCTCTCCCGCCAATGGTGGGTTGGGGGATCTGGAGCAGGCCGGAGCTGGCTGAGCGGAGGGAGCGGGCGGGTTGGTAGGAGGTTAGGAGGTCGCAGAGGTAGAGTGGGGCGAGGCATGGTGGGCTTTGTAGGTGAGGACCAGGATCTTGAACTGGATCCTCTGAAGGATAAGGAGTCGGGCGAAAGTGGGGGAGATGGGGTCACGGAGTTTGGTGCGGGAGAGGACATGGGCTGCAGAGTTCTGGATTATCTGCAGCCTGTGGAGGGAGGAGTTGAGAAGGCCGACAAGCAGGGCGTTTGCATAGTCGAGCTTGGAGGTGATGAAGGCATGAACAAGAGTTTCAGCGGCCTGAGGGGTGAGGTGCTAGCGGAGTCGGGCGATGTTATGGAGGTGAAGGAAGGCAGAGCGGGTCATGGCTTGGATGTGGGGAAGAAAAGACAGTTGAGGGTCGAACAAGACACCTCGGTTCTTGACTGGCTTGGTAAGTTGTAGTGTGCAACCATGGAGGTTGATGCTGCCAGAGCCTGTGGGTAGGTGGAAACTAAAATACCCTGTCTGTTCACCTCATCTCATACACCTTCCAAAGCTAATAAACAGACCATGTAAACATTAGACATTGTATTGGAATAGGAGTTTATAGACCACTTATTACGTTATCTTAATATAAGTCGTCTTGGTAAGAGAGATCCAAGCGCGAGCCTATGTTCGTGTAAAGAAGGCTTAAAAACAAAGTGGCAGACGTCCAAGATTGAAATCTACAAAGCTTAAAATACATTAAAATACATCCATACATGTTTTCTCTAAAATAACAGCAGTGTTAAAGATGTCTTTTGTTAAATAGAAGATATTTCCACTTTCTGTTCCAGTAATTTTTTAATAATAATTTTCAATAATCTTTCTACATCCACCTCCAGTGATTCTACATTCACAATATCCACCTCCTCTATGAAAATTAAGGCAATGTACTTACTTAGTGTCCTCCCTTTCTACTATAAGCTTTCCTCCTTAATCTCTTAGCAGCCCTATTAGTATCTGAACTAACATTTTACTGCTACTACAATTAATGTGCTTATACAAAGGTTTACTATTGACCTCCCTTTTCTCTCTTACCCCTTTCAGACTGTTTAATCTCCCTCTATGCAGCTTTTCGATATTCTTTACATTGGCTTTCACTTTCCTTTCTATTATTTGTTCTTTAATTATTACATTTTTCTGGCCTTCCAAATTTGATCTAATCTTCCTATTTATCCATGGAATCCCTGCTATTATTACACTCACTTTCTCCTTATTATAATATTCTTGATTTGCACCCTTTCCACCTCTAGTTTAAATATTTCCCACTGCTGATCTACATTTCATTTGCCAAATGTTCCTTCCAATCAATCTGAGTAGTCCCTTTGCTTCTTTCTATAACTAGCTTGTTTTCTTCTTATCCTGTCCTCAACTTTTCCTGTTCTTTCTTTCCTTACATTGAACCTAATCACACTTACTCAAGTCCATGATAATGACATTCTGCAGCTTTTTCAAATGGCAAATTTTTCAGTTTGTTTAAAGTCATCCGTGGGGTCAATGGAAATTCATTCTCACTGAAAGGAGATAAAGCAGATTTATTGTTAACTGTTAATATAATCTGAATAAGATGAGAGATGTATACTCTTCAAACAAATTTGCCTGTTTAAAAGGCTCATTCATTGCATCTGGAAAATAGTGTACAAATGTTGCAATAATAGTAACAGAAGCATTGAGAAGAATCTAACACAAAGTATTGAGAAAAAACATTGACATAGAGTATGAAGTGTTAGCCAAAGTACAACAGCCTTGAATTTCCCATGGCTATTTACAAACAAAGGAACACAAGAAGATACACTTGGCAACTCAGTTTACTTAATGATAAGTTTATCGAAGGAAAGGAAGCAACATAATTGCTTGGTGCAGTGAATGCCTTTTGTTCTATCAATATAGACCACAGAAATTCTAGGCACATCAAAGTGATATCTACTTTTAGCCTGAGGAAAGAATTTGGCACTGCTATTTCCTGAGATCAATCGAGCTCAATTTAAATTTACCCAAACAACGAATGCAGTCTTGTAATTTCCATATCTATGTGCTGAATAGAACAATGTGGACTATCCATGTGAAGATCACTATGCATGTTGAAATAGGAGGAAAATGAAAGTCTTACATTTAAAGGTGTCATGTTTAAAATGTCTCAAATTCAAAAGGTTCAAATGGGTTAAGGCATAAGTGGGTAGAAATTCCACTTAGGTGTAGGTTTACTCTATTGATGTAGCATTATTTGAGTATCCAGAATTTGTCAAACTGCTAAATTCAATCTCATCTTCCAGGTCATTTTTTGTAGTTCTTGAAATAAGTTGCCAAATTCTGGATGTTGTGATGGACACCAGCGAAGCTACAGGAGCTCACGACCTCCTGCCTCTCAGGGCCAGCATCGCACATTGACACAGAGACCCAGAGAGAAACAAACACACACACTCAGAGACACACGCACACACACAGAGACACGGAGAGACACATACACACACATTCAAGGAGACACACACACACTCAGAGACCCAGAGAAAGACACATACACTCAGAGACCCAGAGAGAGACACACTCAGAGACACATACATACACACACACAGAAATAGACACAGAGAAAGACACACACACTCACAGAGAGATACATTCTCAGAGAAAGATAGATACACACACACTCGTAAACACAAAGAAAGATACACAGATACAGAGAGAGACAAACTCACAGAGAGACACAGAGAGACACACACACTCACAGACACAGAGAGACATACACACACACACACAGAGACACACACATTTACACAGAGATACTCAAAAACACACACAAACATATATAGAAGAGACAGACACACTCACATAGACAATCACAACAGCGGGGCTTTTGAGTGTAGCCCATTTGCCACTTGCACTGCGCATTCGTGTTTGGAGCTGCTCCGCCGACAGTGGCGTCAAATAAACAGCGCGAGTGGCCCACGGGCCAGAAACTACATTTATGGCGGGTTTGTAGCAGGTGGGTTCATTGTAGCGGGAAATATCGGGGAGGTGCGGCCGCACTTTGCTATTGACCCAGCCCATAATGAAGTCCCAGTCTGTGTGGATAACTTTGCTCTCTTCTGTACATCAACTTTTGCCAGCCATTGGCACCATTCACTGAGAGCTCCCAAAACCAAGGGGCAGAGAAATACTCTAAGAACAAACTTGCTTTTTCTAGTTTAAAACAGTCACATTAGATGCAGTTAAACAGGGTGACCAAAAAGTTGTGATACTTTAGCAATATCTTAAACTTCTTAAAGAAATTATGATATTATTTAGATAATGAGGTAGTTATCACAACTTTTTGGTCACTCTGTACTATAGAAAGTGCTGTGGCACCATAAGATTACCTCACAGAAACGGTCGCTTTCTGTTTTGCTTAAGCTGAATCACCCTGGTTACCTTGCAGTTATACTGCAGAATGGATATATTGTTTGCATTCTAAGAAGCTCTTAACTTGCTTTTCTCTGAAGACTATTCTAATTTGATTTGGATCCAACATACAAGTAGTAGCACAAAAGCCTTGTCCTATTGCATTAGCCTAAACTCAAATCTACAAGGAAATCCCACAAATGTCTTAGTATGGTTTTGGACCTACACAGGTTGTTTTACCGTTCTGTCTTAGTTACAAAGAGAATATACTGTGATTGTTTTTTTCAAAACAGAAAATAAAAGATTGTCACGGCTAAGCAAAAACAGAAGAAAATTTCTACTGTTCATTCAAAAGGGTTTAGTGGAGTCTTAGTTGAGAAAGAGATTGTTTTAAAATTAAATACGGTTGGCTCACTTTCATTGGCAAGTTCTAGAACTGTACAATTCAGTAGGAAAATGATCTGATGAATAGTCATGGACATGACTTAATTTTTATACTGAATTAAAATATGGACAGTCGTACTGAAACAATGAAGTAATTACAGAATAGCTGTGTTCTTTCCATAAAAAAGAATTGTGTTTAGTCTGACAAATATTACATTTGGAAACATTCATAGAACCACAAACATCATTTATTTATACTCCAGTTCCTCAATAACTTGAAAATAAGCTTGAAATTTAAACCAGACTTGATTCAAATTTGTAGGAATCTGAATACATTTCAGAACAAGTTAAGGCAAGTCAACCTAAGTCACAAGAACAAATATGTTCTTACAAATGGCAACTTGATAACCAAGCCAGAGTTGGGGGAGAAACTATTCTTTTATTGCATTAGCTGATTGGAAAATACAACAACAACAACAACAAGATTCCATTTATAAAGCGCCTTTCACGTCAGGAGGACGTCCCAAGGCGCTGCACAGTTGGGTCATGACCCGAGCAGGGGGGAAATGGTCAGGGTGAGGGGAGGGAAGGGAGGGAGCGAGGAGGGGGAAGAGAGTCGAGAGGGGAGCTGAAGGCTGATTGGAAAATAATGTGACTTTTCGTTAGAACAAGAACAATTGAGCTGGCAAAGCCTATTTAAAGGATTGAGGAAGCAAATAAAACTTGAGGGAAGTTAGGAAGAAGTAGCATTTTATATTCAATTATTTATTCTTCTTCCAAAAATTCTCAACACACATAAAACAAGGTCGGTTTTAGAGGTATAGAAAGAAGCTTATCACATCCCAACAGTGAGCAACAAACAGCTCTCCTGACAGCTTTCGGACATAAGCATGAGGAGACATGCAATGGTTGGCATTGAACGTAGGATTTTTAATGTCAGCTGTTAATAGAATATACGCATTATAATCACACAAAGCCAAAAGAGTTACGTGCAACACCAACTAGAATTTCAGACCAAAGTTCTCCCAATAAGGTCTGGGAGCAGTTTAGCTACCTGCTCTCTTGGCCAGCTAATAGCCTATTGCATGTTGTTGCAAAGGGGATGTTGTGGAAAAGAGAAAGAATACTTTTATGATTTTATACATTTTACAGAACTAGATTTATCATATTATTGAAATGAAAAATGTTTGTTGCTGTCACTTCGTAATGAATATTCTGAAAGCTTTGAATTTCTTTCAGTAATTGGGTTAAATAATTTGAATTCCTAGTCCACGCTTCACCCTGTATATATGCTGAACAAGAACAATTTCCTTTATCAGGAAGTTGGTGACATGTGAACGCCACATTCACTAAATTTATTGCGACAGTTTTAGTGAAGAATGTCAAAAGTAAATGAAATCGAAGCATACAATTTTGGGAAAAATTTGTTTCTTCAATTATTCTATATACTGCAGCTCAGGGGACAGGAAAACAAGTGAGTAATGTAATCCTAGGCCTCTGTCAATGCCACTGTGCGCTGTGAGAGCAGCTCATGGAATAGTTACCATCAGATGTTCTCTCCCTTAAGCGCTTAGCTCTACTTGGAACTTCTCCACATCACTTCAGGGCGAAACGTTAGGCAAGTTTCCTTAATCCACATACACGTATCTGTTCACCTAACAGTAAGTATGAACCTGGTGGTTAGTTGATTGGCAGATTGCTTTCCGGGGGTAATAATTCCTTCAAAAATAAATAATAATTTGGACACTCAATCCACGACTGTTTGTGGGACACTGCTGTGTGCAATTGGCTGCCACGTTTAGCCCACAAAATACACAGTCAATTCACATTATTACAGCATATTCTGTGATGCGTTTTGAGACGTGTCAAAGTCCTGATAAAGGGCTATATCAAATGCAAGGATTACTATTATCAACACGGAAATTCCAACAATGTCTCAAACCAGTGGCCCTTTGCTGGATGATGGTACTCTAGCACTACTATGCCACTACAATTTTAATAATTTCTAAGGATGTTTTCTCCAATCCATTTTTTAAAAATATGGCTATCCTTAATTAAATTACCTCCCTGCAAACTACTGTGTTTTAATTGCACTCGCACTATAGTAATACAATCTTGTAAAACTCGCTCGCTCGCTCATATTCCACTCAGACTGTAAGTTGCTGGTTAGCAATAAGTTTCTAGCTTTAAAAAAGGCAATAAACCACTACCTTTGGCTTTAGAAGCCAAAGGTAGTGGTTTATTACTTGAATTGGTACTTTTTAGCTACTTCTCCAGGGAGACCTTGAAACTAAACAACAGACAGACATGAGTGCTGTTTAGCACAGCATGGAATGTTTTAGTACAGGGACACCACATTCCTAAATACCTTCTGTTGCTGAGTGGAATATTAAAAAAAATGAGAAATAGGAAGAGCAATGCCATAGTCTGCTTTCACTACTCCATTAATACTAGATAAAGCAGTATAAATAAGATACATAATGCAACACCAATGAGGTTTAAAAATCTATGAGAACTCATTCGCCCCAAGCCAAAGAAATGCGTGGACCTTGAGATTTTTTTTAATTCAGAAAAGGGAACATTTAGAGTTTTTTTCTATGATATTACAGTGGTAATTTATCTCCCTGCCGCATTAGTTTAATTTACTTAAGCTTGAACTGTCATAAAGATGTATGAATAAAAACAAAACTGCATTCATTTACTTGTCATAATGTTAATGAAGTAACAACAAATGGAAAAAGAAAGCAACGTGCAATGTATTATATGATTTTATGACAGCTTGATACCATATCATCATAAAACGGCATCATGCACCAAATCCAAGCAATACACAGGCTTGTCACAACTAATTTGCTAATTTTAGGAAATGCGATTGCAACATCGATCATTACAGTAAGCTGTAATGGAAGCCAAGAATATCTAATATTTCATGCATATGGAATCAATTTTGTAAATTTTCAAGTGGATATAAATAAAACATTTAAACAGTTGTATGCTATTTTTAAACGATATACACCCTCGACAAAAAAAACGCAGCTCTAAAGACAGTAACAATTTACATAGTATTCTCCTGACGCAAGGAGGATGCTATGTAAATTTAGCTAACTTTCTTCAGCTGATGTCAAAACGATCAAGGTCCTCCTGATTGGCTCCCGTCAGCGCCTCCACATACCACCTTACTAAGCCAGTCCAGGACCTTGGCATCTTGTTTGATACTCAACTGTCCTTTCTACCCCACTTCTGTGCCATGACCTGCTCTGCCTTCCTTCATCTCCGCAACATTGCCCAACTCCGCCACTGTCTCACACCGCAGGCCACCGAAACTCTCATACACGCTTTCATAACACCAAGGCTTGACTATGCAAACTCCTTGATTGTTGGCCTCCCCAACTCCTCCCTCCATAGGCTACAGATCATCCAGAACTCAGCAGCTTGTGTCATCTCTCGCACCAGGCTCCATAAATCTATCACTCCCATCCTTGCCCGACTCCACTGGCTTCCCATTACACAGAGGATACAGTTCAAGATCCTGGTCCTCAAGTTCAAAGCCCTCCATGGTCTTCCTCCCCCCCTACCTCTGCAACCTCCTAACCTGCTACTATCTTGCCCCTTCCCTCCACTCAGCAGAGTGCCTGCTTCACGTCCCCGGCCTCACCATTGGCAGGCAGGCCTTCTGCCACTCTGCCCTTTCACTCTGGAACTCCCTCCCACAATCCCTCCATCTCACCCCCTCTCTTGCCTACTTCAAGTCCTGTCTGAAGACGTTTTTCTTCCACCGTGCCTTCGGCCACCCTCCCACCCCCACTGCCCTCCTCCCCTACTCACCCCAACTCAGGTCCAAAACCCCTGATTGACCAATGCCCTGGAACGTCTTTCTGTCATGAAGCGCTCTATACAAGTGTAATTTGTTGTGTTGTTCTTTTGAAACAGCACCTGTGATCATGGCAATTCTTAGTTGTCCATCAAGGTTGAAGCTTGTTTTGCTTCAACCAATGAAAAAACTGACATCCCGGGGAAGAAAGTGCAAATAAAATTAATCTCTACTCTCAAAGCATCTCCAGGATTCCCTCAGTCTGCATTCAATTTAATTTTGCAAACACCAGTACTGGTTCTCCATTAACTTGCTTGGTAGAATAATCCAAACATTTCTAAGCAAATATTCCACATCTTTGTCCATGTTGTACTTTCCCCTCATTTTGATTAAATGTCTCCTGGACCTGCTCTCTTGGCTTATAATGAAGTAACAGTCTGCATTTATCCTGATCTATTATTTCACATAATTCAATACGGCTTTTCCCCAGCCTCCTTTCTAGACTTTAAAGCTTAATTTTTGTCCAATCTGTCTTCGTAACCCATCTCCTGTTTCTTGCAGTAAAATGCAGCTCTCAGCACACAGACGTTCCAGAAATGCTTTTGCCAGAAACCACTGGTGGACAGAACTTTAAACTTTAGTAGTTTTGTTTTATTCTTGAAGATTGTATTGTACTTACCCTCTCTGTATCTGCAGAGGCTGCAGGTCAGCAGTTGGAATACCTTCTGCAGTGAAATATTTCAGCAGCTCTTTTGCATCAAGGTGAACTGGAGGTATTCTTTGGACATCCTTGAGTCCCAATAGTGTTTCAGATGAACTTGACACAATACCAGTCCTAAAGGCACGATAGATACAAAGTTTGCATAGTTAGAAATGAAGCCTGTCAACATATTAATTAGACTTCAATGTTTTGAAGGTACATTAACAACCTGCAAACATACCTGTATATGGAAATTGTTAACTCCTTCCTAATTCCTAGTTTTAATCAAAGTCTACATCCCAGCAATCTCAAGCATTTATGTATATTAATGTTAATTTATCAATTTGCTTTTGTTGTAAAATGTATCAGAGAGGAGCTTCACATTCACACTATTTTATGTAGAATGATACAGCATGGAAACAGGCCATTGTTTATGTTTATGTTCCACATGAGCTCGAATTCAAGATCCTCATCCTCACCTACAAGGCCATTCACAGCCTTGCTCCCTCCTACCTCTCCGACCTACTATCCCCCTACCTACCTGCCCGTACCTTCCGTTCCTCTGGCTCCGGTCTGCTCCACATCCCCCGCCCCAACCGCCCTACCATCGGTGGCCGGGCCTTCAGCCTCTCAGCCCCGAGGCTCTGGAACTCTATCCCCCAGTGCCTTCGCCGCCTCCTCCCTTTCCTCCTTCAAGGCCGGTCTCAAGACCTTTCTCGTTGATCGTGCCTTCAGCGCCCCTCTCGATTCTCTACCCCCTCCTCGCTCCTTCCCTCCCCTCACCCTGACCATTTCCCCCCAATGCTCGGTCCTGATCCAACTGTACAGAGCCTTGGGACGTCCTCCCGACGTGAAAGGCGCTCCATAAATGGAATCTTGTTGTTGTTGTTCTATCCCTGGTGTATCCCTCTATTCCCTTCTCTCTCGTGTATGTACCCAATTTCATTTTCAATACAATGATGCTATCTGCTTTAACCATAGGTTTCAGGAACGAGGTCAACATTCTCACTATCCTCTGTGTGGAAAATGTACCTCCTAAATTTCCTTTTAGATCTGCTAATAGCTATCTTATATTTATGGCCCCTCTTTTTGTATTTATCAATGAGTTGAAACAGGCCATCTTATTGAATCCTTTCAGAATCTTCAACACCTCCATCAGGTCCCCTCTCAATCGTCTCATCTCTAGACAGAAAAGCTCCAACCTTTCCAATCTTTCATGATAGCTGTAGCCACTCATCTCTGGCAACATCCTTGTAAATCTAAGCTGTACTCTCTCCAAAGCTACTACAGAATATCCTTTTTGAAGTATGACAACCAGATCTGCATGCAGTATTCCAAAGGTCTAATCAAGGCTTCGATACAAATTTAAAAATTAGCTCCCTAGTTTTATACTCTATTCCTCCAGTAAACCAAGGACTATATCTGTGTTCTTTGTGGCCTTGTTCAAATGTGTTACTACTTTTAAGAGTCCTGTGAATCTGTATCCTAGATCCCTTTGTCTTTCCTAGGTTCCTTAAACACTTATTCTCTTATTTTTCCTACCAAAGTGGATCACTTCACATTTCCTTACATTGAAGTTCATCTAGACTTCTTTCGGCATTAAGATGTTAACCATGTGTCTTACTCTCAAGCCCAAATTTAGTTCCAGACATCAAAGTAACTGAATGTAAACACCACCAATTACCAAGCATGTTTTATGCAACAGAAGTATCCCATTACACTATTAGAATCGAGGAACGCAAACAAAGTCCTAAAATCATAATAAAGCTCTTCATCCCCCGCTCCTGCCCTGTCCAATGCCAGTCAGTATATGGTTACACCCTCCAGTAATTAGACTATGTTTTCACATATGAGGCCAGACAGTTAACTGTAGGCTCAAAACTAACTTGCATATTTGTTGTGGCTTGCAAGTTGAATCATATTAAAACATCGTTTACAGTAATTGTCAATAGAAAGGAACCTTCTGGTCCAGAAGACAGTATTCTTTAGATTTCAAGAACATGTTACTTTGTTAAGCTAGATCTCCGATGTAATCCATTGCTGAAAGTCCCAACAAATACCCAAGGTGAAGGAATATGCTGATTACATACTATGTGTATATATACCAGCCATCATTCACAAAGGAGGACTCTGCCATGAAGAATATGAACATTCATTACAATAATAATAATAATCCTTGCATTTGATATAGCGCTTTTCACGTCTTCTAGACGTCCCAAATCGCTTCACAGAACACACTGTAAAGTGAATTGACTGTATATTTGTGGGCGAACGCGGCAGCCAATTGCGCACAGCAATGTCCCAAAACAGTCGTAGATTGAAAATGACCAATTTATTATTATTTTTGGTTTTGGAGGGATTATTATTAGGTGTGTGGAGTAAGGAAACTTTCCCAAGGTTTCGCCCTCTGCCTGGAATTGAACTCAGGTCTCTCACTTGCAAAGCGAGTGCTCTATCCACTGAGCTACAGGACTCCACAATGTGTATCTTTTGAGAAAAAATATGTTGTTTCAAAATATAAACCATTTTGCTCATAAACAAAGTCCCAGCTGGGTTTTCCAAAGTGGCTGCCAACTGTTTCATTATATTTTTATGCAAAACACAATCTAAACTGATATTGTAGTTTGTGACTGTTGTCACAAGAATCTGACTTGTATTTTCTTGTTCTTCAAAGATGCATCTTCTATGAAATGCTGAAATAAAATCAGGTTCTGGGAAACTGAGTGATTTAAAAAGGAGATAGAGAAAAGGTATGGAGAAGGTATTAAGGTATGGAGAAAGGGGAAATGGGATAAAATGTAACAAACTCATAATTTGTATGAATGACATACAAATCTTCCTATGTTCCTAAAACAGATCAACTTGGATGGAACATGGTTGTACCCCCAGGTTAGGGAGGTGATGAAAATAATGAAGCAGAGAGGAAATACCAGAGAAGAGGGGAATAATGTCATGTATTCGGAGCAACACCATTCAAAGTTCAAAGCAACACCATTGCCATTTGATGTTATAAGGCTGCTTGGTTGATGGCTTTCACAAAGGGAAGTCAGTGTCTACTTACAAGGGCAGTCCTTATTCTTAGAAATGTTTGATTCCTTTCAATAGCCAGTTTGCTGATCAAAAGCTTGCTGGATATGAATGAAGAATCCTGTCTGACAAATGAAGACAAAAAATCACTTTCCTATGGGTTAGTGAGATCCGGCAGGTACCATTTAAAACCAGGCTAATCGAGATCCACCAATTGCAAAGCCAAAATGGGAGGAAATGCATACAAAAACTCATGTCTCCACACAATAAATATAAAGACAACAGTCTTTCTTTTCTGATTTGTCCACAGTTCTCAAGCATAAACACAGCTGGTGATTGTCTGGTATCTGATGAAGAAATCAGTTTCATTGTTTAATTGTCAAAAATAATAATAATCCTTGCAGTTGATGTAGCGTTTTTCACCCCTTCTAGATATCTCAAAGCGCTTCACAGAATATACTGTAAAGTGAATTGACTGTATATTTGTGGGCGAAATGCGGCAGCCAATTGCGCACAGCAGTGTCCCACAAACAGTCGTGGATTGAAATGACCAATTTTTTTTTGAGGGATTACTATCAGATATGTGGAGTAAGGAAACTTGCCCAAGGTTTCACCCTGCCAGGAATTGAACCCAGGTCTTTAGCTTGCAAAGCGAGTGCTCTAACCACTGAGCTACAGGACTCCACAAAAATATTTCCTTGCAAACTGGGGTGAATGTTAAGAACCCCTGATAAACAGGAGACACTAGTTTTCAAAGAATTGTAAGTTAGTTTGAAGACAAAGAGTCTTGACCAAGTTTTAGTCAAAATCTGGTACAAAGAAATGTCACGTTCTGCACTGTTTTCCATTAGGATTTCCATAATTGATGCTGAAACTCCAAAAATGAGGACAATATTGAATGAGTGTCTGTTCAACAATGAACTCTGGTAGGCAAATTGCAGGCACAAAGGTGAGCTACCAACTGATAGATATTTTAAACACCATGGGGGCAGGAGGTTGAAAAGGAACAATGTGTAATGGAAACTGTGATCTGGCATGTTTCCTTTTGACAAATTTGATACCGAAGATCAAGCAGTATCTTCCAATTATTTTAAGGGCCATGGAATAGAATGGGTAATGTGGTGATCTGGAGCCTAATTGTTGACTGTCTCACAGAACCCAGGGTTGGTGCAACTTTCAAGTCTGGGGCATCTGCATCGTCCAGAAATTAAGAGGTGGCGGTGCTCTGAGAGTGAGGCTAACTAGTAGCATGAGTTGCAAAGTTGAAGTAACTTGGAGTGAAGCTGAAGTAAATCCACTTAGATTTATGTCCAGAAAATGGAAGTAACAACTTAATTTAGGCAAATACAAGAGCTGCATAAAGATCATTATTTTCAAGATGATGAAAGTGGTAATATTGTGCAAAGGATTTGGTTTACTGAATTAGAGAAAAGTTTTAATCTGACATTTGTAGCACAAGAAGACACCAGACATACAAGTTCAGAGCAGTACTATCATTATTATTATTCAAATTGGAGTCCTTGATCAGACTGTGCTAAAGTCTGATGCAAAACGTGAAATGAATGGATCATTTAGAACTAATGGAATGTATTAATACACCACAAGGATCAAAGACAAGAAACTGATATCAATAATTTGGAATATTCCTCCATGAATTGTGCCCTCTGAGTCTAAATAAAGTAACATGACATTGTCCAGCTGTTCCCAGTTAATGATTCCAGTCCTCATCTAGGGTCCAAGATATTGAATACTGTCCCTCAATCCCTCCACTCTCCCACTTTTCAAGTCCCATCTGAAAACCTTCCTCTTCAACCATTCTTACAGCCACCTCCTCCCCCCCCATGGCTCAGAGTCAGGCTCCGCCACTGTTATGTGCTCTGAGACACTACTCTGTGTGGAGGGCGCTGTATAAGTGCAAGTTCTTGTTGTTGAATAGTGATTCTGAAGCACTGTACTTTAACTTATCAAATACATGTCAGTAAAATATTATTCAACCCCAAATGCTACCACCCGTGCCCCACATACAGCCAGAATATAATAAAGAAACACTATTTTGAATCATTTGGGGATAACAGCTGAGCTGAGATTTATATTTTTATAATGAAATATAATGACCTAATATATTATGTTCAAAGCTCTTCTTATAAAGAAGAACTTTTACCAATAACACAGTAAACATTATCCTACCTGATTTTCTGTCTGACTCTTTCAAGGTTTTCATAGTTTTGAAAGACACTCCTTTCAGGCCACTTTGAAGGGCTAATTGCTGAAATGTCGCACTCTGGATCGACAACATTTTAAAAATTAAAATTTTCATGTAAGACGTCATTTAACTTAACAATACTTTTTCCTATTTAAAAGCACAAAGGACAAAGCAATACTCAAATACACCAAGTCTGTCACAATGCAACAATAGCATGGTTAAAGGATACAACCATAGCTAAAATAAATCAAATTTAACAAAAATAGAACAGTTCCTATCTGAAACCTTTTTACAATTGGGGAAAAATCTAGAGTATTTTAGCAAGTTACGTTACAACTACTTCTACTTTGGTTAGAATATTATTATATAATAGTTATCATTCTTTATTCATTTTCTACATTTTCAATAATGTATATAATGGATTATTATTATTTTCAAGTTTGAATTCAAATTATTGCCGTGGAAACAAATTTGCTGGTCTTTTTGATTGTTAAAAATATGGAAGTGGCAAAATAAGAATGGTGAAGAAAGTCACAATTGTCACAATGTCATTTAATGTAGTTTCTCTTGATAGCATTTTAATTTAAGGTCCTCCCATTTGGAGACTGAGACACCTTTGACAGTAATTATTAAAAATACTGTCACTAGCTTAGCATTTAAATTATGGGTCTAGCTGTTGTGAGTTGATGAAATCAGTTAAGGTTCTGAAACAACTAATCAGGTAATTGTGATATGTTTCTCTGATTTATCAGTAAATATATCAACACTGAGGGTGAGAACATCGTACTCTATATTATTCTGTACATTTACTAAGTTTGCTAGTGTTGGGTTTATGATAAGCATTCATAATCCGCTCATAACATCCATGGTATTTCTGACTACCACGGATTCATCATGTCCAGGCCCTGCTTGTCTGCCTCCCCAACTCCTCCCTCCACAGGCTGCAGATCATCCAGAACTCTGCAGCCCGTGTCCTCTCCCGCACCAGGCTCCACGACCCTATAACCCCCAAGCTTGTCTGGCTCCACTGACTCCCCATCGCTCAGAGGATACAGTTCAAGATGCCTGAAAATAATCCCTCAAGNAAAAAACTAAAATAAAAAGTTGGTCACTCAATCCACGACTGTTTGTGGGACACTGCTGTGCACAATTGGCTGCCGCGTCTCACCCACAAAAAATACAGTCAATTCACTTTACAGTATATTCTGTGAAGCGCTTTGAGACGTCTAGAAGATGTGAAAAGTTCTATATCAAAATGTAAGAATTATTATTATAAGATCCTGGTCCTCACCTCTAAAGCCCGCTATGTTTTTGCTCCTCCCTACCTTTGTGACCCCCTACCAACCTGTCCACTCCCTTCGCTCAGCAGGCTCCAGCCTGCTTCACGACCCCGCCTTGCCCGCCCCACCATTGGCAGGCTGTCCTTCAGCCTCTCTGCCCCACCCTCTGGAACTTCATCCCACAGTCCCTCTGCTCCGCTCCTTCCCTTGCTTCCTTCAAGGCCCTTCTCAAAACCCTACTCTTCAACTGTGCCTTCGGTCACACTGCTACCTCCCCCCCTTCACAATCTCGTTCCCCAGCTCGGGTCCAAATAATAATAATAATAATAATAATAATCCTTGCATTTGATATAGCGCTTTTCACGTCGGGAGGACGTCCCAAAGCGCTTCACAGAGTAAGCGCTTACTGTCCAGCCCCATCGGACTTCCTCCCGACATGAAAAGCGTTATACAAACTTAATTTTGCATTTTATTGTAATTATTCTCACTGATAGATAATACTGAGGATAAAACCTATTAGGTCTTGGTTGCCTGGATTTATTTATTGTCACAATCAAAAAGCTCTAGTTATCTCAAGTTTCTTCATAATAACAAAAATAATTCTTGCATTTAACATAGTGCCTTATCACATTGTTCAGACGTCTCAAAGCCCTTCAGAGAACAGTCTGTAAAGTGAATTGAGTGTATATTTGTGGGCGAAACGGGGCAGCGAATTGCGCACATCAGTGTCCCACAAATAATCTTGGATTGAAGTGACCAATTTTATTATTTTTTTTAATGATTATTATCAGGTGCTTAGAGTAAACAAACTTGCCCAAGGTTTCAACCTGCCGGGAAACAAACCCAGGTCTCTCGCTTGCGATGCGAGTACTCTAACCACTGAGCTACAGAATTCCTGATTGTATACATAATTCAATGTTAACATAATACTTCAAGCATCTGGGACAAGATCTCCTATGAAATGCATAAGTTTCTGATTTTCAAAGTAAGATTTTCCAATGCAAATCTCACCTACCAGTATATTTCTTAAGTTCCTCTGGTTTTGTGTCTTTCTGATCTGTGTTGCCCAGCGTGTTACTTGTCAGGTTATTGTTATATTGGCTAAAGTATTGTTCTCTTACGAGAGTTAATAATGTCTTCAAGTCGTTGGTTGAAATCGATGAATTGTTTTTATCAGTCTGCTTATTTTCTGTAGACATGAAATAAATCAAAAGGATAAGATGAATTGTATTGTATTGGCTTATTTTAGGAAATAAATAAATGTTTTTGTAATGGGAGAGAATTCTTTGAGATTTTGATGCTTGTTAACTGATGGAAAAACTACTGGAGTTGCAATACATTTTGCAAATAAAGTTTGATGGTACATCATCAAATACAACATTTAGTGGTTGATTAAATGTACTATACTAAAATCAATCCACTCAAAAGAAAAATTATACTGGGCAATAAAATATGATTCAGAAGCAAACAATTTTATCAAATACTTAGGAATATACTATGAAGGAATGGAAATTAATATCCTTTACCATGCCTGGTGGTAACATGAACAGGCATTTTGTTTTTGTCTTAGTCAGACTGTCGACACACAATAACTTTTGACCATAGCTGATAAATGGACACAACCAACAAAGCCATTTAAGAAGAGTACTTTTTTGTAGAGACATTTATCAGCTTCATAACATTTTAATGGTTACCTAATACACCTGTAAGAGGATATCTGGTTGACCGAATCTAAAACTGTGAACGCAACTGGAATATCAATCTGGAAATATATCTTGGTTTAAGATTCTCTATAGTTGAGTAGAAATTCTGTAACAGGTACAAACCTGACCTATCTGTAAACCTCTATCGGGTCATTGCTGAAATGTGTACATTGTAATAAATCAAGAATGCACAGAAAAATGTTTTGCCAGATTTAGCCATAATTGGACAAACAATTTTGACATCTGGAATTTTAGAAGACTGACAAATCTGTTGTACAAATATTACAATGATATATGAGGATGATACGGGATGAGAATCAATATACATGAGGAGAAACGGGAGAAGCTGCATCTGTTTTCATTGGAACAGAGAAGGTTGAGAAGGGACTCGATAGAGGTTTACAAAATTAAGCAAGGTTTTCCTAGGGTAAATAGGCAGAAGCTTTGTCCATTGGCAGGGAAATGGGTGACTAAAAGACAAAAATAAAAGATAGTCACAAGAAGGGTGAAAGGAGAGCTTAGGAGAACTTCCTCCAAGAGTTATCGGGATTTGGAATACCCTGCCAAGTAAACTGATAGAAATAGTCTATTAACAATTTCATGAAGGATGTAGGAAGGTACGTGAAAGTTAAAGGCTAGAAGAGATATGGGAATAAAAAGAGGCAGTTGAATTAAATGGACAACTTGCTCTGAGAGGTGGTACAGACTTGAAGGCCTGAAGAGCCTTCTTCTGCTCTGTAAATTTTCTACCATTCTATGTACTTACTCAGAAATTCCTTTAATGCAAGCGTTTGGAGTTGAGTCAGTTTCTTCTCTCGGTTTACAAGTTGTTCACCAGTAAAGCAAGGCATTGCCTCGAGTATATTTCCAATGTCAAACCCTGCAGATGAAGATATGGCTTAATATTAAGTTTGCATTGTCGCTGCTACTTAATTGCTTAGCTGCTAGAAGCATATTCTAATTCAGTAGGTTTACCCTTTCCAATATTATCGCATCAATTCATTCGCTCCATTAAATTAGTACATGTAACTATTGTAGAATTTTGCACCAATACAATTTACAACACCAACAATTTGCATTCATATAGCACCCTTCACGGAAGATAGTGTGTACATGAATAAACAAACACATTGCATTTATACAGTGCCTTTCACATCGGGAGGATGTCCCATGGTGCTGGGCAGTCAGCGGTTTGTACTTGAGCTGGGGTTTGTACTCGAGAGGGGTGGGGAAGTTGACTGAAGGTTCGGTCAAGAGGAAGGTCTTGAGATGGAGGAGGAAGGTCAAAGGATTGAGGTCACGTGTGCTATATATTACAACAAATCAGCAGCTGAGTTATTTGTACAATCACTATTGAATGACATTTGCATTGAAATCTCCCAAAAGTATTGCCAAGTTAATGTTGCTCTGCAGAAATTACTTAGCCGCAGCAAATATAGTAAGACGTTTAATCACATCTTGAATCTAACCCAACTATTCCAGCCTGTGGTTGAAAAAAGAAAAGCAGATTTGCCCTCACAAGCTGAGAACAATGAAGTCAATACAGCATGATTGAGAAATAGTTCTATCAACAGGATATGAATGTTTTACAGCTGTGCTAAAAATTAGTCCATAAATCTATTCTATTACAGTGCAATGGAGGTAGTCAGGAAACATGTGTCCATAGTAACTAGATATTTTATACAATACCAATTTAAATACATAATATGATATAAGCATTCTTTTATTTCCCACAACAATGTTGATGAAACAAGCTATACATTAACAAAGCAATAACATTGATTTTGTTAGTTGTCATGAAATGGAAAACCTGAGATGTTACAAAGCAGCTAAAATATTCATTATATTTCTACATTTTGGTGATATACAACACCCATCCTTCTCCTACTTTACATTTGTGCTATCCTGTGGACACTTTTGCAGTTGCTGATCAAGAAGTTTCATTGGCAAACTGCTAAGAGGGAATTTCAGTGACAAAGGGAAAAATATCTGACCAATGCTTGAAAATCTGACCTCCAGGGAAAATGAATTGATGAATGGCAAGTTAAATTTGGAACTAATCTAGGTTCTTCTTTTAGAGATGAATATATAATTTGAGCTGTGAGTTAAGTCAAAGGCATCTTTATAAATTCAATATAAAATTTATAACTTTGCCTTCTGTGGCTTAGACAATAAAACATGGAATCTAGCTGTCCGTACAGCTGTATTGGCAGATGCACTGAAGGGCTACATTAAAAAAATGAATATTTATCCCTGGTTCACATACTATACCGATGCATCACAAGGCTAAAAGGCATGAATGCATCATTGGTCATGTTCATCATTAATTAAACCAAAGTCTGCTTAAGATCTGAACACAGTAAGAATCTAATTAGCAAGAAAAAGGTTGAAGTTCATGTGGCAAAGTATAAAATTGTGCAGGAGTAAGCACTTGGTTTTAAACTATTATAGATTTACACATTAGTGCAAACCCCATCTTTTCGCTGGAAAACGAATAGTCTAATTCAATGCAATCCAGTGGATGTGATCATGACAGTGTATTCAGACCAAGGCATGATGTCTAGGCTCTCTATCTTCTACTGCAAGACGACTGCAGGACTGCAGGCAGAACAGAAGAGAGTTGCCAGCGTTTATGCCCGAGTGCCATGTTGTGGAGTCCTGTAGCTCAGTGGTTAGAGCACTCGCTTTGCAAGTGAGAGACCTGAGTTCAATTCCAGGCAGAGGGCGAAACCTTGGGCAAGTTTCCTTACTCCACACTCCTAATAATAATCTCTCCAAAACCAAAAATAATAAATTGGTCATTTTCAATCTACGACTGTTTGTGGGACATTGCTGTGCGCAATTGGCTGCCGCGTTCGCCCACAGATATACAGTCAATTCACTTTTACAGTGTGTTCTGTGAACAACAACAACAAGATTCAATTTATAGAGCGCTTTTCATGTCGGGAGGACGTCCCAAAGCGCTGGACAGTTGAGTCAGGACCCGAGCAGAGGGGAAATGGTCAGCGTGAGGGGAGGGAAGGGAGGGAGCGAGGAGTGGGGGGGTGAGGGGAGGGAGAGGAGGGGGTGAGGAGGGGGTAGAGAGTCGAGAGGGGAGCTGAAGGCACGGTCAAAGAGAAAGGTCTTGAGACCGGCCTTGAAGGAGGAAAGGGAGGAGGCGGCGAAGGCACTGGGGGATAGAGTTCCAGAGCCTGGGGCTGAGAGGCTGAAGGCCCGGCCACCGATGGTAGGGCGGTTGGGGCGGGGGATGTGGAGCAGACCGGAGCCAGAGGAACGGAGGGTACAGACAGGTAAATAGGGGGATAGTAGGTCGGAGAGGTAGGAGGGAGCGAGGCCGTGAATGGCCTTGTAGGTGAGGATGAGGATCTTGAATTCGATCCTCTGGGGGATGGGGAGCCAGTGGAGGCGAGCGAGGGTGGGAGTGATGTGGTCCCGAAGCCTGGTGCGGGACAGTACACGAGCTGCAGAGTTCTGAATGACCTGCAGCTTGTGGAGGGAGGTGCGGGAAGGCCGGCGAGGAGGGAGTTCCCATAGTCCAGCCTTGAGGTGATAAAGGCGTGGACCAGAGTTTCAGCAGCGTGAGGGGTGAGGTAGTGCCGTAGTCTGGCGATGTTTCGGAGGTGATGGAAGGCGGTGCCAGTTGTGGCGCAGATATGAGGAAGAAAGGACAGCTCAGGGTCGAACAGAACCCCGAGGTTCCTGACCGGCTTTGAGAGGTGGAGAGTGCAGCCTTGGATGCTGATGGTGTCAGCGCCTGAGGTGCGGAGGCGCTGACGTGAGCCAATCAGGAGGGCCTCAGTTTTGCGCACGTTGAGCTGAAGAAAGTTGTCTCCGGTCCAGGACTCGATGTCGGACAGGCAGGCTGTCAGGACATCGGTGGTCGTGGAGTTGAGGGTAGAGGAGGAAAGGTAGAGTTGGGTGTCATCCGCATACATGTGGAAGTTAACCCCATGTCTGCGGATGATGTCACCAAAGGGGGAGCATATAGAGGGTGAAGAGGAGGGGACCGAGGACAGAGCCCTGAGGGACACCGCACGAGACAGTGCAGGGGGTGGAGGAAAAGCCATTTGTTTCACCTCCCGACGTGAAAAGCGCTATATCAAATGCAAGGATTATTATTATTATTATTATTGTTGACATGAAAATAAGAAATACTTTACATCAAATATAAAGTCACACAATTTTCACAGAATGCATGAGGTACAACTTATCAGACTGATTCTTTTGCCTGCTGAACTCTATTCCAAAAGGTGTCATTGCCTGAAACTCTGTTGCTTATATCCAGAAGGGTGAATGCAGAGTTAATCATTGTTTGCTGAATCAGGGTTACTGAAGCATGAAGTAGGTTATGGGAAATCTGCGACGAGCTCATTGGTCCTCCAGCATAATTTTTCCAAGGTTTTTTTGTGCCAGCAGCAACTGACAGGGTCAACTTTGAGATAGATTCATTCTCGTTTCCATTGTCTCCACTTGCACAATTAAAACAAAATGTGTTTCACTAGATTTTGAAGGAACGAGCATATTAAATCAATTTGAAAATAGAAACCTAGTTTGTATTTTTGATAGAAAAAAATTAGTTTTGCTAGTTTTGAAGTCCAGAATTTGAAAAACATCAGCCTCATGTTATAAAAGAAGTGTGCAAAGCTTAGAAACCCAGGATTCAGTGAGCATTTTTGAAAAAAAACTGGAAGTTCATTATTCACAAATCTGAAAGCAAAATCTCGCAAGCTGTTATTTTGCATTAAAACTTGTAAAATAAGAGAAACTCCCCGTATAATTCTCATCTTGCAAGTTAGGCAAATTTCTTCTGAATTGTTGTTAGGTTATCAAATAATTCAGCACGATACAAATCCTGTCATCAGTTTTTGCAGCAAATGAAGTACACGCATCATTTGACATTTTGTAAGTGTGACTGTGTGCCAAATAACCATTAACTCACAAATCTATTGTAATCCAATCATATTTGCTGCATTCAGTAGTACGTACGTAAATGCTTTATAGTCTTAAGATTTAATCCATAACTGAAAATGCAAATGCATAAGTTAACAGATGCAGGAAAATGCCAACTTGCTGGAAGATAGATACGCAAAACAAATTTGTGACATTTGTAACATAACAACATCAACAGCATTCAGGACACGATTCAAAAAGCACTTATAAAGTTCAGAGATGATCCAATTAAATGGCCACAGGATTTGAACAACTCATTGCTAATTCTTAAATAACTTTGCATTTGAAATCTTTTTTATGTGATAATCTGGGTTATAACAATAAGAAAAACACCGTCCATCATTGTATCCAACAGTTTTTTTTTGAAAATCTATTTATAAATAATATTTAGTGCAACCGAAATCCAAAACAAACACATCTTCTGCTACAATTTTTCCCCTTTCTCCCGATACAAAAACATTCCGTTGTTTTCCGGTACTTTCCTTCACTGCACACAGGTTTTGCACACGTTTTTTGGGACGCGCTCTTTAACAGTCAGGAGTCACCCGTGTGCACAACATCCATGTGCCCACCGCACACCTCCTGATAAAGCGCACTTGCCGCTTTCAGAAGGTTCCGATGTGCACCGTACGTGCACGTTTACCGTACATATATTTTCGGGAAGCTCTTTAGTTACATCTCGAGCGTCCTCCTGTACCCTTATGTTTATTTCAGTCAGTTTTGGGTGTGCTCGTGGGCTACCCAGTGGGTGCGCCCCTAAGCGGGTTGTGCCGGAGCAGCTCCTGCCGGGGTCAGGCCCCATCTGGGCTTTGCCGTGGTTGAGCTGAACTTCAGCTTGCATTGTATCCAACAGCCCAAATAGCGTTTAATGTCTATTCCACAACCTGTAGCCAATTTTCAAGCTTTTCTTCTCTAACACTATAATTTGGTCTAGCTCCTTTCATTTTATATGTTTCTAAGGCATCAAAAATAAGAATCTATCCATTATTTTGTATTTTCTTTGTTAATTCCGCGTTCAGAAGAATCAGTGATTAGGAAGGAAGAACAACTTCTCATTTTTACTTAATGATGATCCATCAGATTTTCAACACTGGGGCTATTATGCAAGTTGTGTGAGCCATGCATAAATGCATGTATAAAGAGATGGAATTACAGATGCCAGTAATTATGTAATTAAAAGCCTTTGAAAAAGATTACAGACCCCTTTGTAAAGATATGTATCCTTGAGTTCAAGAGGAAAAATCCAATCCTCCTTTTTATTTCAATGTCTGTCAGTGGGAAGGAGCCAGATTCTTGGGAACAGTGTCTGGATAATTTGGGGAGATGCTATTTGACGTTTTCCTTTAAAATGAAGCAATTCCAGCCCTTGAGTTCCAGCACAAGTCAGAATCCTCTCATGCCTTTTGGGATACAAATAACTGGAACAATCCCCTAAACTCTTTGTTCCGAAAAGTATTATTCCACAATTACAATGAACAGCAACTTCACTAGCCAACAGTTCTTTGGTTTGAACAGTGACTGCTTAGGAAATATCACCCCTTTGAGCTCCGAATAAATAATTGAAACTAATTGGCCAAAGTCACAGAACTCCTGAAAGGGATTGCTGTAATACCAAACATTAAATTTAAAATGAAAATAAGTTCTGTGCAATCTACAGCAGCAAAATTACATTTGTACAGTGACTTTCATGTTAGGAGGACGTCCCAAAGTGCCTGGACGGGCTAATCATCTAACACTAATTGCTACAATGTATCATCAAATTATAGCAGACAATTCCATCTGCCTTTCACACTATATTTTTATACACCTTGACAATTGCAACAGAAAGTAACCTTAGCAATATCTGAGGCTTTGCCCGCTTTAGTCATTTTGTATGATTCTCTCAGTGTCGCTTCACCCATTCCCTTTGTAAAACACACTGCGCAGTCTACGAAGGTTATACAATGTAGACTTGTATCTAATTACTAAAAGGGCAGAATTTTGGCTGCTTAATAAAATGTCATGTTCACCTTCTCCATCTCCAGCTCTTTTATCCAACATCGCATGCACAACGGCAACAGCTGCAGCTCCGTTTATCTGATTGGCCGAATGCATAAGGGTTCCTTTGCAGCCACCTCGACCGTTGCCCTGGATGAGCAGGTAATAACTGCAATCTTCCCCTTTTATTTCTACATCTGGAACTAGAGTCAAACAAGGGTTGATAAGGTCGTGGTTAGTGAAATGTTGAAATCACGCCATGAGGCGACAGAGGAAAATAAAAGAGCAATCTGAACCTTGCATTTATGGTTATGATGAATAATCTTAAGAGATTTTATGTTGGAATATAAGAGGGAGAATTAATATGGATGTAACAACTTGCTGCTTTTTAATCAGCCTCCGTTTTTTATTTCTAGCATCTAATTAGTTGGATTTCTCAGAGTAAGATTAGTATATGGCCAAAGACCATTTTATACTACAACGTCTAATAAACAGCACATCTGGCATAAAAAGTCAAAAATTAAGGTTACAATGTATTCAGGAAATTGAATCCTTCATTTGTTCGACCTTAATATACACATAAATAGGCAGTTATTGAAATCATGGAGTAAGAAGACAATGTCCCTTTAAAAATCAGTCGCTTTCCAATGGCCATGCAGAAACCAATCTCAGTTATGGGTATGCAGATTTCAGTGCTACTATGTTACATTCAGCGTAGTAATTCATAAACTGTCTAGATTCACTTCATCTCCTCAATAATAGTATGACAGGTTTTTATAGAGGTTAGTAATTTTCTTTTTTGGCTTTCAAATTTGTTAATAGTGTGCAAAAATGATATTAATGAATAAACGAATAAAATGTAATGATTAACAAAATCTAAACATTGCAAAGTGGAATCAGATTACAAGCAAAACAAAACATAACTAAATCTTCCAACATTTCCAACCTACTGTTACAGTGAAGTTTTAAATTTACATTTAGATTTGCATTAACATTGCAACCACAAATTTTCTACCCTCGATTATTCTGATTGTTTCTATATATTGTTGTTCTGATTGTTTCTAAACAATGTAACACACATGCAGAACTTAATTGCAATGTAGCGTAAATTCAGATTGTGGACACAAACATATAATGTGACCCTGAATACATCATTAAAGTGCAGATATAACTAACACAAAACAACAATCAATATTTGATGGCTGCCATTCATAAAACTAGAATATGTAATGAGTAGGTAAAAATATACAGATAATATTTTCCCACCCAGAGATTTAACAGAGCCAACCCTAAAGTGATCTCAATGCATTCCAATATTGCTGCCTTTACAACAAAATTACATTTATAGAGCGTCTTTCACGTCGGGAGGACGTCCCAAGGCGCTGGACAGTCAGGGGTCAGGACCCAAGCATGGGGAGGGGTGATGTAGGGGTGAGGGAAGGCAGCGAGGTGGGAGGACAACCAAAGGCACGATCGAAGAGAAGGGTCTGGAGACCATCCTTGAAGGAGGCAAGGGAGGAAGCGAGGCGAAGGGACCGTGGGATGGAGGTCCAGAGTTATTCACCAATAAATAAGAAGTTGCAAAATGTTTTTTTTAATGTTTGGTTCAAAACTGCAAAGTTGAAGCAATTCCTGTATACCATTTATTCTAATAATTAGAAAAAAAATCGAGATGATTTTTGACAATACCCACAGTCCACGTTATTCGGAATCAGATGAAGTTATTTTCTATTATTACCTAAGAAGCATTCATAAAAAAGTGCACAGTTCGGGGTTTATAGAAATATGATCTTAAGAATCCATAAAGAGCGGTAAAAGGAGAAAAAGTGCTGCAAAAATACTAACATCCCTCAACCCGATTAGACAAAAATAAATACATTTATAGCCACCAGAAATCCAAAAATCATCAGTGAGCAATAACATCCTTCTGAATAGCCATGAGGGCCATGCTTAGGAAGCAACCTACAGCTACAACTAAAACTGGAGAGCTACAATCAAACGTAAACTATTTATACTGGAAATAGGCATTTATTAAAAACAGTATAAATTACAAAATGTTCCTAAATATGAAGTTGTTTAAGATCTCACCATAAGAGCTTTTAACAACTGACTTGAAAATGAGCAGGCAAATATATGACTAATAGGAAAAAGGTTACGAGCTCTTTAGAATCTGATTGACAAGACTGTGAAAATGCAAATAGTAAATAGAGCTCATTTGTAATGGTCACATACAAGTTCACAGAACAATTTGATTTATAGGTGTCATTATCTCCTTCAATTCAGTGCACTTTAAAAGAACATTTTTCACCATTTATGTGGCAATTTCACTTCCATTAACACATTGCAAGTTTCCTGCCCTTCACAGCCAACATTAAAATTGAAAGCTGCAATATATAGTAGGAAATTATTTTTTTGGCACAACACTGAAATACAATATAAGGCTGTGTTTATAAGAGATGTAGCAACTTAAAATAACTCATCAGAGTACAAATTTGGTGCAAGACATCGATGGCAAAAGCACAATTCTATACTGATGTCGTCCTATATATATGTGTAAAAAAAAGGATAAATCTGTGCCAAACTAGCGGCAAACTACAATTCCACAATATTCTTACATTTGGTTAGGACCACTTATTTTCAGAGGAGATGCAAATTTCCATGAGTAGATTTTTTCCCCCTTTTTTGTTGGAGGAAAAACATGATTCTATTCTAATGATTATAAAGCATGACAGGTTGCACCCTTAGTTAACTCTGTCATTGAAGAAAGAACGGTGCAATGTGATGCCAGAAAAGAATTGACGGTCTTGCAGAAAAAGACTTAATCGCATAAAATTGCCTATAAATTAAAATAGCCGATTCCTGTAATATGTGTAATAATCTGGTTTTAAAACTATTCAGAAATTTAGGAAACTTGTAATAATAATCCTTGTATTTTCAATTGGCTTACATTAACATCTTGTAAAATATACAGTATGAAAAAAATTAGAAAATATTTAAGATGATCATTATTGTTATTTTATTCATAGCAATTCAGCTCCAGAATTTAATTATCTATACTAAATTAACAGCAAACCTTTTTTTAAGAATGAACTACACCTCTGAGAGAAAACACACTTTGAGGTACTGGACCATGTAGACCAGGTTCAATCCCTGGACTATGATTGAACTACCCTGGACTATTTAAACCCTGGCTGACCAGACTAATGGGAGTGTTGGGTTAGGTGGGGGGGGAAGCAAGGAGATCCAGCTAAGTGTAATTACAATACTGGAACGGGGCATTTACCAGCATTTTTCAAAAACGCCAGTAATTGTTTGAACCCCATGAACAGAAGTTAGCGAATAAGTTATCTTCTGCTTGTGGGATTCAAACAATCTGGGTCAAAGTCAATATCCCTGGGCACTGTGAGGCCAGCAAGGAGAGTTGGGAGCGAGTCTACAAGTTTGCCCATTGTTTTGCTTTCAGGCCATGTTTGGTTAGGTTCAAATTCCGGATACCAGGGGTATTTGTAAGCCGGGGGTTTACTGAACAGTAGTTGGTCTCAGTGAAGGCAAGCCATTCAACTGGCTTCAGCCCCATAGCCCAAGGAAAAATATAAAAATAGACCAGTTAAGATTTCAGCAACCCACTTCAGCATCTCACTCTCTACACATTCCCTTCATCTTGCTCTCTCACTTGCCTCCTTCAAGGCACATTTCAAGACCCTCCTCTTCGATCGCGGCTTCGGCCACCCTCCTGTCCCTTCCCTCCCTGGCTTCCACCCTCCCTGAACTCAACACCCCTGATCAGATCCAAATCCCTGACTGTCCAGCACCTTGGAATGTCCTCTCGATATAAAAGGCGCTATACAATGTCATTTTGTATTATATTGACTGTTGATGGGTAATGCGCAAGTGTGGAAATCAGATGATACCCCAATAGTTGAATAGACTTCTGTCATTGATATTAGTCAATGAAAACTGACCTTCTAGAAACGAGATATCAAAAGATCTTTGGCACGCAATATTGTATCCCAACAAAAAATAATAATATTTGTCAACAAGTCCCCCGCTCACTCCCTCTATTCTGCCAACACTGGCCTTCTCCATGTCTCCATCCTATCTGCCCCAACATTGGTGAGCAAACCATCAGCTAGCCTACCTCCTTCTCTGGAAATTGCTCCTTAAATCCCTCCACTCTCTGCTTTCAAATGCTTGCTAAAAACCTACCCTTTTTGACTGTGCCTTCAGTCAGCCAGTCATCTCTCTCATATCAGCACCCTGCTCAGGCTCCAACTCTATATCTCTAAATTGCTTTGAGACCTTTTAATTATGTGAAAGGTGCTATATAAATACAAGTGTTTGTTGTTAAATTTGTTTAAAAGAATTGTATTAAGCAGAACATTTGTGTGAGTTTATTTATGCACAAAGGAAAGGTAGGATTTAACTAAAAATTCTATGTCTCTCAAGTCATAACTTGACAACATTAAGGAGAAACTCCCTTTTCTTTTCAAAGAGTGTTTTGGGATCTTGATCGTACACCTGAATAGGCATACAGATTTATCATCTCATCCAACACCTTCAACAATACAGTATGATCCCAAACAAGGGGCTTGAACCCACAACCTTCTGACTCAGAGGTAAGTGTGCAATCAACTGAGGTAGGCTGACATACAAGTGTATCTTATTTATATCACAAAATAATGATTCTATCATGGGACACACGGTGAGGAAACAGACAGCAGTGGGACAATACAAAACACAGCAAGAATTTAATCTGCTTCACTAATAGGAAATACAACAGCAAATCAGATTAGCAGAGTAATTTCTCATAATCTGGTTTTGACATATTGTTTGAATTGTTTTACATAAAACATTATTTTATCTTATTGTATTAGAAGTTCAGCTTTTGTGTACTCACCACCAATGGATCTTGGCTTCTTTGCCATATATTCTTTCCATTTCCGTGTACTGTACTGATTAGCTGAAGGAACAGGAGTACTGCTCACTGTGCACGACAAGTTAAAAAGAGCTCCCACCTGAAAATAGCAGAGGAAAATTCTGAATGGCTGAACCACAAAATTAAATCTATAGTCGACGGAATGTAGCTGTATGATCAGGGAAAGTTATTTGGTACATAGCACTCACGAGTAAATACATGCACTTTTATTTGGGGTGGGGATTGAGTAAACAGGACTACATAATAAAGAGGATGTATTCTGAGATTTAATTGTTCCCAAAACTATTCATCAAATGGTATAAACATAGAAGTTGCTGGGAACACGCAGCAGAGCTGTTCTGACGAAAGGTCATAAACCTGAAACATTAACTAATTTTCCTCTCTCCATGGATGCTGCTTGACCTGCTGTGTGTTCCCAGCAACTTCTGTGTTTATACCAGATTTCCAGCATCTGCAGTACTTTGCCTTTTTTAAAAAAAATTCATCCAATGGTACTGTTAGCACATAAATTTATCTGTGAGTGTTCAAGACACAACTCTCCAGTGCTTGGTTTTCCATGACCACCAAATAACATCACATATCTTAACATCACAGCACAATGATATCGTGATGGGACAGGTGGTGAGGAAATAGACAGCAGCATCAGCAGCATCACCTGCATCAGGTGATGAGATGGGCAATTTCAGGAATCAAAAAGCTCCACAAATAACCTATCAGCATTCATTCAACATATCTAATATAAATAAAGTTTTAATATTTGAAGATTTTAATGTTTGAACAGTTGAATAAGATGCTTTTCATGGTGAAGAAAAAGAAAGGAGTCAAAGATTTTTCCAAGATAAAAAAAAATCAATGTGTAACAAAGATGAAACTATTTAACATATACATCAGTAGTTATTGCCCTAAAATCCTTTTGAGGTTTAAATTCCAGTAATCTTTCACCAATTAATGAATTAACTGATAAGAACAACATTGACCATTATCCAAATGCAACATTAATCTTACCATCTTACTGAGAAATATACTTTTCATAGATAGCAACACAGAATGGTTCTTATTTTTTAATAACTAAAATCAATATTAAATAAGTGAATTAAAAATGGTTGACAGGATAGTAAAACAATTGTGTTTCAAGGTTGAGATGACAAACTGCACAAGATTCACTCTCTCAGTTTATTAATGTCACCAAAACGCCTCAATAAAATCATTTTGATTGCCTGAATGCTGATACAACACGATTGTGTGAGGGAGGCCTGTGTAAAAGGTTGCTATTAGCATTTATGAATGTGCTGCACCTTGTGAAGTAATGTTAGGAATCAAAAGACAATGCAAATAATCTTTCAGTATTCCTGCAGAGGTGCGTTGTAAATACAACTACATCAGCAACAGGATAGGAGTAAAAGAAAGGGATGGTTATAGAGAAGGATTATGTTTTCTTAGCAGTAGTGCTGCCTCATTCACCCAATTCTACTCTAATATTACATTAAAGGAATGGTCCAGAGAAGAGAATCTTATTTGTGAGCTTTTTTCTAGAAGCTGGCATTTCTCAAGGCTAAATTTAAACATATAAGAAGATTTTCAGATTAAACTCTCTTGTCTTTCCCATAAATCACGATCAATGGAGCCAACAGGAGAATCGCACAATCAATTCCAGAACACATAACAGCGTGAAATGGGAATAATAGACTGAGCTGCATGCCAATGAAAGTATTATGATCGTGTACTGCCTCCCCCTCTCCTGAGCCATAATATATGGCAATTGTTGTCTTGTTAAAATTATATTTCTAATCAGCCTTCCCGTATTGTCAGATGTCATTTTCGGGCAGTGTAATTCATAAATTCATTCCTCTATATAGTACAGATAGGAGTTAAAACAACAACTTGACTTATATAGCACGCTCCACGCAGGGTAGAGTCTCAGAGCTTAACAGTGGTGAAGCCTGACTCCGAGCCGGGAGGAGGGGGGATGTGGCCATAAGCACAGTCGAAAAGTTTCAGGTGGGACTTGAAAGAAGGGAGGGGCAAGGCGGAGGGATTGAGGGAGAGTGTTCCAGAGTTTTGGGGCGTAGTGGCTGAAAGTGGGGGCGCGGAGGGTGCAAGGGACGAGCAGGAGGCCTGTGCCATTTGAGTGGAGGTGCCAGGTGGTGGATTGGGGAGTGAGGAGGTCGGAGAGATAGGAAGGTGCCTGGGAGTGAACGGATTTGAACATGAGTGGGAGGATCTTGATTAAAAACAGTTAACTTAGGGGTATTGCAGTGGTTGAGCGAAAATGGGTGCCAGTTCAAGTGCTCTTCTGCTCAGTTCCAAAACCTAAGCAACATCAAAATAGAATGCACTACCAGAGCCTGTCACAAATCATAGCAGAGGGCAGCACAACTTCTCACATGTATATACTTTCTTTCATATAGGATAGAGTCTCAAGTGTTTCACAGGATGGAGTGAAAGCTGAGCTGAGGGCGGGAAGGAAGAGAAGGTGCATGGGGTAAATGACGAAAGAGGGAGAGGCTCAAAGAGTCAGGTGCTCTAGAAATGGTTCTGAAGGCAGAAAGGAAGGTTGAGAGGCAGAAGGATTTTTGGATAAAATTCCAGAGGAGGGGGGAAAGTGTGGCTGAAAGTCCAGTGGTGGGCTAGTCAGGGGAGGGGTGCGCAGTAAAGCTGGAGGACATTTTGCAGTTATGCCCTTGTGATCTCTGGTATCTCATGCCACCTGGATGCAGAGGATATAAATAGAAATTGTTGTTGATAGCAGCAGCAGCCTAGGATCAGACAATATGCCTGTTCATCAGGACAGACAAAGGACGGACTGAAAATAGAAACAAAGTTTAAGAACATCTGGACCAAGTTGTTGGTTTCAAAGTAAAAAATATTTAAAATTATATTTTAAGTCAGTGCTATGGTATTCTGTATTTTACTTACTATAACTGCGAAGCTGCCTCTTAAATATGAAAGTGAAATTACTTACAGAGCTGCCAAGAGTTTGTGATATGTACCTGGATGGTATCAATCTTCCCAGTTGGTAATTGGAAGTTTATCTAATTTATAACTTGACTTTTCAACAGTAATCTTCTCTCTCTTTAGATTAAATTAACAAAAATAGTAATAGATTGATAGTTTTCTTAAACAAAAGCTGCACACAAAATGACACACTAACCATTTGTGTCTTCACTTTGGTGTTGCTTTGTGTGAAAACACGAGTAATAAAAACTGAAAATGAATCCCCACAGCCAGTGGTACAATTTTCTGTACTTATAGCCTACTCTAAATAGCAAAATAGCTCACTGCCCAACTGTATGACAGGAGTTACAGAAACATTTAAGGAACTGTATTTTAAACCAGCAAAACAGGAATGGCCAGAACAGAGAATGCACAATATGGTTAAAATATGAAAACAGATTTGTTTGTCATCAAATATTCAAAGTCTTTAACATTGCACTGAACTCTTTCACAAAATGAACATAATGAAAATATAAGAACATACCTTTCCTTGCAGAGACGAAAGTTGATTCAGCAGAAGCTTAGATTTCCCTTGGACATCGTTTCTTGATAAAGTGCTGTGGTACTTAATTAAGGTAATTAAAACATTAAATTATATTCAACCTCCTATCACTTTAATGCTACTAAATAAATGCACCGAAGATCATTTAATGTCTAAATAATAATAATAATAATAATAATCCTTGCATTTGATATAGCGCTTTTCACGTCGGGAGGACGTCCCAAAGCGCTTCACAGAACACACTGTAAAGTGAATTGACTGTATATTTGTGGGCGAACGCGGCAGCCAATTGCGCACAGCAATGTCCCACAAACAGTCGTAGATTGAAAATGACCAATTTATTATTGATTTTGGTTTTGGAGGGATTATTATTAGGCGTGTGGAGTAAGGAAACTTGCCCAAGGTTTCGCCCTGCCTGGAATTGAACTCAGTTCTCTCGCTTGCAAAGCGAGTGCTCTAACCACTGAGCTACAGGACTCCTGACGTCTTCACAAAGGAACAAATCACAAGGACAAACAATGCTCAGAACTCAGTCACTATATTGTGATAGGAAAACATTGATTAAAATCTAAGAGCAATTTTTGAATTAATTCTACAATGCTGTCATCAACATTAGTTATCCAGCAGTTCAGAACTGTATTTCTTACTCATGCAAATGTTTAGCACTATGGGCAGGGAGCAGACAGTCTTGTGTTAAAACAAATACCTGAATCCTTGACACTCTAAATTTATTTTGACTGTGCTTTTGATCTCCCCGCTCCTACCCCTGCCCCCCCCCAGCTCAGGTACGAAACTCTGCCTGTCCAGCACCTTGGGACATTCTCCCGACGTGAAAGGCGTTATACAAATGTAAGTTTGTTGTTGTTATGTACACTAGAAAAGTAATTTGTATACATCTAGTATTGTTGTTTGAAGTCAGAATTCATTTTACAATTATATTTATTTAAATGGAATTTATTAATAATTCTCCAAAATAGGTGTAAAATTCAGCCTCCATTTTTCATGAACTGACCACTCAATCATTACTAAATCTTGCAATTACATTAAGGAGTAAAAATGCTCCATGGTTTGAATTTAAAAACACACACAAATAACATGTTTCACTCAACCACAAAGCACAAAAATGCATTTAAAACAGGAAAAACTAAATGCAGACATGGAATGTGACCAGACACCTTGGCAGGTACAGACTGAATTTCACAAGTTTGAATCAGTGGTCTGTTCTATTTTAGCAGTTCAAAAGGTTATATTGAGTAATTGAGAGAATTTGCTTGGCGGTGTGAAGCAAAAGATTTAAACTGTCCGTTCACCAGCAACAAGAAAGCAATCGACAACAAACAACATTTGCATATCACTTGGTATCTACAAAGAAACAGATGGTGTATATTTTAAGTTATAATTATAGAACTGCCACCCTGACTCGATTAGTTAATACTTTGTAAAGTTGACTTTGTAGTGCACTTCTATAAAGGAAAAAAATTTTTTGTATCTGTAGTCTGAAGAACAAAGACATTTACTATTGATCTGCTTTAGTTTTTATCCAACAAACATAGTTTCAGTTTTTGAACCAGAATACAAGGAACAAATGCGAGATGCAAAATGCTCGGTACAAATTCTGTTAAAGGACGTAATTTGACTTGCTGATATTGAAAAGTAGATTAATGCCCTGTCTGTTAAAAAAAATTGCAACGGTTTAAAAATGCAAATTCAGTATCTACCTTTTGAAAACTTTAAAGAAGTTGGGCGGAAATTAGAAACGGGAATTTTTTGCAAACTTAGAAGGATCCAAATGAAGTGAGGAAAAAAACACAAACCATTAATCTTCAGAGATGTTAATATTTCATAATAAAGCTTAAGGATACAATTCAAACTCAGTTCCAGAAAAAAAGTAAGAAGGTAGATCTGACAGAACCAACAACTGCACAAAATTCATCTCTGGCTTGTAATAATAGAAAACCTAAAATAAAAAGAGATAAAGATAGTTAGAAACTTCTAGTCAGGCTCAACAAAAATATATTCTATCAATATTATCAAGTTAGAAGCAAATTTTTATATTTATTTCTTGCTGACACAATTACTTTGCTACCTTAAAGCCTATAATGCAGAACTTGCCAAAAAGTATAAACGTAGCTGGCTACATTGACCAGGGTTTGGACAAAACAAGCACCTTAAAATAGGTGTCAGTCAATTATTCTTGAAAAAAAATTAAATGATAGAACAAAGAACAAGTGTGAACTAATGTTATTCTAATATAATAATAAACCTTGCATTTGATATAGCGCTTTCCACGTCTTCTAGACGTCTCAAAGCGCTTCACAGAATAGACTGTAAAGTGAATTGACTGTACATGTGTGGGTGAAATGTGGCAGCCAATTGTGCACAGCAGCGTCCCACAAAAAGTTGTGGATTGAAGTGACCAATTATTATTGTCTTTTTTTCTTGAGGGATTATTATTAGGCGTGCGAAGTAAGGAAACTTGCCCAAGGTTTCGCCCTGCCAGGAATTGAACCCAGGTTTCTCGCTTGACAGCCGAGCGCTCTAACCACTGAGCCACAGGACTCCACAGTCCTAAATTCTAAGAAATTATAACTCACAAATAACTTAGTTATGATTGGAATGTAAAGTTCTTTCTTGCTCATTCAATAAATGACACAAATCCTTTAAAGTTTATACTAAGTAAATAAGCAAGCTTATTTTACTGAATTTTATTGCGTTATCATTTTGTGCGCAGGAAAATCTTGGTTAATCCTGATGAACCATAAATCCAGAAGACTGTTGGACAAGGAAATGGGATAACCTTGCTTATCTTTTAGAATAGTATAATGGGATCTTTAACATCCTCCCAAAGAACTGACAGAAGGAACCCATTTTAACATCTCATCCGAAGGATAGATTGAATAATTACTGTACTCATGACAAATCTGCAGTTACACAATAAGAAACAAATACACCTCTCTCATTGTATTAGATGTTCCAGAAGCTGTGGAATCTGTTTTAGGCACCAAGGTGTGAAAGTCTATTAAATGCCTCCAAGATTTCTGAACGTCAGCCTTCAAGCAGAATCCTGGAAACTTCACTTCAGAAGTAAACTGAGAAAAGAGAAGTATATATTTCTAGGTTACAAAACACAAGACTCTATTTGGAATTCAAATCCCCAAATTTGAATAAAATATGCAAAATATGCAAGCTACAAGGGTATTTTAGCTAAATCACAAAAGGCAATGTAGGAACAATCTGGAGACTTAAAGTTGAAGACACCTAAATTGAAAAGGTTATTTTTAGCATTCATTAACATACAAGGTTTAAAATCTTCAAAGTATAACTAAGTGGGAGTAGGAAGGTGGAGGTGAGGGAAAGGATTTTTAGATCACACAAATCTTCATTCTAATGCTTTCTTTATTTTCCCTTTTGAATTTCTAACCTCTTACCATTTCTTGCACTGCTTTGCGAACTTGATACATGTTCAAAACTTTCAAATAACATAATGGATTTAAGGGATGATGTTTGCAAGATTTGGTAACTATTGCTGGCATTAAATTATGCCAATGATAATTGACAAACTCTGCTCCCAGAAATATTTTTTAAAAACCAATATAGACCTAGAGCAAATCAATCAGTCAGTTAAAATTCAATCCCATGCTGTGTGAGAACACAACTTTTATCACAATGGTACAGAAGTCACTGCAGCTCCTATAATTTATTTGAGAAGCTCTCTTGATTTAAACCAAAGATGGCATCAAAATCTGTGGTGACATGAGGTAGATTGGATGCTGGGAGTGGGACGCTGCCACTCAAGAGTTTCATATTAAACATTCCAAATAGCACTTCACACTAAACATAATAATCTTTGCATATGATATGTGTCATATCACATCATCAAACATCTCAAAGCTCTTTACAGGGTTTATTGTAAAGTGTGTATTTGTAGGCAAACATGGCAGCGAATTTACACATATATAATAATAATAATAATAATCCTTGCATTTGATATAGCGCTTTTCACGTCGGGAGGACGTCCCAAAGCGCTTCACAGAACACACTGTAAAGTGAATTGACTGTATATTTGTGGGCAAACGCGGCAGCCAATTGCGCACAGCAATGTCCCACAAACAGTCGTAGATTGAAAATGACCAATTTATTATTGTTTTTTGTTTTGGAGGGATTATTATTAGGCTCTGTGTGGAGTAAGGAAACTTGCCCAAGGTTTCGCCCTCTGCCTGGGATTGAACTCAGGTCTCTCGCTTGCAAAGCGAGTGCTCTAACCACTGAGCTACAGGACTCCACATAGCAATGAAGTGAATGACCAATTTTACTTGGAGGATCATTAGCCAGAACACTGGGTGAAACTTCCTTTTCTTTTCCAATAGTGCCAGGGGATCTTTAATGTCCACACAAACAGCCAGACAAAGCTTGGTTTACTCTCTCATTCAATGACAACCGGTCTGACCATGCAAAGCTCCTCCAGCAAAGCACTGGAGTGTCAGCCTAGACTGTAAGTGTAGGTCCCAATGTGGGGTATGAACCAACAATCTTCTGTCTGAGAGCAGAGAGTGCGACCAACTGAACCAGGCAACATCCCATTGAGTAGGCATACATTTTGCTATTGTTAGTTATCAAACATCATAAATGTTACCCTTAATGTCTTAGGATTTGTGGAGTCCTTAAACTTTGTTATTCTAACTATTTGATTACCAATGCTTGGGTTGCAGTTCACACTTGCTTTGCCTGGAGCGCAGGCCGACAATCTTGGCCAAGTCATCCGTCACATGACCCTCCCCCCACCAAAATGATCCACTATTAATATCTGAAGACTGTGGGATGATATGAGAGAAAATTAGCTAAAATTACAAACACTTACATATAAATATCTCTTGCCTGTTTATCTTTACCAGTTCTGTAGTTCTAAAATAGTACATCTATATAAAAATATCCTTGTGTTTGATATAGCTCTTTATCACATGATTGAAACATCTCAAAACACTTCATCGGATCTTCCTTAATTTGCAGTGACTGTTTATTTGTAGGCAAACCTTTACTATCTCTCCAGTAACGTTTTAAAAAGGGAATAAAAAGCACAGTTTGAGAATGAACAATTTTCTTTACTTGTGCAGATTCCCACTGTTGTACAACAACAATATCTTGCATCTTTGTTGCCCTTCACGCGAGGTAGAATCTTGGGGGTCCTTAACAGTGACAGAGCTTGATACCGAGCCAGATAGAGGTGAATATAGGCACAGTCAAAGAGGAAGGTCTTTAAGATTGATTTGAAGGCGGGCAAGGACAGGGCAAAATGGAGGGATTGAGACAGAGTTCCATAGTTTTGGGGTGTAGTGGCTTGAAGGCGTGGCTACTGACCATGAAGTGGAAGGGATGAGGGATTTGCAGGAGGCCAGAGCCAGCTGAGCAAAGGGGACAGAAGGAAGGAAGATATAAGGAAGAGTAACTAACTAAATATAGTCTGCTTTATGAAATACATCTTGGGGAAAAAAGGTATATTTTTGAAAAGAGATAGAAAAAATGTCCTTTATCTTCAGATCATTATTTTTCAGCTATAAAGATTGCCAGTAGCTTTGTGTTTACATAATGAAGCACAAGCAGGCTAGGGGTTCATACTAGTGAAGACAAGTTAATGGTTTGGATTGAGTCAGCATATTTTTCAAAGGCATTTAACTGTCAGTAGGTTGATGAGTAAATTCTACTGATTTCTGCATACCTGGGAACATCATAACCATCAGAAATTTCTGAAAACATGTTATTCTACGAATATCCCACAAACAGCCATGAAATAAACAATCAATTTTATTGCAGATGAGATCTTAATAATAGAGTAATAATCTTTGCATTTGATATAGCGCTTTTCACATCTTCTAGACGTCTCATAACGTTTCACAGAATATACTGTATAGTGAATTGACTCTATATTTGTGAGCGAAGCACAGCAGCCAATCACGCACAGAAGTCCCACAAACAGTTGTGGATTGAGTGACCAAATTATTAATTTTTTTCTGCATTTTATTTTATTGAGGGATTATTATCAGGTGTGTGGAGTAAAGAAATTTGCCCAAGGTTTCGCCCCGCCAGGAATCAAACCCAGGTCTCTCCCTTGCAAGGTGAGTGCTCTAACCACTGAGCTACATATGAGACCTTGTTTTAACATCTCATCTGAAAGACAAAATTCAGCATACCCTCAGCTCTGCATTGCAGTGCCAGCAAAGACTATATGAGTTTCAAGTCCCGAAATGGGGTTTGATCACACAACCTTCTGACCCAAGAGAGTCCTATCAAATGAGCTAGGCTGAAATCCTTCTCAGAGACACTAAATAAATCCACAAAGGGGTTACTCTTTCTTAATTGATAGTCTCCTTCTCATAAAACTAATCATATCTGATTACAAGTCTGTATCAATATCTTAGTTGGTTACAGAAGATGAGGCAGAGATTAATGCTTCTGTGATTTTGATTGAATAGGAGATGCAGTTTAAATCAATTCAGTATGCTTGAGATATGCTTAAGATTTAATTATGTGCATCTTATTTCAGTCATTAAAAAGCAAAAAGCGTTTCATCAGTACCTACGTGTGGTAGTGAAAGTACATCAAGCAAAGAAAAAAATGACTGGAAACTTGATATGGAAATACCAAGTTTCTGATAAATAATGGAAATAACAACACCTTTCATTTCAGGAGGACATCCCAAAGCAACGGACAGTCAATGGTTTGCATTCAAGCTGCAGGCTGAAGTCAAGAGAGATAGATAGCAAGAGGGGATCATGGTGGAAAGATGACCAAAGAGTCAGAGAGGAAGGTCTTGAGATGGGCCTTGATGGAGGCAGGGGATGGGGTAAGGCTTAGGGACTTCAGGAAAGTTAAGAGTGTAATGAAGAAATACTTCAAAGTCAATACATGACTAAATGTATTAACTGTTGTAGAGGACAAGTACTATATCTAACAAGTCTAGTTCTCTTTATAGTACAACACAACACAGAAAAAACAAATGTTAAAGAATCCCCAAGAAGATCATTTCCTTTAGATTTATTTTTTCCACTAATTTTCACACATTAGGTTACGGTGCTACTTGATGCATTTGTCTGGGCTACACCTCCAAAGGTCTCAATCACTCTGCAGGTCTTCCAAACGCCCATTTTCCATGCATGATTCAAGACAGTGAGTATCTGCAGTCTGTCTGATCCCATCCTCACATAGTGTTAACACAAATATTCTTCCAACATGGATCACTACGAATGAACTTGCTCTTTTTGAGCACCTATAATGTCAAGATGTTTCAAAGTGCTTCACAAAATGCTTCTCAAATTACCGTTGCCATGTAGTGATTTTTTTGGTAGGTAAACATGACAGCCATTCAGCACATAAGAAAGCGATGGGTACGTAGGACTGAAATGATTGCGCTTTAAAAGAGCCAGCAGACCCAATGAGCTAAATGCCTTCTTCTGTGATGTAAATTTCTATGGTACTAAGCAATTAGTCTGGAGGATTGTTGTGTAGAACATTGGGAGAGACCCTTCTCTTCAAATAGGTCATGGGATATTTAACACCATCCGCCCAAGAACTGAGATGAATCACATTTAATGTCTTATTGTCCAGGGGTAACAATTCCTTCAACACAATAATAATAAATTGGTCACTCAATCCACGACTGTTTGTGGGACACTGCTGCGCACAATTGGCTGCTGCGTTTCGCCCACACAATACAGTCAATTCACTTTACAGTATTTTCTGTGAAGTGTTTTGAGATGTCTCGAAGACGTGATAAAGCGCTATATCAAATGCAACGATTATTATTATAGGTCTTGTTGGACCTTACGCAATCTGCTTGAGCCAGTTAGCTACTAGGAGGTATATGAAAACACCCCTACCAATTTTCTATAATAAAATCAGAAAATTCTGAAATCCATAGGAAATCAATCATGACCTGAAGGAGAAAGATGCACTTTGTTTTAATCAAAACCAGTTTCCAGCATTTACCAAAAAAAAACTTTTCTTGGGTTGCCTCATCACCCCAAAGCAGCTCAGCTGAAATAAGGAATTATTTAAAATAATTAAAAATAACAATGTGAATGTTAAACTATGTCTCACTGTTCTAGTACATTGTATTTGAAAAGATTAATTCAGTGAGAGATAATTCCTATCATGAGGTGGTCTCCAAATTATGTTGGACACACTCGTTTTAATATCCCAAAGAGAAAGTTGAAAGATAAATTGCCAGGAAGATCTCAGTAATGGTTGATTAATGCACCATGCTTCATAGCAAGCAGCGGGGCAGGAATGTTGATGTGGGAATGACACAGAAAAGCAATGAGCTTCACTTTTATATCTAAATGTATCACTGCATGGTTAATGCTATTTGTTACCTAGATAGAAATCAAATATGAGCAGTTACAACCCAAAAAAAAGCTGCAGGTTATCATCTATCACTTTATTCAAAAAAATGAACACCAGGTTAACACGTATCATTTATTTCCATCAAGATTAAATCAGTTTGCATTAGTTTCAACTCTACCTTTTTTAACACAGCAATAAAATATTTGCCTTACAAATTTCTGTAGTCTGTTTCGATTAGTGATTGTATGCAGCACTATTGATTGCAAATTTTCATCTTAGTAGATTCAAATATAATTTACATTTATATAGAGGCTTTCACAGTGGGAAGTGTCCCAAATGGCTTATTTCCACAGCTTGATGTGCACACAAGGCTGGGGTTGGAAGCTGAAGAGGGTGTGCCGGGGTGGAGAGCGTAATGATGGCCAAAAGCCTGGTTGAAGAGGTATGTCTTGAGGTGGGAGTTTTAAAGTAGGATAGTCTCTGGGATGGAGTTCCAGAAACCAGGAATAACCATAAAATCTAATCAGCTGCATTAATCTCCGATGTCAAAATAATAATAATCCTTGCATTTGATATAGCGCTGTTCACGTCTTCTGGACGTCTCAAAGTGCTTCATAGAAAAGACTGTAAAGTGAATTTACTGTACATTTGTGGGCGAAATGCGGCAGCCAATTGCGCACAGCAGCGTCCCACAAAAAGTCGTGGATTGAAGTGACCAATTTATTATTGTTTTGTTTCTTGAGGGATTATTTTTAGGCGTGTGAAGTAAGGAAGCTTGCCCAAGGTTTCACCCTGCTGGGAACTGAACCCAGGTTTCTCGCTTGACAGCCGAATTTATAACTCACAAATAACTTAGTTATGATTGGAATATAAAGTTCTTTCTTGCTCATTCAATAAATGACACAAATCCTTTATTTACTTATACTAAGTAAATAAGCAAGCTTATTTTACTGAATTTTATTGCGTTATTTTCTGCGCAGGAAAATCTTGATTAATCCTGATGAACCATAAATCCAGAAGACTGTTGGACAAGGAAATGGGATAACCTTGCTTATCTTTTAGAATAGTATAATGGGATCTTTAACATCCTCCCAAAGAACTGACAGAAGCAACCCATTTTAACATCTCATCCGAAGGATAGATTGGATAATTATTGTACTCATGACAAATCTGCAATTAATGAAATGCGAAGACTGTACCTTTCTCTCTCGGATCTGTACCGTCCCTCTCCATATCACCATTGGGTCGATCACCTTCTCAAGTTTTTCTGGGTCAACAACAGTTGCACCCAGGTATTCTGCAATTTTCTGCCAACTACAATTAGAGAAAGTTTGTCAGATGCCAGGACATGGAAATAATAAACTACTTAAAAACTATTTTTGGAAGTTATAAATTTAGGATGGATTGTTGGATCTGAAAACATTCTTGTAGACACCATTTGTCAGACACAGTATGGTTTAAATTTGTAGGAAATGAGAATATGACTACACTGCAGTCAACAATCCCAGTTTATGGCACGTTCAGTTTTATTAGTGTAAATACATTCAGAATGGTTCCTAAAATAACTCATCTCCTTCTCCGTTTGATCAACAATACCAATAATTCATTCACATAATTATAAAGAAAGAGCTCAAATATATAGCGTCTAATCAAAATGTCTCAAAGCATTTTACAGTAATTGACAAGTGTAGTGACTTTTGTAGGCAAATGTGTATAGCATTTTGCACAGCAAGGCCCCACAAACAGTCATGAGGTTAATCGCCTATTTGTCTGGAAGATTGTTGGTCAGAATACCAGATATCAAACCCTGAATATATGAGCACGTATTCATGAATCCAGACTCAGCCAATTCCACCTCCAAGATGCTGAGCGATAAGTCAGGATACTAGGGAACATTAGTGAATTTGGTTAAATGTTTAAACACTTACCATTTGCCATCTTTTGTTGCTATAGCAATTTCTGCTGAATGCCATTCCCTCAGATGTTTAAAAGCTCCAACAACAGGGAGCCAGTCTTTCAAGCGGGGAACACCCCCACCAGAGACTAGCAAGATTAGATCTAACAATCCCCTGCCTGTCAGAAGAAAGGGAGAACACGTCAGAATGACAGCTCAGACTAGCCTGAAAACAGTTGTCTGCAAATCAGTCACTACACTTTACAGTAAATCCTGTAAAGCTCTTTGAGATGTGCTCCTGACATGAAAGGCACTGCAGAATATTATATTCAAAGATTATTAATATAAAACAGAAGTCCAACACTCAAGAGTGACAGCATTTTCTAATTAATCTATATACTTGTAACTGAAAATTAAGAAAAATAAATGGAATTTAGAAAAAATATCATGACAATAACTGACTTAACAGGTTGGTAGGTTGTATGTCTCATAACTAAATTGCCTCATTGTTCCTAACAATGTATTTGGGTTTTGTAATATGCATATTTTCATTAATCTGTGGGTTCAGAGGATGGGTGTCATGGAGTTTAGTGTGGGAGAGAATGCTAAGAGTTCTAGATGAGGAGACTATTATAGTAGATGCCTGAGTTGATTTCATGCAAGCATAAGCCAAGCAGTATAGCCTCAGGTTTTTCAACGTTTAGTTGGACAAAGACTCACCCAGAACTAGACTACACTTGGCTACAATTACCTGTAAAAATGCTTTGAAATGTTACTGATGTTATAAATCATATCAACTGCAAAGATTATGCTACATTTGTTAGAACCCAACCCTCTGATTTAATGTCCTAAAATGTTTGGCAATTTTCTGTGACTGTGTGTGTGGTTGTGTTATTATGTGTGATTATGTGTGTCTTCCTCTATCTCTCTGTGATGTATTTGTGAGGGGAGAAAGGGTGGGAGGAGATAGAGAAAAAGATGAGCTAGAATAGCTTTATGCCATTCTTTATCATTGAGTAAGTAAGGTCTCCTGCAAAGAAAGAAATGTAGTGGGAAAAATATGAACAAAAATATATATATTGTTTTAAATCGAAACAATTATTTTCAAAAGCCCCTTTCAAGCATTTTTACACAGCGGAACATAAATTTAAATGTACAATTCTTGTGCAAATACAAAGCACCCTAGCCACTTTCTGTGCCGTTATAATTTTATGTACGTTCACATGTATTCAGCAATTATTGGTAGAACTGTATTCAAAAGTGCTTAAGAAAGCACCAGGCCCGTGAAATACAATATCTGTGAAGTGAGTCTAATTAAACAAGATGGTGATGCACATTTGTCAATTCCTTTAAGTTTCAGTTTTGCAAACATACTCCCCCAGAACTTGGTCCAGATACTGAAGGGCAACTAATGCGCCTGGAACCAAATGCCCAAATTAATTGGTATCTTCAGAGGAGGAGGAGATTGAGAAAAAGAGTCAGAATAAAGAGTCCATAAGTTCAGGAAAAATCAAATTTTTTTTCTAAGATATTTTGAAAAACTTCAGAAATCTCAGTGCCTTAAGCTAAAACTTGGGTTTCCTAGAAGCTGCTCAGCATGTCATGTGAATAATGTTGACATTGTTTATGTTAAGAACTACAATAGTATCCGATTGACTTTGAACCTCCAATTATCGTTGTTGATAAATGAAAACATTCTTTGAAAATGTTTTTCACTTTTGTTTGTGCCCTTCATTCTGAGTGGAATTAGCTATCTAAATGCATTTAATTTTCTATTTAGACATGCAAAACTTACTTTAATGTATTCTTTGGGTTTATTATATTATTCAGTCCCATTCTGCCCATTAAAAAAAATAAGCCGGGCAATATTATCCTGGTTCTCATTAGATTGCTTTTAGAGGATGCGCATGAATATTAAAATCTGATATCTAGCCTTCTGTTCAAGGTAAAGTTCAAAGGGACAGTTGCCCAGCATCTTTCATTAGAAGCAGAATCAATATTAAGTTTTTACCTGGAAGTCACAATGCATTTGCATGAAAAGCTTTAAGACGCACTGTGGTAACAGAGCATCATTTTGAAATACACAGTCAACAGTATAAAAGATTAGCAGAAAAAAGACAAAAATAGGAAAACCCAACAGCAGGTCAATCTAATTGTGTTCACTGCACATGAAAAAAGAAATATCAGCATTGCAGTATTAGAGATATCTTTTTTGCTTTAATGCTACTTTTATGTGCTATAAATCAGATTTTATTTTGCCCATGGGGAAGGGTTGGAAAAAGAACGATACATTACTTTAATTTCTGCGCAAAGATCGGTTAAAGAAAAAAATCAGGATTATAATATTCAGTTATCTATTCTGTGCCAACACTGGTTGCAATTTAAATTACATTTCTGTTTGCTGGCATAGCACTGCTAATAATTCATTAGCTTAACTGAACCTGACATACAGTCAAGAATCATTATTTCTAACATAACTACACCATGGTACTTTTACAACAGGATCAATTTGCAGTTTCATTGGTAGCCTTATTCAAAACATTAATAAATTGGGTTGGCCATAATGCAGTTTTTAAATCACTTGTGCATTCTATAAATTTGCAGGATAGCGTCTCAAATGTAGTAGATGATGTATTTTAGACAATTATTGAAGCAAAACATAATGCTAATCCTGTTACATTATCAAATACAATTCCACAATCAATTTCATTACAGTGAAATTGTCTTACGTGACAAATTTTGTATAATAGGTAGAAGACAGCTTGTAAGCCACTTGCAAGTGTATAAGATGAGTTGTATTGACCAAATCTGATCTCTGACCTTAGCTGAGTTTGCAGGTCTCAGCTTAGACCGATATTGCCCTCCCTTTCCCTGGGCAAGAGAACGGAAAATTAACCAGATTTCTCACTCCTGTCACTTTACTGTGACTCTGCTGGAAAGTGCATTTGTGAACAACAAGAACAACAAAATTACATTTGTATAGCGCCTTTCACGTTGGGAGGACATCCCAGGACCCTGGACAGACAAAGTTTCAGATCCAAGCTGGGGGTCGGGGAGGGTGGAGGGGGGGGAAAAGGAGAGTGATCGATTGCACAGTTGAAGAAGAGCGTTTTGAGATGGGTTTTGAAGGAGGTAAGGGAGGGGGCGAGGGGGAGGGACTGCAGGATGGAGTTCCAGAGGGTGGGGGCAGAGTGGCAGAAGACCCGCCCGCCAATAGTGGGGCAAGCGAGGCAGGGGACGTGAAGTAGGTTGAAGCTGAGGGAACGAGCAGGATGGTAGGGGGTTAGGAGGTTGCAGAGATAGGGGAGAGCAAGACCATGGAGGGCTATGAAGGTGAGGACCAGGATCTTGAACTATATCCTCTGTGTGTGATGGGAAGCCAGTGGAGTCAGGCAAGGATGGGGGTGATTGGGTCATGGAGCCTGGTATGGGAGAGGATGTGGTCTGCAGAGTTCTGGATGATCTGCAGCCTATGGAGGGAGGAGTTGGGGAAGCCGACCAGCAATGAGTTTGCATAGTCAAGCCTCGATGTAATGAAAGCGTGTATGAGGGTTTCGGCGCCTGCGGTGTGAGATAGTGAACAATGGATGAGAACAAAGTCAGGCTCAGATGTGACACACACACAGTCACAAACCTTCAATTATCTCGTCTCACACGTGATCAAGATAATGAAGGACAAATGATGCCATTGGAACTGTACGCTAGAATGAATTGATATCTTCAAGGGAGGGGAGAAAAAAAGAGTGGAACACGTTGGGATAGAGAATACATAGTTCGGGAAAAACCTTGAGCAAATTAACCTGGTAATCAGAACTTGCCACAAGATACTTGCTCATCTAGAACTAATTTACCTATTAGGACTTTGACTTGGGGGGTCAATGGTGGCTACATATTGTTGAGCCAGGCAGTCTGCTCAACCATAAATAGTACATTAAATTACTGCAGACGATCTGCTTGACTTCACCTCCTCAGATCCGTTTCAGCCCCAGTAAATCAATTTTCCAAGTCAACTATGTTGAGAAAGTGAACAATATTGCAAATTCTAGTGAGAGCTCTTAACATGCGAGAGCAAGCCAGATGGTAGAATGATGCCACATTCCCAATGCTGCTAAAATTCATTGCCAAAAGTTGTTTTTGGATGGGGTTTGATATGAAAAACAGTAGCTTTTACAATTGAGAAATTATTTGGAGCGCAGAGGACTAACTAGTCAAGAGGATAAGATAGCATTATGATAGTATAGCTGAGGAAAGGGATTACAGTATTACAAAACTAGGGGAGAAAGGGATTATTATCTTGAGTTAACAAAGTTCAACAGATTGAGCCTTAAAAACTTACAGAGGTGCATATTATTTCATTTTATGCATTCACAATTTAGAACAGGTTTTGGGTAAAAAAAAGTTTTAAATGTATACACTGGAAAGGTTGAGCCAGGCAGTCTGCTCAACCATAAATAGTACATTAAATTACTGTAGACGACCTGCCTGGCTTCACCTCCTCAGAGACATTTCAGCCCCAGCACATCATAAGATGCTCTCTTGTGTCTCTGATAAAAAAAAGCAAATTTAACTGAATAACAATCTTAGAACACATCTGAAATCATTTTCTCAAATGTATCAATTTACATATTCCGTTATTCGTAATAAAACATCATTTATGGCTATATCGGTCTCACTTATATACACACATAGAGAAGCAAGTCAATAGGTGTGAGCTTTACTAAAGCTAAATGTTCAACAAAAAGCAATGTCACTATTACTAAGCAGCTTCCAGGCCTTTGCCACTGTTCCTGAGCCAGTCACAAGGTACAGTCTGAACTTTTGACCTAAATTACTTTATTTTCTCTCCTTTCTGTGGCACTTCCCTGGTGAGGTTGAAATCAAAAACAAAGCAGAATAGGAGATGTGGCTGCATCAAATTCCTAGGATTCAGCACATCACTCATTCTTAGTGTTCTTCAAATCCCACTGTATCTTCTCGTTCTTCCACAGATACACCACAGAATTCATTAAACGTACTCATTGGCTGACCTGCCAGCGTTCAATTTATGTGTTTATTTAGGTATTCAAGTATCACAAGAAAAAAAGTTTCAGCTGAACAGCCCCCAATCCCAGCATTCTGGTTCAACCGTGAACATATAAAATAAATCTAAATTACAAAATGAAGTAATACAATACAATATTCATTTATGTCAGGAGGATTCTCCCAATGTCTTATTAGTACTGGCTTTGTCCCTGAGTTGGGTGTGGGAGCCAAGGGGGATGGAGAGTAGAAACATGACTGAAAGTTTGGTCAAAGAGGTAGTTCTTGTGACAACCTCAAATGAGGTGAGTGAGGGAGCAAGTTGGAGGGACTCCGGGATGGAGTTCAAGAGAGTGGCGGCAGATAGGTTGAAAGACCGACTGCCAATAGTGGGTTGGGCAGGGGACTTGAAGGGAGTGGCGGGGCCAGTTGTGTTTAAGGAGATTACAGAGGTAGGGTGGGATGAGATCTTGGAAGGATTCGATGCACTGGGGAGCCAATGGATCCTAGTGAGGATGGGGGCTTACGGAGCTTGGTGGAGGAAAGGTCGTGGGCTGGAGTTCTGGATTGTCTGCAGCAAGCAGAATCTTAACTTCTTTTTTAAAAAAAACTTTTGTTAGGTATGTGTTTCACCTGTACCTTACCCAATTCAACTTCAAATATCTTCACCTGGTATTTTTCTACCAACTTATCTGTGCCAAGTCTTTTTACAATCCAATAAAATTTGTTATTTTCCAATTTAGTACCTGAATGATGGACTCCTCCTTTATTCTGCCCTTTTTTTAACAATAAACCTGATCATCTGGTCACAGTTTCCCAAGTGTTCTACCTTCCAGTTGCACATTTGCACCGGCTCATTGCCCTGGCCAAATCAGAAACTGCATCTTAACATATTGTTCCAAGAAACATTTTTCAATGCACTGTAAAAGAGCCTCCTCTCTACAACCATACAGATTGTCTTTTGCCATGCTCTACTCCACGAAAGTCACGCATGTGATATTACAAAAAATAACAAGATGCTGATAGATTGATAGCAATGCTGCTTTTGTCAAACAAGACACTTCGACAACAATATAAGGAAACGTATTCTGGGTATTACCGGGAGGAGGTAGTTTGTCTGCAAGTTGATGTAAACCCTCTGCAGCCTCTTCAAATAATCTGTAAAGCAAGAGATTGCTGTAAATAAAATCTTCAGTTTCTATACTTCCAAATCTCAAAATTCTTGCACTACCCTCAATGCACACAAGCCTTTTCCCATTTCACATAACGCTTCAACGTAATACATAAATCAAACTTAGTAAAAACAAGCAAATATACATGGATTGATAGAGTCGACTTTTAAAGCACAATACAGTAGGGTTTGAGTCATTCCACGTTCCTGTAATATCTACTCGAAACCACCGGACGGTGGTGTGTGGAATCTACAAACCAGAGTTTGCTGATCTTCCACATGATGCCACCCAGTGGCAAAGAAAAATCAAGCACAGTTTTAAAAGAATGAAATGAAATGGATCATTTCAGGCTTCAAAAATAATAATTCTTCCATATGTTATAGCACCTTTCACAGCATTCACTACACAGCCCAATCACACACAACACTAAACTCTAAGTTATTAAATTATCTGAACATATTTACAACAATCAGAATATTGTAAAAGGAGTACTCATCTTATTTAATGTTAAAAGTTTAAGTCGTACATACTCAGATTGAGGTGTAGATTCTTTCATATCACCATCTTCTTCCTCATAATTGTTGAGGCCATTCAGACAATCTTGTATAGAATTTGGTAATAGTTCTTCACTATCATTTCCTTGTGCTGTTGAACCTATATCCTCCCACTCTGAACTACAGAACTGTAAAAATAATAAGGTACAGCAGCAGAATTCAAATATAGTATCAACTACAGTGTCCCCCACCCAATTCCCTCCACTATCCGTGGGTGAGCTTTCAGCCATTCTAACCCCACATCCCAGAGCCTTGCCACTCCCCGGCTGAATCAAAACCCGCTTTAAAAATCTATCTTTTCAACCATGCGTTTTGTCACCTTCCCACCCCCCAGCTCAGATTCCCAGTTAGCTGTATGAAGCACTTTGAGACACCCTCCTGATGTAAAAGGTGATTTATATAGATTGTTGTTATTTGGTATTTGTGTCCTTTTTTAAAAAAATCAATCCAACAGAAATTCAGAATTGGCAAAAATAGAAAAGATCACTCAGCCAATAATCTAATCTCACCCAACAATGAGTGCTGCAGGCACTTATTTATTCAGACCAGATTTCCTCGTTCTCAAGATCACACTCCATCTTTCATCATCTCAACTCAGATTTTAATTTAGATTCATCATCAGTAATTGGCTCGGTGTCTATTGTCAACTTGGTTGGTTTGTGTTATCTTCGATTCGCCACATAAAACCAAATTTTTTATTACTAATCTCATACACTTAATTCATATAGAAATACTCAGGTTCAAGACAAACATTTGAGGTTTAGACCAGCACATTTACTGTGGATCAAGAAGAAACTAGCGGGGCTGGTCCAATGGATTAGTGAATTCAATCCAATGTTAAACATGCACTTTGTTATTATGTGCAGAAAACAAATTTTAGAAGACAAAGCAAAAAAAGTTTGTATAATTTTGGTGGGCCGAAGACTATGGAGCAGTTATTTATGTCCAGCTATCTAGTAATTTTGTGGCCTTAAAATTTGAGCATTAATACACATAGATTTAGTTTACTTTTGCATTGTTTACCTGTGAAAAGCCATAGATTGTTTGAATTGCAAAGAACCATTTCTGCTGTACTGGAACACCAGTTACTGAACAAGCTGCAAAGATAAAATGACACAATATCAAGCAACAAGTTTTAATAGAGGCTTTGAAAAGTAATCTAAGTAATCTAAGAGCCGATTATGATTTCACTTTTATCAAGTTACCACAATTATTAAGTTACCACTTCACATTAATATTCTATTATTTTCAGGCAAGACTGCAAAAGGAAGCTGTTGTAGCAAAAGTAATGAGAGAGAAATAAACATAAAAGCAAAGAAGAAAATACAATGAAAGAAAATTCAGTAGAAACAAATGTTTTAAGAAAGAACCCCCTAAAGCCTCCTGCTCGACATCTACACTTATTAAGTGTGAAGTAATATCATTAGGTAGTCAGATTTTAAACTATCCAAGGATTCAACTACAACAAAATTGCACTTATATAAGCTCCTTTCCTGTCAGGATGACACCCAAGGCGCTGGATGCTTAGTAAACAGTTAGCTGCCAAATTGGAGCATTGGGTATGATTTAGTAACTTTGCAGAATAGGAAGAAGCAGAAAAATAAAGTTCAATATCAGGAAATGAAAAGAAAAGCGAATAATTAGCTTACTTGAATCAAAATTACCTGGAAGCGAGATCCCATTGGAATTTATAGAGGTGTTGCTGATTTTTCTCAGGAAATCATAAATGCCAGTAGCTGCTGTCCGTTCTGTTAAACAAGAGTGTGACGTACATTTAAATTTATTTATATGTGTAGCATACGTTTTTGACAAGGCAATTCTCTTGTTATTGCAATATGCAATTTGTGCAATTGAAAAAGCAATGTTAAAACAGCAATGCTGTACGTTGTATGTCAATGAATATTCATAGTTTGAGATCAACAATATCCAGATTGATTCTATCTAATACCAACCTCTAATAATCCCTAATACATTTTACAAGTCATTAGAATTTTTTTAAAAAAGTCAAGCTCTCACTATATCTTTAAAACATCCAATTTGATAAAAAACTAACTTATACCAGTACTTACCAGTGAACTCTTCATTCTTATGTGGGTCAGCACTTCGATCCCATGCCACGAGAAGCACATACCTATCCATTATAGGACTGACCCAAATGCACAAACTGTTTAAATTCAAAGAGACAGTATCACAGTGTTTGAATAATAATCCCTCCAAAAAACAAAACAATAATAAATTGTTCATTTTCAATCCATGACTGTTTGTGGGACGCTGCTGTCCGCAATTGGCTGCCGCGTTTCGCCTACAAATATACAGTCAATTCACTTTACAGCATATTTTGTGAAGCAATTTGAGACGTCCAGAAGACGTGAAAAGCGCTATATCAAATGCAAGGATTATTATTATTATATTAATGTATCATTTGGGTTTCATGAATACAGGCTATCTCACACTCTGATTGCTTTGATCTCAGTCTGTATGTTTTATGAGAATCAAGATTGTTCTATCGATGTATATGTTTTCTGCTCCTTCTCCTACTGGTAGATTTTCTCTATCACTTTATTTGAATGTCTCTCTTTGCCTATCACAATACTAATAATTATGAGTGTGTCTCTAATCTCTCCATCAGACAGGAAAGCTATAGACGTAGAGATAGATATCAAAAGATGTAAATGGTGTGTGTCGGTCACTAACAAAGACAGAGTGAGGAAAAAGTCAGGAGGCAGAACTGAGAGCGAAAATCAGAATCTGTTTCTAACAGAAGGCCTGATAGAATATTATCTCAGTTCATCAATTTATGTATGTTTCTGTCTCCCTGTTCCTATAAATTATAACAGCTTTGCAACCTCTAGCTGAAAACATATTATTAAAAAACTAACCATATGTCAGTGTTTCAGTCTGTATTACTTGTTATGTGCACACTTATCTTGTTTCTCTGGCCTCTATTTATTTATAATAATAACAATAATAAGCCTTGCATTTGATATAGTGCCTTATCAAATGCAATATTATCGGGGCAAAATCTTAGGCAAGTTTCCTTACTCCAACACACACGCCTCTGTTTACCTAGCAGTAAGTAGCAACCTGGTTGTTAGTCAATTGGCGGATCGCTTTCCAGGCGGTAATAATCCCTCCAAAAAATGATTTGGTCACTCAATCCACGTCTGTTTGTGAGACACTGATGTGCACAATTGGCTGCCATGTTTTGCCCACAAAATACCGTCACTATACTTTACAGTATATTGTGGAGCATAATAAGACATCTCACCGACATGATAAGATGCTATATGAAATGCAAGGATTAATATCATCATCATTAATTATTATCATTATTATTATTCTGCACAGCATTTATGTCTATTTCTCTCTCTCGCTGCGCAGTGCTGTCATGTCTTTATCTCAGTCTGTGTGTGGGCAATATTGTGTGTATTTGTCTGTAAGTTTGTGGACAATGGGGTAAGTATGTAGGCGGGCGGGGCAGTGGGGCAGTATGGGAGGTTGGGGTCAGTGTGGGAGGGGGGGGGTCAGTGTGGATGGGGGTGGTCAGTGTGGGGGGTGGCGGTCAGCGTGGGGGGGGGCGGTCAGTGTGGGAAGGGGGGGCAGTGTGTGTGTGTGGGGTGGTCAGTGTGTGTGGGGGGTGTCAGTGTGTGTGGGGGGTCAGTGTTGGGGGGGGTCAGTGTGGGGGGGATGGGGGTCAGTGGGGGTGGGGGTCAGTGTGGGGGGGGGTCAGTGTTTTGGGGGGGGTCAGTGTGGGGGGATCAGTGTGTGTGGGGTCAGCGTGTGGGGGGGTCAGTGTGTGGGGGGTCAGTGTGTGGGGGGGTCAGTGTGTGGGGGGTCAGTGTGTGGGGGGGTCAGTGTGTGGGGGGGTCAGTGTGGGGGGGTCAGTGTGTGGGGGGGTCAGTGTGTGGGGGGGTCAGTGTGTGGGGGAGTCAGTGTTTGGGGGGGTCAATGTGGGGGGATCAGTGTGTGGGGGGTCAGTGTGTGGGGGGTCAGTGTGTGTGGGGGGGTTCAGTGTGTGTGGGGGGAGGGTCAGTGTATGGGGGTCAGTGTGTGTGTGGGGGGGATGGGGGTCAGTGTGGGGGGGTGGGGGTCACTGTGTGTGTGTGGGGGGGTGGGGGGTCAGTGTGGGGGGGTCAGTGTGTGGGGGTCAGTGTGTGAGGGGTGGGGGTCAGTGTGTGGGGGGTGGGGGTCAGTGTGTGTGTGGGGGGGTGGGGTGTGTGTGGGGGGGGGTCAGTGTGTGGGGGGGGGTCAGTGTGTGTGTGGGGGTCAGTGTGGGGTGGGGGTCAGTGTGTGTGTGGGGGGGTGAGGGTCAGTGTGTGTGTGGGGGGGTGAGGGTCAGTGTGTGTGTGGGGGGGTGAGGGTCAGTGTGTGTGTGGGGGGGTGAGGGTCAGTGTGTGTGTGGGGGGGTCAGTGTGTGTGGGGGGGGGTGGGGGTCAGTGTGTGTGTGGGGGGGTGGGGGTCAGTGTGTGTGTGGGGGGGTCAGTGTGTGTGTGGGGGGTCACTGTGAGGGGGGGTCAGTGTGGGGGGGGTGAGGGTCAGTGTGTGTGGGTGAGGGTCAGTGTGTGTGGGTGAGGGTCAGTGTGGGGGGGTCAGTGTGTGGGGGGGTGAGGGTCAGTGTGTGTGGGTGAGGGTCAGTGTGTGTGGGGGGGGGTGAGGGTCAGTGTGTGTGGGTGAGGGTCAGTGTGGGGGGTCAGTGTGTGGGGGTGGGGGTGAGGGTCAGTGTGGGGGGGTGAGGGTCAGTGTGTGTGTGGGTGAGGGTCAGTGTGTGTGGGTGAGGGTCAGTGTGGGGGGTCAGTGTGGGGGGTCAGTGTGGGGGGGGGGTGAGGGTCAGTGTGGGGGGGTGAGGGTCAGTGTGGGGGGGTGAGGGTCAGTGTGTGTGGGGGTGAGGGTCAGTGTGTGTGGGTGAGGGTCAGTGTGGGGGGGAGGGTCAGTGTGGGGGGTCAGTGTGGGGGGTCAGTGTGGGGGGTCAGTGTGTGGGGGGGTGAGGGTCAGTGTGGGGGGTGAGGGTCAGTGTGGGGGGGTGAGGGTCAGTGTGTGTGTGGGTGAGGGTCAGTGTGTGTGGGTGAGGGTCAGTGTGTGGGGTCAGTGTGTGGGGTCAGTGTGTGGGGTCAGTGTGTGGGGTCAGTGTGTGGGGGGGTGAGGGTCAGTGTGGGGGGGTGAGGGTCAGTGTGGGGGGTCAGTGTGGGGGGTCAGTGTGGGGGGGGGGGGTGAGGGTCAGTGTGGGGGGTGAGGGTCAGTGTGGGGGTCAGTGTGGGGGGTCAGTGTGGGGGGTCAGTGTGGGGGGGTGAGGGTCAGTGTGTGGTGAGGGTCAGTGTGTGGTGAGGGTCAGTGTGTGTGGGTGAGGGTCAGTGTGGGGGTCAGTGTGTGTGAGGGGGGGTCAGTGTGTGTGGGGTGAGGGTCAGTGTGGGGGGTCAGTGTGTGGGGGGTCAGTGTGTGTGTGGGGGGTCAGTGTGTGTGGGGTGAGGGTCAGTGTGTGGAGGGGTCAGTGTGGGGGGGTGAGGGTCAGTGTGGGGGGTCAGTGTGTGTGGGGTCAGTGTGGTGAGGGTCAGTGTGTGTGAGGGGGGGTCAGTGTGGGGGGGGGGGGTGAGGGTTGGGGGGTATTTACCTCTGTGTCTCTCTGTGCCTCTGTTCTCAAACGGTCGCGGGTTCTCTCGGCTTCCGGTTCCAGGCTGTGCGGGTGTCGGGTGTCACAGTCTCGGGTCCGGAGGGAAACGCTTCTCTGCTCTCCCCCCCCCGGCGCGGCCCTCCAGGCTCTGTCCGTGTGTCTGCGCTCCGCTCCGCTCCGCTCGGTCGTGTCGGGAATACACCGCTCATCGGAGTGGTGACAGTCACATTGAGCGGCCCCGGGTCTCCCCCCCCGGGCTCTCCCCCCGCTCTCCCCGGGGCTCTCCCCCCCCGCTCCCCCCGGGCTCTCCCCCCCGCTCTCCCCCCCTGGTCTCTCCCCCCCCCGCTCTCTCCCCGCTCTCCCCCGGACGTCTTCAGAGGGTACACCACCTCAATATGTCCAACTGGAGTAAAGCTGCTCAGGTGAGAAGCACTGCCAACAAACTCACTCACTCACTGATCCACTCACTCACTCACTCACTGATCCACTCACTCACTCACTCACTCACTCACTCACTCACTCACTCACTCACTCACTCACTCACTCACTCACTGATCCACTCACTCACTCACTCACTGACCCACTCACTCACTCACTGACCCACTCACTCACTGATCCACTCACTCACTCACTCACTCACTGACCCACTCACTCACTCACTCACTCACTGATCCACTCACTCACTCACTGATCCACTCACTCACTCACTCACTGATCCACTCACTCACTCACTCACTGACCCACTCACTCACTCACTCACTCACTCACTGACCCACTCACTCACTCACTGATCCACTCACTCACTCACTGATCCACTCACTCACTCACTGACCCACTCACTCACTGATCCACTCACTCACTCACTCACTCACTGACCCACTCACTCACTCACTGATCCACTCACTCACTCACTCACTGACTGACCCACTCACTCACTCACTGACCAGCTCACTGACTGACTGACCCACCCACTCACTCACTCACTCACTCACTCACTCACTCACTCACTCACTCACTCACTCACTCACTCACTCACTCACTCACTCACTCACTCACTCACTCACCACTCACTCACTCACTCACTCACTCACTCACTCACTCACTCACTCACTCACTCACTCACTCACTCACTCAGTGACCCACTGACTGACTGACCAGCTCACTCACTGACTCACTGACTGACTGACCAGCTCACTCACTGACTGACTGACCAGCTCACTCACTAACTGACTGACTGACCAGCTCACTCACTCACTAACTGACTGAGTGACCAGCTCACTCACTAACTGACTGACTGACTGACCAGCTCACTCACTGACTGACTGACTAACTGACCAGCTCACTCACTAACTGACTGACTGACCAGCTCACTCACTAACTGACTGACTGACCAGCTCACTCACTGACTGACTGACTAACTGACCAGCTCACTCACTGACTGACTGACTAACTGACCAGCTCACTCACTGACTCACTGACTGACTGACCAGCTCACTCACTAACTGACTGACTGACCAGCTCACTCACTCACTAACTGACTGACTGACTGACTGACCAGCTCACTCACTCACTAACTGACTGACTGACCAGCTCACTCACTCACTGACTGACTGACTGACCAGCTCACTCACTAACTGACTGACTGACTGACCAGCTCACTCACTGACTGACTGACTGACCAGCTCACTCACTCACTAACTGACTGACTGACTGACCAGCTCACTCACTCACTAACTGACTGACTGACCAGCTCACTCACTCACTGACTGACTGACTGACCAGCTCACTCACTAACTGACTGACTGACTGACCAGCTCACTCACTGACTGACTGACTAACTGACCAGCTCACTCACTGACTGACTGACTGACTGACTAACTGACCAGCTCACTCACTGACTGACTGACTGACTGACCAGCTCACTCACTGACTGACTGACTGACTGACTGACCAGCTCACTCACTGACTGACTGACTGACCAGCTCACTCACTCACTCACTCACCGCCAGCTCTAACCCGCCGCTCGCTCACCTGGTGGATACTGCGCTGATGACACCACAGCCGAGGCTGAGGACCTGGAAGGGCAGAGCAGCCACTGGGGTCAGGGAGTCATAGGATCACACAGCACAGAAGGAAGGTTCAGCCCATCGTGTCTGTGCGGCTCTTTGACATGAGCTTCCCAAATCAATCCCAGTCCCACTCCCCCCATAGCCCCGCAAACCATCCCACTCAGCTCCTGTTAACCCTCCAAGCCAAAGCCCTGACGAGTAGGATGGTCCAGCTGGACAGACAGCGGTATGAATGGCAAGCTATGCAGTTTTAGCTGGCGAGACTCCAGCAGTCTCCCCAGCACACATTCTGGTGTCCCCAAGCCTTGGTGAGAGTATTAGGAAGTCCTGATATTATGTAAGCAAGATGCGTCCCTCCAGGGAGAGATTGTGCTTCCCATTCCAACAATCTGTCTCCATGGAATTTCCATGTGTAGGTGGGATGCATAGAATTCTTGGTTTGGTTTGGATACTCCGAATCCTGATGCATGTGACATCACCAACTTCGCTTTGGCCACTGGCACCGTTCCCACACCCTTAAAACAGCTACCATCGTCCCTATCATCAAAAAGCCTTCCCTGGACCCATCCCTGCTCTCAATTTATGCACTATCTCCAACCTTATTTTCCAAGGTCCTGGAACAAGTTATTGCTTTGCTCCTTCCTCTCCTGTCACTCCCTCTACGAACCCCTCCAACTGGATTTCCTTGCTGCCCACAGCACAGAAACAGCCTTGGTCAAAGGGACAAATGATATTTTGTCTACCTGTGACCAGGGCTCCCTCTGACTGCTCGTCCTCCTTGACCGCTCTGCTGGATTTGATACAGTTGACCACTCTATCCTTCTTCACCGGCTCTCCTGTCACTTCAACCTTCATATTTCTGTCCTTGACTGGTTGAAACCCTACCTTTCACACTATTTCCACTTTGTTTCCACAAGCAGCTTCTCCTCCATCCCCGCACAATCTCCTGCGGCGTTCCTCAGGGATCTGTCCAGTCCTCTTCAATATCTACATGCTCCCTCTTGGTGTAATCATCCGCAGACACGGGTCAACTTCCACATGTTTGCGGATGATATCCAACTCTAACTCTCTACCTCCACCCTCGACTCCAGGACCACTGCTATCCTGACAGAATGACAGAGTTCAACAATGTGAGAGCGACTCTCCATTTAGGAAAATGTATGCCATAACAATAACAAATTGCATTTATAAGGCACCTTCCACGTTGGGAGGACATCCCTAGTCATGGACAATGAGGGGTTTGCACCTGAGCTGCGGGTTGGAATCAGAGAGGGGCAGAGGGCAAGGGGGGTGGAGGAGGGAAAATGACAGAAGGCATGGTCGAAAAGGAAGGTCTTGAGATGGGCCTTGAAGGAAGCAAGGGAGGGGGAGGGCAGGGATGGAGTTCCAGAGGTTGGAGGCAGAAAGGCTGAAGGCCCGAACACCGATAGTGGAGCAGGCAGAGTGGGTGACGTGGAGCAGGCAGACCAGTGCCTGAAGAGAGGAGGAAGCGGATAGGTTGATGAAGTTTTAATAGGTCACAGAGATGGGGGGGAGCAAGACCGTGGAGGGCTTTAAAGATGACGATAAGAATCTTGAACTTCATCCTTCCTCTGCAGGATGGGGAGCCAATGAAGCTGGGCAAGGATGGGGGTGATTGGGTCACAAAGCTTAGTGTGGGAGAGGATACACACAAGATGTCCAATACGTGCAAGGCATTGGGCACATAGCACACAGATTGGGCTTTGGGTTCTGAGATCCCAACTTCGACAATCTTCCTTGTTTAGTGTGAAGAATAAGATGGGGTGTAATTTGGGCCCCTTGTGAGAAGGTTGTTGGAGTTCAGAGCTATGAAATTGTGTATAATTGTTGGACTGAATGATCTTTTCCTGTCCTCAAATTTCATATCTCACGGGTATTCAAAATGTATCTTTTATGTCTTACATTTTTCACCCTTTTCTTATTTTCTATGTACTTCTCGCAGCTCGTTCCTGGTAGCTGGCATCAAACTAAAGAGGGCTCAAACTCACTGTCAAATGATCAACTAGTGACTATCCTCCTTGTGGGGCGGGGGGGAAGTAAACAGAGTCTCCTTGGAGCTGAACTGATTCCCAAGATGACTTTTTGGCAATGGAATGACAGAATCGAGCCCACCCTCTGTGGTGGTCTCTGAAGTCCAGTTCCTGAGCAGGCAGGTCCGCAGTATTCCAGAGCACTGTTGATGACGGCACAACCAGCCTGGTTTATTGTCAGGGTATTGAAGGGCAGACCAGTCACTGGGGGCAGGGTTTCTTCCCTCTCAGCTCCTGTTAACCTGCAAGCCAAAGCCCTAAGGGTAGGGTGGGCCTAGTTGGCCAAGCAGTGAGAAACCTTGCCAGACAGTGATATCAATCGCAAGCTGTATCGTTTTAGCTGGTTCGACTCCAGCAGTACCCCATTGCACACTCTGGGGCCAAAAGCCTTGGCTCATGCCAATCTGCACCTATTACTCTGGGATTAGGTAAGAAGGATGTGCCCTTCCAGGGAGAGGGTGCACATTCCATTCCAATAAATATCTCTGGAATTTCCATGTATAGGTGGGATGCCCTGTTTGATATGGATATATTTAGCATGGTGATGGGTTTCCGTATGTGTAAGACACTTGGCTGACCCCACAAAAATCTATGTATTTTTGGTGACATATTGCTATATAATTTCAAGATATGTTCTATGCATTTTCTACTTAAAAACACATAGATTTTTCTCTCTTTTGGTTCCAGCAATGGGCCTCCTTTTCAAGAATTTGGTATTTGATTGATGCCAAAATGCAGCCACCTGGAAAGATTGCTTCTATGTGCTCAGTCAGACTTCAGGGGAAACATAAACCAATCTATCATGCACTGAGTAAGTATCCAAGATTGTTACTCCTTTTCCAAATATCAAAAGTGTCGGTAGTTGCACAAATGGCTTTTGAGTACAGATTCTTCTAACTATTGCACTAATTATCACAAATTGTGATGTGTCCTTTAATTTTAATGACCAACAAATTGAATTCTTAACAGTAATCTCTTCAACTATGCCTTCAGTCACCTTCCCTGTTCCCCACACACCCCTGCCCTAAATGGTGTTTGGCACTGTTATCTGTAAGGCACTCCGAGACGTTGCTCTACATGAAGCGTGATTATAAATGCAAGTTGTTGTTGTGTGGGCCAAGAATTCAATCTCCATCTTATAATTCAGCCTGGTGCATGTAATCTAAGTGAATCACAAGAGTTTTTTTTAAACTTGAAACTGCAAACTTGCTTCCTGTCACTCTTAAGTAACGAAGGAAAAAGGATCCAGAATATTAATCAACCATTTAAATCTGTATTTTGCTATTGACAAATTGTAGTTTGCTATTGGGATTCCCATAGTCCCAGTAGGACTAAAAGAATATGAATCTAGTGTTACAATCCACATTATACAATCTGGCAAACTGTATTCCATAGATGGGATACCCATAATCCCATTAGTACTAGAATGGTGCGAGTGGATAAAGAACATTTTGTTTTTCCCATTCATATGCTTTCTGCGTGGATTTTTAATATGGTTGATAAAAGAGTTCTAAAACATTGGTTCAAATGCTCAGTTAGTTTGGCTCTGCTTAACAATGATTAAAAAAAAGAACTTGCATATTTGTAGCACTTATGTATGAAAAGTCTCAAAATGCTTGACAGTAATTATTATCAAACACAGACAAACATTCGTGGAGTCCTGTAGCTCAGTGATAAGAGCACTCGCTTTGCAAGTGAGAGACCTGAGTTCAATTCCAGACAGGGCGAAACCTTGGGCAAGTTTCCTTACTCCACACAGAGCCTAATAATAATCCCTCCAAAACCAAAAACAATAATAAATTGGTCATTTTCAATCCACGACTGTTTGTGGGACATTGCTGTGCGCAATTGGCTGCCGCGTTCGCCCACAAATATACAGTCAATTCACTTTACAGTATATTCTGTGAAGCGCTTTGGGACGTCCTCCCGACGTGAAAAGCGCTATATCAAATGCAAGGATTATTATTATAGAGACATTTTGCACACAGAAAAGTCCAACATGAGGTGAATGACTGATTCATCTTGAAGATTGTTGGCCAGGATACTATATACTATAGTATATACTATAGACTATAAACTCAAGTCCCGGCATGTGGCTTGAACCCACAAACTTCTGACTGAGAGATGAGAATGCTACCAGCTGAATGAAGCAACCCAAATATCTCTTCCTACTATATGTTTAAAAATGGGATTGCTATTATTGAGAAATGAAAATAATTAAGGAATTTGAATAACTGAGGTTATGATAAAGAGTAAAGATGTACAATTGGAGGTGTATGTTTGTACACTTGCAGTCGTTTTTAAAAGAGAAGTGTAATAATTAAATGTGGCCACCAGATGGCAGGATAACTGCATTTTAAAGATTGCATTATTAAATCCCTCAGTTAGTCAGAGAGAACGTTTTATATAACGTTTAACAGACCGTAGCATCGGTCAAGTGTCGAATCTACACCAATACCCCATTGCTATGTCTTAGACATATTAATTTCCTAAAAGGCAGTGCCTATGTTTCAAAAATAATAGTACTTGCTGATTTTTCTTGCCATTTTGAAGATTTGCTTTGACCTCTCGTGCCTCATTGAGGTGGTCTGTTGGCAACCATTATGATTTAAAGTCTCACTTGTAATTACACATCCAGATATTTACAGCTTTAAAGTAACTAACTCTGAATGGAGAGGAATAGGAAAGCAAGAGCAAGTAAAGTTAAATGGATAGAAATGTGCAGCAATGGGGAACAACGACAGAGTGGCAGGAATAAAATAGCTGCCTTTGCATCACGTTGACCACTTAAGGAGAGAGTTTGAGGCATCTGTACAAGTTGTAAAATAGTTTCAGCAAGAATCATAAACTTCCATAAATCATAAAGAAGCACAGAACATTGTTCAAATGCTCTTACATGTGACACTAAGTTAAAATGCTACCTATTGATCATCTCTGACTGTGTGTATGCAGAGCGGAAAATCTGAAAACTAATTAAAAAAAGGATTCAAAAGTAGAAAAAAACACTTATTGGTCTTTTTATCATATATATATACATATTATGATCTACAATCTATTCAAATCTGCTGGAAATTCACAACATGTTAAATTGTGTGTGTCAGCCTGGCTCAGCGGTAGCACTCTTGCCTCTGAGTCAGAATGTTGTGGGTTAAACCGAGGTCCCGTCTGCCAGTTTATGTGGGCATTAAAGATCCCATAGTATTATTCAAAAAGAGAAGGGAGTTTCTCCCGGTATCCTAGGCAACAGTTCCCATAAAATTGGTTGCACACTGTTTCTAGGACATTCTGCGTGTAACTAGCTGCTGCATTTCACTCACAAAATACACAGTCAATCCACTTTACAGTATATCCTGTGATGGGCTTTGAGATGTCTCAACGATGTGAAATGCATTAAATGCAAGGATTATTATTATTGTTTCAGGTGCCTTCTTGTCCAAATAGAAAAATCAAGTAACTAAAATGTAAGGTGAAGTTTAGACAAGTATGCAGTAAGTACAAAGAGGCAGCAAACACAATGCCTGCAGTCACGAATATCCCTCTAAACGTACACTGGAATACTTCTGTCAAATATATGTTCAAATATCTTTGTGGCATTTGAAGAGAATGAACTTAAGAAGAACTCGTTATTAAAGGTTTATTCTCATGGTGAAGGGAATTTTTTTCTCAGGAAAGATTTAAATACATCCCTAAATTGCTTGTTCATGTGTACTAGACATATATTAGTTCTGACAACCTATTTGATTGTATGTGGAGCCTAAACTACTTATGTATGAGAGAGACCACGGATAATTTCTTTTTAATCCTCTCCAGTTTTTTCCCTAACCTCGGCTGAAGCTTTTTACTTTCAACACCAGCCCTCAGCTACAACACACTGGAGGTCATTCCTAATGTTTGAGTCTGGGTTAATTAACTCGAGTTGATGTTTGTAAGACTGTTTGTACCTTACTCTTTCCTCTCTTGCCATTCTGGCAGAGACCAGGAATCAAACACCAAGGCTTGATTCCTGGTCTCAGGAAGGTTGTTAATTTTAATATATTTGGTTAGCAACATAGAAACATAGAAATCTACAGCACAGAAAGAGGCCATTCAGCCATCAAGTTTGTACCAGCTCACAGAGCAAAGAGATCACTTCAATCCCATTGCTTTGGCTTATCCCCATACCTGTTCAAGCTCCTCTCTTTCTACTTCCCTCTTGAAAGCTACAATGGATTCTGCCCCCACCACCCTACTCACCCCTGATACTCGAGGTGAAAAAGTTTCACCTATTTCATTTAGGGATTTTGTGAATACAATGATGAAGCTGGTAATATCTAGGTTATACTTCATGAAAAACTAATACGTAGTTGAACTTCCTTGTCATTGTTGATGCAAAGTAGATGCGTGTGCTAATTTAACAGAATTAGTGGTAGAAGCTTCAAATACAGGGAGTTCCAGAACGCTGAAAATATAATAGAAGTATACAATTTTACAACATCCAAAATAGTTTCCTTTTTTTTTCTTTCCAATCATCACTTCCATGATCAATTCAGTATTTTCTGCATGTTTTTGGCGATGCAGAATTGAGAATAATGAAGCAGAAATACGCAAGCGATCTCTGGCAGTCAACATAAAGCCACTTAAAGCATGTTAATGCCAATTTAGATGTGCTTTTTGATAAATCTAACAACCTAAAGCATCTAGGCACTAATGCAAATTGGGATCTTTATATCTCAGACTTGCAATAAGCCATGTGTACTACAGTACAATGCTAAGTGCTGTGACTCGACCACAAATTGATAATTCCCACACGTTGATAAATCATGCAAGATCACGAGATAGGTTTTGATGAAAAAGCTCTTTAGTCGATTTGATCCTATGCATTCTGAATACTAACTTGAACAATTTGCCATTACAGACGTTTCTGAAATGAGTCCTAGTTTCCACCACCATTCCTGCTAACTCATTTTAACTTGTACATCTGTGTAAAAAAAATACTTCTTGGTGTCTGTCCTAAAAGTTACCTTCACAATTTGTTTCCTCTTGACTTTGGCATAAGTCTTACATAATTCTATGGTGACTAGAACTTTGATAACAGCTTGTGTTCCAGAGGTAATTACGGTCAAGTCTTACAACTGTGCATTTGTAGGCAAACACAGCAGCCATTTGGTGCAGCAGTTATTATTTCTTTATTAAGTAGTAAAAGGAATAATTGAGCAGTGCTTATAACGAGTAACCCCTATATAACATCATGTTGCAGTTCCATAAAATTAAGCACTGTATAATGGATCCACAAAAAAGCGAGGTGCTTTATATTAGCCCTCTCTCCCGCCACCCCATCCCCATGAGCAATTTTTTTTGTTTACACTTTTTATTTATAAATAAACAAGAGGCTGATGTTTACCTTGTTTGTCAACAGAACACTTTGCGGGGTTAGGATCTGATTAGCTCTAATATCTCATCATTTATTTTTCACACATAGTTGAAGCTAATTGAGACTGAAAAACACAAGGTCATGGATACTGAAATTGAAAGGTTTAAAGCTGCTACATATTTAAAGATTTTCAATCATGTCACTCCACATGATGGTTGCTATAACTTATTTCTGCATAACATTTGTGGGTAACACTTAACACAAAAAATTGTGTTCTTCCAAGCAAGTTTGGATGTTTGCGTTTTTCCCTTTATGTCTCCTTGCATGAAATACAATGCTGAGGCTGTCATGTGGTAAGCAATGAGCTAGAGAGGCATCTACTCGGTATAACTAGCAGGAATGATTAATGTAGTCGTCCATCCGTTTCCCCCGTGGCCCCCCCTCCTCCCCACTGACATCCT